TGAAGGCCTCGGACCTGCCCAACATTGGCTTAGGGAGACTGGAGCCACTGGGGTCTTCTGGGGCCTTCAGGCCAGTGAGGCTGCGCGCTGGAGTGTGGGGGATCTGGTCAGGACCTTTGTTGTAGACCAGTTATTGTCAGGTAGGTTTCTTTTCCCTGTTTCTCTTTCAAGAATGCTTGTGTGTTGGTATATTATACATTAAAAAAAAACTTTTATTTGAAAATAATTTCAACCTTTAAAAGTTTGAAAAATAAAAAGACCCATATGCCATTTATCTAGGTTCACCTATGGTTGGGGTCTCAGTAACATCATCAGTTTATCAGTGCAACAAAGAAACCTTCAGTTTGCTTTCAGTGATAGATTTTATTTCCCTTTTCTTATGATTTCCATTTTTAAAAGTATATAGAATACTAGCATGCTTTCACAAGTTCTCAGAATTGTCATTTACTCCTGAACCACTTCCACCACATTTACTAGCTTGCTTTCTGATTTGCCCTTCCTGCATTATTTTTATAATGATAAGCAGATATATTATTTTCAATTTATACTGAAGGTAGCATATTATATGTGCTCTTTTGCATGTTGCTTTTTTCACTTAAAAAAAGTCTGCAAGTTATTTCATAACAGTTGATAGATTTCCCTCTTCCTCTCCCTCCCTCACTTTCTTATCTGCACCATAATTTATTCTGTGGCCAATGCTTGGATATTAGGTAGTTGTCCATATTTACATAACAAATGGTTCTGAAAGGCAGTAACTTTGTGTTTAAGGTTTTTTGAATGTTTGAGAGATTTCTAAGACAAATTCTTAGAAGTGGGATTACTGGCTAAGGGGTGAATGCTCAAGGAATTGACAGAGATAATGTCAAATTCCTTCCCCTGGGTCTACTGGCAGTTCCCTTTACCACCCGGAAAGTGAAGTGTAAAAGAACTACTCTTTCAATAGCCTGGCCCACAAGAGTGTCATGTTCACCTTTTGAATTTTTGTCCATTTTATGTGAAAAATGGTATCTCAACGTAATTTAATTTTCATTTTTCTTTTGAGTGAAGTTGATAATTTTTTATGTGTAAGGGTAATTTTTACCTCCTTCTATATGAGTGTTGCCTGTTATCGTTGAAGATTTTTTTTTTACCCCCCAATTTAACTGTTCTTTATATATTGGGGATATAAGGCCTTTATCTGTGTTATATGTTGCAAATATTTCCTTCCAGTTAGTAAATTTCCCCTTTGACTTCGCTTATGTTATTTTTTGCCACACAATATAGCCAGAATTATCAGTTTTTTATTACTTCTGGATTTTTTGAGTTAGAATCATCCTTCTTTACACTGAGGTTATAGAAGAGTTCTTTTTTTTGTTACTATTAATCCTCAGCTAGGATATTTTTCCCATTGATTTTTAGAGAGAGTGGAAGGGAGGGAGAGAGACACAGAGAAAGAAACATCAATGTGAGAGAGACACATCTATTGGTTGCCTCCCACACATGCTCAGACTGGAGCTAAGGGATTAAGCCTGCAACCAAGGTTGATCAGAATTGAACCTGAGACCCTTTAGTTTGTGGGCCAACGCTCTAACCACTGGACAAAACCAGCTAGGGTGAAGAGTTCATATTTTCTTCTAGTTTTTGCATCACTTTATTTTTTACTCATAACTCTAGTCCATTTGGAGTTGCTACTTGTATATGATTTGAAGTATCATTTTCCAGTTAGCTATATGGTTTCCCACGAACCAGACATTAAAAAGACTCTCTTTGCCATCCACTTGAGATTCCAGATTGGAGTTCTAGATTGGGTTGGGGTTTATTTTGGAATTGCTAGTCTGTTCCATGGATCTTTCTGTTAGCAGTTCTAGAGGCTCTGTTGTATGTGGAGGAAGTATTGGTCCCCCTTCAGAACTTTCAATTTCATGTATTTCCTGGCTGTCCTTTATTTTTCCTTATGAACTCCATGTTAACTTAGATCTAACTATGTAAAAACATCATTGGAGTTTTTATTGGGATCACTTTAAAATTTTTCATTGATTCAGGGGAGAAATGATATCTTGATGATAGACATCCTAACCATGAACAGATATGTCTTTGTGTTTGTGCAGGTCTAGTTCAGCGTCTTCTTATAGTGCTTGTAATTCTCTTTGTATAGGTTTTAGGCATTTCTTTAGTTCATTCCTAAATATTTTATCCATTTTGTTGCTGTTATAAGTGAGATTTTCTCATATATTATACCTTTTAACTGATTATTTGTGTGTGTATTCATTTGATTTTTCATTGCTTGTTTTATATCATGCTATTTTCTTTTTTAAAAAAATATATTTTACTGATTTTTACAGAGAGGAAGGGAGAAGGATAGAGAGTTAGAAACATCCATGAGAAAGACACATCGATTAGCTGCCTCCTGCACACTCCCCACTGGGGATGTGCCTGCAACCAAGGTACATGCCCTTGATTGGAATCGAACCTGGGACCCTTGAGTCCGCAGGCTGACGCTCTATCCACTGAGCCAAACCGATCAGGGCATCATGCTACTTTCTTAAGTTCTTTTATTGAATTTGTGATCAGTTCTCTAGGATTTTCAAAGTATTTTACCTTGACATCTACAATACAGTTTTATTTCTTCCTATTACTCTGCCTTACTTTTTGTTCCAATGTTTACACTGACTTCAGAGTTGTGTTAAATGGTAGTGTGCATAGTAGACAGCCTTGCTCAGTTGGGAACACCTCTAGGGTTCTCCGGTAAATAAAGTGTCGGCTTTAGAACTGACGTGTTTATGTATAGCTCATTAAGGAAATACCATCCATTTTTATTTTCTTAAGAGTTCTTTAATTAGGAATGGATTTTGGAATTTTTTCCAAAGGCTTCTCAGAATCTATTGAAATTATTTTTCTCAGACCTAAGAATGTGTTAAATTTTAATAATGGATTTTCTTTTTTAAAAATATGCTATTGTGTTTTTGTTTTTGTTTTTGTTTTTTTGCTTTTAAGAAAGAGAGAGATTGTAAGGGAGAAGGAGAGAGACAGACAGAAACATTGATGAGAGAAACATCAATTGGCTGCTTCCTGCATGCCACCTACCAGGGTTTGAGCCCACAACCTGGCCATTTGCCCTTACCGGGAATCAGCCGGCGACCTCTTGGTGAATGAGATGATGCTCAACAAACTTGAGCCACACCTGCCAGGCGGATTTCTAATATTTAACCATCCTTGCATTTCACCATCCTTGCATAAAATCCACTTGGATGTGGCTTATTATTTTCCTATTTGCTACTGGAGTCTATTTGTAATATTCAGTATTTTTGCATTAATATTAGTGCGTTCATATGATACCTGTAAGACTTCAGCTCATGCTAGTTTCTCATTTTTGGTGAGCAAGTCTTTTCACGTCTGCCCAGCAGCTCAAAAAGATACAACTCCCTGCACTGCTGGTGGGAATGCAGACTGGTGCAGCCACTGTGGAGAACAGTGTGGAGTTTCCTCAAAAAACTAAAACTGCCATTTGATCCAATGACCCCACTTCTAGGAATATATCCCAAGAAAGTAGAAACACCAGCCAGAAAGGACATATGCACCCCTATGGTCGTAGCAGCACAATTCACCATAGCTAAGATTTGGAAACAGCCTAAATGTCTGTCAGCAGATGAGTGGATTAGAAAACTGTGGTACATCTACACAATGGAATACTGAGCTGCTGTAAAATAGAAGGAATTTTTACCATTTGCAGCAGCATGAATGGACCTGGAGAGCATTATGTTAAGTGAAATAAGCCAGGCAATGAAAGAAAATACCACATGATCTCATTTATGGAAAATAAAGAACATTATAACCTGATGAGCAAAAAGGTAGACACAGAGGCAGTAAAGCACTGAGCAGACTGTCAAATTACAGCAGGAAGGCTAGGGAGTGTTGGGGAGGGAGGGAAATAGATCAACCAAAGGACGCATGCATGCATATAAGCACACCCATGGACACAAGACACTGGGGGTTGGGGGGGATGAGGGTATGTGTCAGAGGGTAGGGGAGGCTGGGGGAAGGTCTATGGGGGAAGAAAAAGGAGATATATGTACTACTACATGTAATACTTTAAACTAGGGGTGTCGAACTCAATCAGAGAAGGGGCCAAAATCTAAAATCCAGCCTAAATCGAGGGCCGAATGGTTTACTGAACAGTCATAAACTGTCATTGTGATGGGAACGCAGCGGAGTGCAGTGATGACAGCACGGTGCAGGCCACATTGCAAGGCCTGGCGGGACGGATTTGGCCCGCGGGCCTTGTGTTTGACACATGTGCTTTAAACCATAAAATAAAAAAAGATAGAGCTCCTTTTGTGGATGTTTTAGATCAGAAGCCATGGCAGGTAATGAGAGCTCCACAGAGTTGTGCCCAGGCCTTTAAGGCAGGCTAACTCACAGGCACAAAGGAGGGTTTGGGCTGGCCTTCGCAGGCTGGCACTTCGTTAAAACCTCTATTTTGAAAAGAATAGTGCCATTCTGTTCAGAAAATGCCAGAAGCCATAGTTGGATTTGGATGTGGAGTGATTATTTCACAATTTTAGACACCAAGTCATTTGGAATGGGTGGTGATACTTCGTTAGTGTGAATCCTTGTCTAAGCTGCCCATAGCAAACGGAGCACCCTAGCAGCACCACTTTGCATTCTGCATTGGGGGTTTAGCAGACTATTCCACACAAGCTACTTCCTGATTCTGGAATACGCTCTTTTTTTTCTTAAGTTTGAGTAGCTCTTGGGCTTTCCCCCCTTCTTATTTTATGTTTACTTGGATATCTCCATCCTCTATTTACATTTTCTTGGAGGTTTTAACTTAAATTGAGTGATGTTATCAGAGGCTTAAAACAAATTGCTTTTTCAAAAATATATACCCTAAATTAGCATCATGAAAATGAAAGCTTAATGTATAATCTATAAATGTTTCATGAGTTCAAAATGGTTTATACAAGGACTGTAATACATATGCATAACACCTTGGTTCTGTTTTCATTTCTCCTGGCGTTTAGAATTGCAGAATATGTGTAGAGTGTGGCACACGGTCTAGCTCTCAGTGGCACCACAATTGTCTGGTGTGTGACAGTTGTTACCAGCAGCAGGATAACTTGTGTCCTTTCTGCGGGAAGTACTACAACCCAGAACTGCAGAAAGACATGCTTCACTGTAATATGTGCAAAAGGTAAGAAGACATTTGCCCATGGAAGTGGTTAGTTCCTCTATGTCAGTGGTCGGTAAACTGCGGTTCGCGAGCCACATACCCCCTTGAGTGTGGCTCTTCCACAAAATACCACGTACTCTAAGTTAATAACAATGTATCTACCTATGTAGTTTAAGTTTAAAAAATTTGGCTCTCAAAATAAATTTAAATCGTACTGTTGATATTTGGCTCTGTTGACTAATGAGTTTGCCGACCACTGGGCTATTTGATCGTTCTCTGCCTGTCTCTGTGCTCTGAGCTTTATCCCTCTCATGTTCCTTTTAGTACTGAGTGCTGCTGTAGGTGAAGTTAAGTCACATTTTCATGAATCTGAAAGGCATAAGGAACTGAATGGGCAAAAGATAAGACCAGAAATGAGCATTCAGAGGGGAACTGAAGAGGAAATAACTTGACAATATGGAAGTAAAAGGATGGCAGCACCCCCCATGACATGCAGAAATGCCCGGCCCTTCAACAGGACCTTCCCCAGTTGCCAACACCTATAACCTCTCTCTCATCCTTAACCTCTCCTTTGCCCAGTTTTTCAGCAATTGTTTCTCTTTGCCCTAGGTTATGAACTTGACTTTGAACTATAACATTTTATTTAAAAATATTTATCACTGCAGGTGGATTCACTTAGAATGTGACAAACCAACGGACCAGGAACTGGATTCTCAGCTCAAAGAAGAGTATATCTGCACATATTGCAAACATTTAGCAGCTGCCGAGATGGATGCGCTGCAGCCAGGTACTGGTGTGGAGATGGCCGACATCACTGCAGGTACACTTGGCCCCAGCCAGCCACCAATATGCTGCATTAGTAATAATGAGTGACTTCTGTGTGCCAGGCCCCATCTTATTCTTAATTTCTCAGCTTTTAAATACACATATGACCCTCATACCTGAGTCTGATGGCTAACGTCTCATCTGGCTTTTCACTACTGTTCTCCTGATGTTCGAATCCAGGACCGTTGTTTACTCCAAGCTTATAATTGAGCGAACAGTGCAGGTTCCTCCAGATTTGATAATAGGACTTAATTTGCGCTTCAAAATCTGGGTTATTTCACCCTAAACAAGTTTTAGTTTATAATTTTGTTCTTAAATGTTAATTTTCACTTCTAGAGTCCCAAATTTTGCTCAGGTATTTTAATAGTATACTATTAGCTATAAATATGATTACAAGATTCTTAGATGGTGAAGAAACAGACCTTCTTGCCATTGTTTTCATTTTCATCAGTTGGCGTGATAACCTCTATAAAAGTCTCTGCTATTATCAGCAAAGGGATTAAATAGATGCATCTTAATGACTCATATTATTCCTGTATGCATCAGTATACAGTTGTGGAATACCCTTTTAAAATAATAAAATGTCAGTTACTTTTTCTTATTGATTTCAGAGAGAGGAAGGGAGAGAGGGATAATAAGAATTTTCAATTGGCTGCCTCGTACAAGCCCCCTACTGGGGATTGAGCCCACAACTCAGGCATGTGCCCTGACCGGAATAAAAACTTGGCCAGTTGGTTCATGGATCAATGCTGAACCACTGAGCCATACTAGCTGGGCACCAGTTACCTCTTAATTCATTATGCTATCGGTATTTTTATTTTGTTTGTTTATATTTTCAATATATATATATATATTTTTATTGATTTCAGAGAGAAGGAAGAGGGGAAGAGAGAGAGAAACATCAATGATGGGAGAGAATCATTGATTGGCTGCCGCCTGCATACCCCAAAACTGGGGATCAAGCCCACAACCCCGGCATATGCTCTGACCAGGAATTGAACTGTGACTTCCTGGTTCATAAGTTGATGCTCAACCATTGAGCCATGCTGGCCGGCCTACTTTACATGTTTTAAAATATGTAAATATATATTGGGTTCGAAATAGTAAATTATGAAGAAGAGTTTACGATATTTTTGGTGATAATTTACTTTCACTAAAGCAACATAGTAACTGTTAACTTAGTTAACAAAAACAAAACAGGAAAAGTCATTCTAAAGAATAAATACATTTCTGTTAAGATTATAACAATGAAATGGAAGTTGAAGGCTCTGAAGACCCTGTGGTGTTTCTAGAGCGAGCAGTTAATAAAGATGCCAGCGGTCAAGAGTCTACACCTGGAATTGTTCCAGATGGTAAGTGTTTTCCATATGGATGCAGTCTATATTCTGGAGAAAATGGTGTACAGTGAATATGTGAATGCCTGCTGAAATTTTAGTACCCTAAATAAAAATTAGCCAAGACATACATACTGCTTAGGAAACTGTTTAGAGAGGAGCTTTTAGTAAAATAACCTTAGACAGAAATCAATAGGCGAAATGATAGGGATATATTAGTAGTTGAGTTGTAATCTAGAATTAATCACAAATAAATTCTTTGTTTAGGGGTCAGTTGATTTTTCATTAAAAAGTAATCTATAATAATAAAAGCATATTATGCAAATTAGACTGGACATCTTTCCCAACAACCTACTGGACGAAGCTGGGGGGTGGGCGTAGGGAGAGCAAGAGGGAGGGAAAGCCCCTTGCACGAATTTTGTGCATTGGGCCTGTAGTTTGTAATAAAAACCCAAAAAAGTAATTCGTTATTTTCTACTTCTGAGTTATACTTGTTAATTACTAACTAGAGCCGTTCCTAATTGTGAGCTAGTCCGTGCTGAGATAGTGAAAAATTTATTTTTAGGTCATCTTAGCAATCCTATTGAGGGGTGTTTTAGTTATTTCAATTAAGCTTTTTGCAAAATTGATATTACTGTATTTGAAGATCTGAAATTAATGAGACCAGATTGAGGGAAAAACTACTTCTTACTCTTAAATTTTGGGCTCATTTGATAGTTTATGTAAAATTGTATATTTTATAGATTGAATATAATGTGATTTTTTTTGAGGTTAACTATATTTAACAACTTATTGAAAGGTATATAAAGTCAATAAATAAGACAAAAGGCTATCTATAACAGTAAGTCTCATCCTAGCTAATCTAATAAAGGAGTAATATGCAAATTGACCACACTTGGGATATACCCATAAGCCAAGCCCACCATCCAATCAGGAGCAAGTATACAAGTTAACCCAACCAAGATGGCTGCAGCCACGGAGCTAGCAGGAGGCAGCCAATGGAGGAAGCCAAACTTACTGCACATCCTGGCTCGCCCAGCCCTCTGCTCAAGGCTACAAAGTTTCATTATAGAAGATAAACAAATCCCAATAAAAATGGCTGCAGCCATGGAGCTATCAAGAGGCTTGGGTTTCCCCGGCAACCCAAGGAGGAAGCCAAACTTCCTGGCCATCACTGGCCTCTGCTCAAGGCTACAGAGTTTCAATTATAGAAGATAGATAAATCCCAGATACCAGGGCCTCCATTTGGGTCATTGGGGGGTGTGGCTGGACTGCAAACAATCACAGCCCCCTCGCCTAGGCCACCCCACGCACCAAGGGAACCCACACCTTGATCCAGCTGGCCCCCACCCAGGCACCAGGCCTTTATCCTATCTAATAAAAGTAATATCCAAATTGACCATTACTCCAACACACAAGATGGCTGCCACTATGTGGACACAATTTCACAGCCACAAGATGGCCAGCAGGGGAAGGCAGTTGGGAAGGATCAGGCCGGCAGAGGAGGGAAGTTGGGGGCAACCAGGCCTGCAGGGAAGGGCAGTTGGGGGATCCAGGCTTGCAGGGGAGGGCAGTTGGGGTGGGGGGGGGAGGACCAGGCCTGCAGGGGAGTGGTTAGGGGATGATCAGGTTGGCAGGCAGAAGAGGTTAGGGGCAATCAGGAAGGCAGGCAGGTGAGCAGTTGGGAGCCAGCAGTCCTGGATTGTGAAAGGTATGTCTGGCTGCCAGTATAGGCCAGTTTCTATTGGGATTGGGCCTAAACGGGCAGTTGGACATCCTTCGAGGGGTCCCAGATTAGAGAGGGTGTAAACTGGGCTGAGGGCCCTGCACGCCCTTCCCCCACATGCACGGATTTTGTGCACTGGACCTATAGTAGTGCATATTCAGAATCCTCATTCTTTTTCATACCCATCTTTACAACCTGCTTAGTAAGAAATATTGTGTAGTGTTTTGTGCTTATATTGGAAATTGGCATTTGGCAATAGGATGAAAATGTTAAGTTACTTGGAAAGAGCAGGGTTTGGGAAATTTGACTCCTTGTTGGAGATTCCATGCATGTGTCATTCACAGCAGTTCTGATCCTTGCTGGAGAACAGAAGAGCAATCTGCAAGAAGGTCTGGATACACATGAGCTTCTCACTTCTGGTAAGTGGCATGTTCCTATGGTCTATTTGGTCCCATCACAACCATAACCATGCCTTTATGGTTTCTATACAGATAGACATTGTCTATTAACTTTTAAAATTAATCATCCCTGCCGAAACTGGTTTGGCTCAATGGATAGAGCGTCGGTCTGCGGACTGAAAGGTCCTGGGTTCGATTCCGGTAAAGGGCATGTACATTGGTTGCGGGCACATCCCCAGTAGGGGGTGTGCAGGAGGCAGCTGGTTGATGATTCTCTCTCATCGATGTTTCTAACTGTCCCTCTCCTTTCCTCTCTGTGAAAAATCAATAAAATATTTTTAAAAAATTAATCATCCCTAATAATTATATAGTACTGCTTACACTCTCTAAAAAGAATTGCTATGTCAAGTATTCATTATTTAGGCAAGTTAAAATCATTGTATAAAACTAGCTGACTATAATTGAACTGTGTGTTTATATTTCTATCTTCATACTTCTAGCATAGAACAGAAGGAATATACTTGTGGTCTCTACGTGTGTTACATATAGGCTCCTCTTTGCCAGTGAGACTTGAGGCTGTTGGTCTTCTGTTAGCATGTGACTTAGGCTTCCTATGGCATTAAAATAAGTTTTTTTTCATTTGAGTCACTCTAATGATGGTACTTTTGGTTTTAAACCCTTAAACATTTACTCTTTATATGTGTTTAATTTTGTATTAAATATTTTTGAAGCATTTTTTGTGTTTAAAAATATTAAGTACAGCCTTAGCTGGTATTGCTTAGTGGATAGAGCATTGGCCTGCAGACTGAGGATCCTGGTTTGATTCTGGTCAAGGAAGGGTACGTGCCCATGTTGTGGGCTTGATCCACAGTGGGGTGCTTGCAGGAGGCAGCCAATCAGAATCCTCTCTCATTGATGTTTCTGTCCCTCTCTCCCTCTTCCTTCTGCTCTGTAATCAATAAAAATATATTTAAAAAATACTTTAAAAAGGTACAATCAGATTTGTTATTTAATGTTTTTTCTTTATTCTCAATTATAGTCTTCCAATAAAATGGAAATGAGAAGTGAGATTTCATTTTGATATATGGATGTAGATAAATTTCAGTTATCATTGTAAATCATAAAGGAGGAATTAATGTCCCTGTTAATGGAACCTCGAAAGTACCATGATGGTATTTGAAATACTAAGTGCTTTTTATCATCAGTGATCTTACTTGATAGGGCACTTAGGGCTCATGTTGATTGGACCACTAAAATGACTGTTAAGTAAGATTGGGTTAATGGTCCAACACTATTCCCCTGATTTAAAATTTACTAGTCAGCAACTAGAGATATTTTTGACATCTAATTATGTTTATTAACACATGCCTTGAGTAGGTTAGCAGGTATAGCTGAGCAAAATCTTCCTGTCTGTGGCCATTACACATTTGAGTCTACAGAGCTTTGTTTCCATCTGGTTGCCTGCGTTGCAGAATAGCCTTATGTTCTAGACCAGTCTTCACTTAACTTGGAGACCTTACATACTTCACTGAACTTCATTTCCTAGTTGTTAAATGAGTATAACTTCACCCACAAAGTGTTAAATAGTTTTGTAAGTGCTCAATTTATAAAACACCTATACATGTAATAGAAATTCTATTTTAATATTCTTACCAGAAATACCCTACACCTTGGGGATTCTATTTAATGTAATGTTTTTGTAGATTTTCTGGTCTGATCTGCCATTAATTCTGCCCAAGCCTATTATTTTAAAACCACAAAGCTACAGACATATAAGACATTCATGTCTTACAACTACTCCTAGTTAGAAATTTAACATAACCAATATTTCAATTTTTATAGAATCATCTCAAGATAAAATGCATCCTGAATTGGAAAATCGGATTTCTCATGCAGTAGACAATGAAAAGGTGGAAATGCCTTCTAAAGTGATGCATACTTGTGATGAAGATCAAAATGAAAACAAAATGGATGTGATGGGAAACGTCGACATCCTTGCACACCCGGCCACCGCACCAGAGGAGCTGCAGTTAGAAGAACCTAAAACGGTGGCATCCGCTGAGGAGTCCAGGTCTCCACATTCAATCCTTGACTCCGTCACCGTTCCACCAGAAACCTTGGTGTCCCCCTGTAAGGAAAGTACTGAATGCCCCATGGAACTGCTAGCTGCAGAAAGGGTACAAGAAGAAACGGAAAACAAAGTTAGTTCTGAATCTTCCACTGCCTTCATGGACTTTGAAACGACTCCTGCAGTTGAGAGTTGTGAGAAGGATGGTTTATGCCAAGACAAATCTATAAAATTTCTGTCTGAGACGGAGTTATCATTTCCATCAGCAGTGGACATAAGCAAGGCCCATGTGTCTTCCTCTCCATCTTGTTCCTCCGACTTGCCTTCCCACGACATGCTGCCCAGTTACCCTTCAGCGCTCAGTGCTTCTGTTGGAAATATCCTGCCAACCACTTACTTTTCAGTCACTCCAAAAATTGGCATGGGTAAACCAGCTATTACCAAAAGAAAATTTTCTCCTGGTAGACCTCGTTCTAAACAGGTAGGGTGATTTTAATGATGTTGATAAACCATGTTGGAGCATTTGTATAAAACAAGGTATATGTGTTGCTTTGGAGGGCAATATTTTTTGTCTTCAGGTTGAATTTAATGTAGCGTTAACAGGTATATTGGCCGTTTTAAAATATGCTGATAATGAAGCAGTAAACTTGAAGTGACCTTATTTGGAATTTCAACTCATTTGCAATATATAAATGTAACTTATTTTATTACAGCTTCTAATATAAAACACAAGTTTTTTTTGTTTTGTTTTTTAAACTTCTAGTTTGCCATTATAATAGAGCCCTTTAAAAGAAACATTAAAGTTTTGGGTATAGTGCAGCTGACATTTCAACTTAGCACTTACATTAATGGATTCATGGAAAAATCTTAGAATTGTATTGATCTTTAGGAAGTGAAGGGAGCTCCTTCTGAAATTGTTTTAGGTAATGGGGGCTCTCCCTCGAGGGTAAGTACCAGTTCTTTTTAGTGACACTTAAGCGAAACTACATGCAAGGTGAAGCCATCATATCTAAGATTGATTTATTCTACAAAATTCCTACTTTCTTAAGTTTTTATAAAATGGCCAAATATCAAATAGTGCAAAAGTGTTCAGTCAAAATGATAATTTGAATTTTCAAGTCTCATGACTTGATCAAAATTTTGACTTTTTATAGGAATAGTATCTTGGTCATCTTTTTTGGAATTATAAATCAGTAGCAAAATAAAATGGTATTTTATTTTAATGTGAGAATTAGTCTCCTCTAAATAAAGTCTAGATATATATTCTGTAAATACGGCACGTTGCAGTTATAAATTAAGAGGGATTTTTATTCTCAAACCAGTTTTTTGCTCCTTAGTCTTCTCTTGTTTTCTTGTCCTTTTTATTTTTTTAATAGTTATATAGTAATTATGTAGCCTTTTCCCCATATTGCTTTTGCTTCTCCAGTGTCCTCTTTTTACCCCCAAGTCTGGTAGTGTATTGCCTCCTGTTTATTTCACTACTGCTTCATAATTTGCTGCTAATCTCATGACTGTTTTGTTGGCCATCTTTTACCTCTCCCTTGTATTGGTTGTGGTTGGGCAGCAAACAGCCTCCATTGCGAGTTCTAGCTCTGTAATACCTGCCAAACGTGTGCAGAGATGTCTTACATAGAACAAGGTAGCACTTTAATTTTTTAAATCATTGCTTAGGTATTGGGATCATGTGTACATGAACAGGAATGGGTATAACCTTATATTGGAAATCCATTATTCTATCACATGAATTTCTTTAATATCAGGCATTCCTATGTTATATATTTTTTAAAAAATTATATTTAGTGCTTATTTTGCATACTCTTGGCTGTGGAGACTGGCTATTAAATGAGATGGATTGTCATATCAGTTGTGATATAAACAAGATTCTTTGGCTACCATATTTTTAAAATTTTATTATTAGTATCAGTGTCATTTCCTTATTTTGTTAAATGTCATCAGTTCTATGGTCTTGACCATTTAGTGAATGACATTCTAATGAGAGAATTGTGTTTCACCAATTAAAGTTCTGTTTTATAGTGGTCAGATATTTCCTAAGAGTACATGAACTTTTTCAAGAATTCACTTAGAAATTAAATGAATTCTTTGATTAAACACCAAGAAAATCTATAAGTTGTAAATTGATTGACAGTTATTGATTGAATCAAATGTTTTCTGGAGTTACAGTGGAACAGTAAGCCTGTGCTGTGAAATAGAAATATTCAAGCTTTAGTTCTAATTTCAATTTTTTGAGTAGTCTCAATAAAAAGAAGCAGGTGAAGTAAACTGTAATGTTTTATTTAACCCAATATATTTTAGCTTTTAATCTACATAAAAATTATTAATGAGGTATTTTCCATTCACTTTTCAGGCTCAGTGTTGTAGCTCTGGTTTTAGACTAACTACATTAGAAGTGCTTCATAGCCTCAAGACAAGTGGCTACCTTAATGCACAATGCACAGCAAAGCATTTTAATAAATGTGAAAATTTCAGTTCCAGAATTACTGATGAAATTTACATAACAGAAGATTTTGCTATGCTTTCACTATTAAAAAATATATGTAAAATGTTCAAGATAACAGGCCAAGCACACGGTGTGGCTGAGGGGCAGTATGCTGTCTTTTTAGAAAGTGACTTCTACGAAGTATTTGTATTACTTACATAGGTTTTTACTATGACTGACTGGTCTAGGCAAGACTGATTAATATAAAAATGAGCGTGAACATTTCCATAGTGCAGTTGCTTGGATGCAAACCCTTATTCTTCCATTATTGTCTGTGACACTAAACAAGTCACCTTGTGAACTGTCTTGTTGTTTCATCTGTAAAACTATACCATATGATTCTGTTATAGTTGAACAAAAACACACATAAAGCACCTGATACACAGAAAATGGTCATGCTGCCTTGTTTTCTTTCTTGAATAGTGGATTACTACAGTTATTATTCTGTGAAAATGGAGACTTGAGAATAATCACAGGAGCAGTGGTCCTACAACCAGTCAGATTGACTAATAATCACTTGTACAAATATGTGCAAATGAAACGAACTGTGAGCCTTGACCGAGTCAAACACTGCTCTCAGTAAATAAAGTATGTAGTAGGATTCTTTAAAAAAAAAAAAATATATATATATTATTTTTATAAATATAAATATTTATATATATATATTTTTTTATTTCAGAGAGGAAGGGAGAGGGAGAGAGACAGAAGCATTAATGATAAGAGAGAATCATTGATAGGCTGCCCCCTGCATGTTTCACACTGGTGATCATGTGCCCTGACCGGCAATCGAACCATGATCTCCTTGTCCATAGGCTGATGCAACAGACTTTTATACTGTGTGTGATGTGTGCTAGAGTAGAGAAGACCGCAGGGTACTATGGGCCAACAGGGTAGGCGATAGGAAAAACTCAAGGCTTGCAGGCCAGGCCTGTTTTCTAGGAAAATTGAAGACTCAACCCTTGCTTCTTAAAGTGTGACCTTCAGACCTGGAACATCAATATTGCCTGGCAGACTCTTAGACGCCACTTTAACTTGAGTGAAATGTGTATTTTATGAAGATCCCCATGTTGACTGAAGTCCAAGAAGCACTACTCTAAACATTGAGAAGTTAAAATATAGTTTTAACCCTAAAAAATGTTCAATTCTTTGGGGTGTCAACCAACACACAAATTAGAAGCATCAGACTTTCCTTCTTAGTGCCCTTAAGCCTATCGTTACATTTCTGAAGCCATTACCAAGACCATGGCTAGTGCCCAGTTGGTGTGACTCAGTGGTTGAGCATCAGCCCAGGAACCAAGGAGTCGCTGGTTTGATTCCCAGTCAGGGCAGGAGAATCAATGGTGATTCTCTCTCATCATTGGTGTTTCTATCTCTCCCTTCTTTCTCAAAATCAAAACATATAAAAACAAAACAAAGCCACTTGTTAACACCAGCTAAATTCACATTCTGTTTCTATGCTTTTATGGTATGCGTCAAATCAGGACTAAATTTCTTGTTCGGTTTGATGTCGACATCTGTTTTGTATATGACACTTACGTGAAAAAGAGTGCTTTGAGGTGTTTGCTTTTGGGGCTGTAATGTATATGACTGAATGTATGTACCCAAAAGACATTATAAATACTTAAGTTTTCTGTTTTTCTTATTAGTTTTCTACTCTTCTTCATTTTCATTTTCTCTAAGACAGACTCATCCTTTTATGCTTCCTTGGTTCTGTTTTGTTTTGGTTTTGCATAGCATGCTGGGAGAGGGTAGCCCCAGGTTGACTTTTATGACTTGGAGATGTGAAGTCTGCCCAGGAGACACCAAACCCTCTGTGGCCACTCCTCAAACTGATTTCAGTAGATTAGGCTCTAATCATGATGTTGATCACATTTCAAAGCCAGCAACAGGGTTAGGCTTCTAACAGAAAGTGGCCCAGAGTAGCTGATCCTCCACTGCCATTGCTGTCCCCATTTCCCTGCCCCACAGTCCTTGTAGCAGCTTTAACTTTACTGGGTTGATAAATTTACCTGAAAAATTGGCCTCAAAGCAGAAAGATCAATAAAATTTTAAATAGATTTTGGATTCAATAATTATTGTTGGAATCAATTCAATCTCTGCCAAGTAGTATTTTTTAGAAGTTTCTATATGATTTAATAGCAAGTTGGTTCTATTTTGCTTTCTTTACAGGTGAAAGCTGCCTGCTGTCTGCATTTTGAACCCTTTTTAAAAAAATTCATTTTGTAGATATGTTGTAAAGAGTAACAGAGCATTGGAAAGATTAATTTTTTTTTATAGATGAGGAAATTCAAGATTTTAGGCTATAATTAATGGGTGAATTAGTATGGTTCATATCATACTACAGTGTTTATTGGTGCATTTATGTATGCAAAAAAAGATAATAAGTAGAAGAAAAAAAGTAGATGTTCAGTAAATGCTAAACAATGTTTAACATATCAGTGGACAGAAAGAGCATGGTCTCTTCTCATCAAGCTTTATATGCCAGTGGCAACAAGTAAATGCAAGTGCAGTTAGTGTAAATTCAGTGTAAATTCAAGTGCAATGACAGTGCCGTCTATGTTGCAGTCGGCAGGGAGTACTAATTTCCTCTGGTCTGTTCTTTATGAACAAAACGGAGATCTGAAGGATAATTTATAACTAAAGTTAATAATTACAGCTAAATTTCAGTCTTAAGGTCTAAGGAATATATTAGATAATTTCTCCTTTGTCAAAATATTGAAGCATATCATAATTTTTCTTTTCCTATAAAATTGCACACCATTTGTCTTCCAATGTCTTATAACATACTTATTAAAATTCATAATGTAATTACCCAAGCTTTTATTATATAAATTCTTCATAGCAGTTGGGTGGTTTTCCAATCATCCCTAAAATGACATCCAAACATTCTTGATCTATAGAACCCTTCATTTTGTCCATATTTTATGAAAACATAAATGCTTTTTAGAACGATAGTTTTGGCATCAAGAGCAACTTTTAAATTATGATGGGTACTATAACAATGAGTGTGACTTTTTATGATATGTTTTAAGAGCTGCCTATTGACATAACCTTAAATGATCTACCAAAAGGAATTTACGATATACATTGGCCAGATATCCTCAGAGAAAAACCAGTGGAACTGTTGAGAACAAATTCACATATCTCTGGCCTCTACCGTTTACCACTAAGTAATTTTTAACAATACGGTATATGAGCCCAAATGTGACCACTGAGAAGATACAAAGGTGTGATAAGGGAAATGATGGTTCATTTGAGTGCTGAGGAAGGGCCTTGCTGACGAGCAAAATGAAGGCCATACCTGAGGACCAAAGTTGGACTTGTTCTGAGTTAGCAGGCTCTGCGGATGCAGAGCGAGGCAAGTTTGAAGGGCAGCAGGACAGCGCTACCGGCCTAGTTGGAGAGAGGCAGTGGGCAAGGCCAGATTGGAAGTGCACTGAGAACTGTTGAAGGGTTCAGTAGCGACTTGCTTGATCAAATTTGAACTTTCGAAAAGTTCCTGGCTGCTGCATGGATAAAGGCTTGAGGAATTGCAGGCAAAGAAGAGGCCACAAAAGTTGAGGCCTTTTGGGGTGGGTTTGGGGCAGGCAGTGGGGGATGGAGAAGCAGAGTGATCAGAGGGGAGACAGGAGGATTTACCAGTGCTGTGGACTGAAGGAATGGTGAGGGAGAGGATTGAGGAGGCAGCAGGAGAGTGAGTAGGGAAAATAATGTTATTTCAGGACTTCCAAGCCATTTCTAAAGGGTTGGTTAGAGTCTGAGAGGGGACTGGTGAAGGGAGAGAGTTTAGACATGGTAAACTTAAGACATTTTGTGTGAGAAAATGGAATGCTAGGAGGGAAGCTGGAAATCATACCAACTTGGTGCTCTCAGAACATGTGAACTTGTGAGACAACAAATCCAACGGGTTTCCAGCCCTCATTGTCAACAAGACCTTTCGGTTAAGACGTGGGGAGGAAGGTTGTCCAGCTCCAGCCTTGGGAAAGGCAGGGCTTTGGAGGGAAAGGGAGGAAGAACTTGTGAGACTGAGGAAGGTCGAAGTTTGGCAGCGACAGCAGGGAACCATTCACAGGGGACCGCTCGCTGGGAACCCATGGATGTTGGGCTTGAGTGAAATAAGCATAGAGAAAGGGCTTTCAGTGACCGCGGGTCACCAGAGCCCCGAGCCCAGTAGGAAAGAAGACAGGTCTGCATGAAATTGATCTGAAAACGGGAAAGTGAGGTCAGTGTAGGGTTAGCTGAGCTTGAGTGGAGGTAGGCTGATTGATTAAAAGTGCAAACAGTCTCCCTCTGTGGTTTTTCCTTAAATACTGTTTTCCCATTAACTATCTGCTCCAAAAATCTTCTTTTTGGTTGATTAAATTCCCAATGGTATTTTTATGTGATTAATAGGCTACTATGTGTTAGTTTGAAAATATGTTAGAAACCTGGTAAGTAATGTGTTGTCTTAAATTTAAGCTTTGTTGTATTACCCAACTCAAAATAGGCTCTTTATTGTTTGACATTTATTTTGTGTTTTCCTTTAAAATGTTATCTTTGTGGAGTAAACATTTTTCTTCATGTTGTTTAGTGTTTTCATGAGATTAGTTCAGATTATTGCTGAATATAGTTATTTGGTAGTAAAATGTCTTAGTTTTATTGTAAGTATTCTAATAAGTTATTATTTCTTGTATATATAAATAATCAGATACTTTAGGCATTTTAATTTGCAAATTTAGGACAATTGCTTTAACGTTTTCAGTTTTCAACTTAATCCCTGGGATGTAATCTAAGTATAATAGTCTCTTAACTAAAAACCAAAACTCACAATAAATGGTCATTGAAGGAAGGGTAATTAGATGCTAGGATTATAATGGTATTTGCATCTGAAGGTTACAAACTAAGTTTCCACAATTTAAAGTGAACGTGTCTATTTATTGATAATTTTTTTTATTGCATTTTCTGATTATATTTTTTGCCTACTGGTTGGGTTGTTATAGCAGTGGGTTACATGACATTCTTTATGGTAATCTATTCTCCTTTCCAGTGGAGTAATTGATTGTTGTTAGAAGAAAGTAATCCCCAAATAGTTTCTTATAATTCTAATTTTAGAGTTTGTTTGCCTTTTATTTATAGATGGTGTTATAATTGATGCATAAGTCAGTGTTGATTTCATATAAGCCTTAATTTTTAATGTTTCATTGTGCTGATGTTTCAACCAGAATAAAATATTTAATGCAATTTGTAGCTGCAAACATTTAAGAAATAAAGTCACTGTAAGAGATAAGCTTATTTTCCCTAACTTGAAGCAATTTGTCCTAAATTTCCACACGTCTGCATTTGTTTTTGCTGTTCTAAAATTCCTTAGTTGCTGGCTTTGACCTTTTATGTTGCTGAGTTTTACACATCTATTTTCTCACCTGCCATATCCTAGGGGGCTTGGAGTACCCATAATACAGTGAGCCCACCTTCCTGGTCCCCAGACATTTCAGAAGGTCGGGAAATTTTTAAACCCAGGCAGCTTCCTGGCAGTGCCATTTGGAGCATCAAAGTGGTAAATAAAATTGCATTTACATTCATGTATCATTTCTTTCTGGTTTTATCTGAGTAGAACTTCAGAATGGAGCCTTTCTTTTCTAACTAGTTTAGCTTTCAGAGCCACTTTAATAATGAAGAGACAAACTAAAAACTTTAATAATGAAGAGACAACATGCTTGCACTTAAAAATATGAATTAGGAGGAAATTAAATTGTAATTTTGCACCTGTCATTTTAAGTGTAAATTTTTAATACCCTTTTCCATGGTTTCTTCCTTTTATGTTGTAATTAGCAGTATGGGTAAAATCCTTGTCATAGAGGCTATGAATTAATTGGTTATTGGTCATTTTTTGTGATATCATAAAATTTTGTTGCATACAAAATTGTTAATGTAATAGTGGAGAAGAAATACCAGGGTCACTGCAGATTTCATTGGCTGTGTTAACCTCAAAATTATAGGGCCTTTTCCATGTCATTGGGTGACTCCCTAGTTCTTAAAGTAAGTTAAGTCTGATGCATTTTGAAGGGTAAAAAATTAACTTGAAAACTGTTAATCATCTGAAAAGTTCAACTATTTTAGTGACTAGAGAACACAGTTTTCTTTTATCTTCTACATTTGATGTAATTCTGGAATAAGGATGTTTAATTTTAGATGAACCAAGGATTTCAAAGGAATTGTAAATTTCACTTTGTAATTTTCTATCAGCATTGGACGAATTATTTTTTTTTAACTGATATCATGCAAGGTGTTGAAAGTATAAATATTTAAGAGTATAAAAGATGACTTGTTTGACAATTTTGAAGCAAGTACCACCAATTTTCACCTTGGATGTTGGGGAAAAATAAATTGTGAGATTATTATAGTCTTCATTTAAAATTTGGCTTAAGTTTTAAAAATTGTTGCATACCTATTGACAAAAGAACGAGAAGAAACTATCCAAGTCAGCCCTACTACCCCTTGTTCAAAGAAGCTTGGAGGACAGCAAGTTTCAGAGGACAAGGAGGGGCAGTTTGAAAAATGGAAGGATTTATTAAAACTAAAGGAAGATTCTTCCTCCCTTTTTGTTCATATGTATGTGTCTTACGCTCACAATATAATCATTAATTATTGACTTGGAAACTTCTGCTAAATTGGTAATGAGTGCAGCATTTCAAACTGTGATTAGTGAGATCGGTTGAACATAAATACTGTTTAACTTGTTAGGGAAAAAATAGCAAAGGGTTTTCTTGAATATTTTAATATTTTTAAAAATATTTTTTTATTGACTTCAGAGAGAGGAAGAGAGAGGGGGAGAGAAACATTAGTGATGAGAGATAATCATTGATTGGCTGCCTCCTGTACGCCTCCTACTGGGGATTGAGCCTGCAAACCAGGCATGTGCCTGATCGGGAATTAAACCGTGATCTCCTGGTTCATAGGATGATCTACAACTGAGCAACACCAGCCAGGTATAATTTTAAATATATACAAGGATATGTAATTTTCAGGTTTTTGAGATAGTAGGATATAAGTCTGAGTATAAACAAGAAAAAGAAAACCACAACAAATAATCCTAATATTTATTTGTTAAATTATCTGGGAATTGAACGTGTTTTCCCATAGAATTTTTTCTTGGATTGGGTAAAAATTCAGATAAATTTTTTCCGTTTTAAGTAATTATTATCCAGATGATTCAAAGTAAGCTTTTTATACTTCCACCATTTTCCTATCTATAACTAAACTGTACTCTAAATACTATAGTACCGTGGTTGGCAAACTGCGTCTCTTGAGCCACATGTGGCTCTTTGGCCCCTTGAGTGTTGCTCTTCCACAAAATACCACAGCCTGGGCGAATCTGTTTTGAAGAAGTGGCGTTAGAAGAAGTTTAAGTTTTAAAAAGTTGGCTGTCAGAAGAAATTTCAATCGTTGTACTGTTGACATTTGGCTCTGTTGACTAATGAGTTTGCCGACCACTGCTATAGAAGAATAAGGCACTCATGTTCAGTCCATACAGACAACTATTGAATAGTAAGGGAAGATGATGATTTTAATGGCTAGAAGAAATATTATTGTGTACTAGCAAAAATTATTGATAGCTTTCATGCAGTGTGGCAGTTCAGAATAGTGGTTAAGAACCAGACTTGCTAGGTCTGTGGCTTTTGATAAGTTAGTTCACTTTTCATTCCTCAGTACACTGTATCTCTTAAATGGGGATAATAAAATAGGACTGATCTTGTAAGATTGTTGAGAGTAAAACATGCTACGAGAGTCCTAGTAAGTCTTGCAAACAGGTTAGCTCTTACTAAGTTTACTGAGAGACCAGGCAGCCAGAGTCGCTCCTTGTACTCCCTGTGCATGGATTACAAGTGTGGCACCCAGAGATACTTGGGAGGGCTGTGGGTGTTCTAGCCATCTGGAACGCAGGGTGAGGCAATGGAAAAACAAGGCCAGGGTTTGCGGATATAGGGCATTTGTAACTGACAGACCTGAAGTTTGAGGTTGTAAGCGCTTTATGTTTTTAAGTTGCAGAATACATATTAAAAGATACAAATATAACCCTGATATCTCAATATTTATCTGATCAAAATAAAAGAAAGAAGCAACTGTATGTGTAATATTTAATGAGATGTTTTGCCTCCCACTTAGTTTTTTAAACGCTTTGGGGCTTGAGCGGAATCTGACGTTTCCTTGTCTGTTGTGTAGGGCCGCGGGTCGGGGTTCCCAGGAAAGCGGAGACCTCGCGGTGCAGGCCTGTCGGGCCGTGGCGGCAGAGGCAGGTCCAAATTGAAAAGTGGAATGGGGACAGTTGTGCTACCTGGGGTAAGGCTCTCCTCCTCTCCGTTAGCTGTCATCCTTAACACATCGACTGGTGATGGTGACCTTCTGGATAGCAATTATGTAGACAGAGTCACATAAATGGGCTAACATTGTCATTTTACTATGTTTTTGCTTAAACACTTCTGGTCAGGCTTTCTACTTTCTAATCCTCCTCCTTTTTTCTTGCCTTCTTTTTTGATACTGTTCTTTCTATGCTAATCCTCCTCCCAAATCCAAATGGGTATTTTCTTTATTTAAAAAAGGGCAAACTCCTGTCATATTCTTGTTTACTTGAAAAAATTCTGTTGGCATTTTAAGTTTTGGTTTTAGCTGGTCTCAGTGTTATATAAAAAGGCTTACAGAAGAAATGAGAGATGTTGCAGGTTTGTGCAGACACTAAAATGTGAAGGATTTTATGACTACTTTGACATTTTAAGATTGATAAATATTTGTTGACACTTGATGAGGCTTTAATTAAATGTATCTTGAAAACAACAACAACTATTTAGCTGGTAATATTTCCTGCAGTAACTATTTCCTAAAATCCTGTTTTTCAAATTCTAATTGTCATTTTAAGTTTAGGAGTCAAGTGGGATTGTTTAATTTTACTATTAAAGGAGTAAAGAAACATAGGTCTAGTCCTGTATTACTAGGCAAATTCATTTCTTTTCATAACTATGTCTTGTAAAGACGAGATGCTTTAATTTTGATGAAGTCCAATATATTTTCTTTGTCAATTGTGCTTTTGGTGTCTGAGAAATAGTAGTATGACCCAAATTAGAAATGTATTCAGTATTTTCTTATAACAGTTTTTTAAAAAATATACATGTTCTATTGATTTTTTTAGAGAGGAAAGGAGAGGGATAGAGAGTTAGAAACATCTATGAGAGAGAAACATGGATCAGCTGCCTCTTGCACACCCCCTATTGGGAGTGTGCCTGCAACCAAGGTACATGCCCTTGACCGGAATCGAACCTGGAACCTTTAGTCCATAGGCTAACGCTCTAGCCACTGAGCCAAGCTGGTTAGGGCTCCTACAGCAGTTTGGTGATATTAGATTTTGCATTTAGTTCTGTGATCCAATTTGAGTTGATTTTTATGGCTCATGTGGTATGGATCAAAGTTTACTTTTTGGCATACTGAATATCAGTTGTTTTAGTACCATTTTCTGAATCGCCTTTGTATCATTCTTAAAAATTAGTTATCTGTATATTTGTGAATCTAATTTTGGAATCTCTAAATTTTCTCTATCTTTAGGCAATCCAATAGGCTGTTTTGATTACTTCTACTTTATAATACTCTTGAAATTAGACTCCATTAGTCTTCCAATATTCTACTTTTTCAAAGTTGTTTTGACTATTCTAAATCCTTCATATTTTTGTATGAATTATAGAATTAGCTTGTCAATTTATACAAATAAGTCTGGTGGGATCTTGGTTGGGTTTGCATTCAAAGAACAGATCAGTGTAAGGAAATTGTCATTTTAACCATATTGAGCTTTTTACCTTTTAACCATATACTTTGTGTATCTCTCCGTTTTTTAGGTCTTGAATTTCTCTTCAGTGCTATTATTTAGTTTTTAAAATATAGGTCTCACACCATTTCTCAGATTCATATGAAGTCTTCCATATTTTTTATGCTAATGTAAAACGTAGTGTTGTCTCAATTTCATATTGTGGTTGTTACTATCTGGAGACAATATTTGTTTTTGCATATTGATTTTGTGTCCTACAACCTTAACAAAAACTCCCTTATTGCTTCTAGTTGCATTTTTGTAGATTTCATTTGTAGATTTTGGGCATACACAATTATGTCTGCCAATAAAGTTTTATGTCATTTCATTTTTTTTCTTTATTACATTTTTCTTTATTATTACCTTTAGTATAGTGTTGAATAGTTGGGATGAAATCAGGCAATCTTTTTTTTTTTTTATCTTGGGGAGTTTTAATCTTTCATCATAACATATAGTTTTCTTAATAGACATCCTAAATCAGTTTGAGGAAGCTACTATCTATACATAATTTGTTGATTTTTATTTTATTTTATTGGAAGTGGATGTTGGATTCTTCAAATGCCTTTTCTGCATTTTACAAATAATCCTGAGGCTTATTTGCTGATATGCTGAATTACATCAATTGGATTTTTGTGTGCTAAAGCTACCTTGTATTCCTGGGATAAATACTACTTGGTCATGATATTTTATCTTTCTTGCTTTTTCTAGGTGTCTGCTGCTGATATTTCATCGAATAAGGATGAAGAAGAAAACTCCATGCACAATACGGTTGTGCTGTTTTCTAGTAGTGACAAGTTCACTTTGCATCAGGTTTGAATTTAGCTATTTCCATTTTCCACTTCTGAATCCTCCTTGCCCTCTTCTGCTTTATCTCATGTGCACCGAAGTCATCTGATATCTAACTCTAGAGCTGTGCTAGCTAAGAATTATACTATAAAATTATAAAATTTTATTACATTCTTATGTTCATGTGTACTTAATTTCAGGATATGTGCGTAGTTTGTGGCAGTTTTGGCCAAGGAGCAGAGGGAAGATTACTGGCCTGTTCTCAGTGTGGGCAGTGCTACCATCCATACTGTGTCAGTATTAAGGTAAATATGCTTACATTTAAATGACATAACAAAAAAATGCAGTTACATTTGATTTGATTTGTATAGTATACCGCTTCCAATTCTTATAATTAATCAGTTGTTGTCAGGATAATTGTACGTATGGACCAATATATACTTTCAATATTGCCTTTCAAATGTTAACCTGAAGAAATTGATCTATAAATCTATTGTCTTTGAATTGTAATGATTATCCTGCTATTGTCTTGAAAAAGTAATTTTTATTTTAAAATGTGCTTTATACTGTTATTTTTAAGGCATAAGTTTAGTTGATGCATTCTGTTTATTATAAAAGTTGAAAGCATCTAGAATAGTTTTAGTCTCTCCCCACATTCTTTCTTCTCAACCCTAACCATATACAGAATGTGTTTGTTAGGCTTCTTGGATCAGTTGATATTTTTAATCAGTTTGGATCATTCTTATCCATTTTCTTCAAAATTTTTTTATGTTTCCTTCTCCTGTTTCTAGAATTTCAGGTGTGTGTGTGAAATTGCATAACATTTCCCCAGATTACTGACACTGTTGGTTTTCCCCCAGTTTTCTCTGTGCTTTAGTTTGTATAGTTTCTATTACATTTCCCAAAACTCAGCGTTGTTAGGAAGTTTAAAGCCCATCCAGTAAATTTAGGAAATTTAAAGCCCATCCAGTAAATTTTTCAGAAAATTATATTCTTTAATCTCAGCTCCATTTTATAGTTTATTATTTTGTAGTTAAAATTTTTGTCTTCAAGTGTTTGTATATATTTACCTGGCACTTCTCACTGTATTAACTAATAGTTCTGCTCATTGGTAGATGTTCTCCTGCTTTTAGAGCATATAGCAATTTTTGATTGAATGTGGACATTGAGAATTAAAATAGTATATTGTAGGGAGTCTGGATTTTGTTTCTTTAAATTGTATTTAGTTTTTGTTGTGGCAGTTATTTGTGCATAAATTTAAAACTTTTGAAGCTTCTTTTTAAGTTTTCTGGTGTCATTCTAGAGAACCTTCATAATGAAGTGTGCATTCTTAAACATTTTGGTTTTAGAACCATTAACACTCTTAAAAATTACCATAGAGTTTTTGTTTATGAGGATAATAACTTGAATATTTTATTTTAGAAATTAACTGAGAATTTTTTAAAACACAAAATTATACAGGCACAGCTTGGATGGTGCCATTGTAATGCTGTTGTGTCCATCATGCAGCTTCTAGAAGCATCACTGAGTGGATTAACATGGAAAAGACAAAGTCTTAGTATAATTATGAAAATAGCTCTGACTCCCAGACCCACTAGGGTTCCCCAAATGACACTTGGCGATGGCCGTGGTAGTGCTAGTTCATTCTTCTTTGCCACTCGGTCATTCCTGACCACCATCACCCTCCCTCTCCTCCTCCCCCCATTCACCACTCTGACTAGTTAAGTTCCACATGTTTTCCAACATTGTGTGGGCTCTGATGTTGTTCAACTTACACATTCCCAGGAGCCGTTGCCCTGGTTATGGGGCTCTGTTTGGCTTCATAGATGGCTTTAGTGAAAGGCCTCAGGGAAATGCTGTGTAGATTGATCCTTTCTTTCCAGTCCTCTGTCCTGCAGTTGCCTCAGCCTCCCTGAGCGCCATCATGTGTGCTAAGCTTGGTGAGACCATCATACTCTGCTGGGTTTCTTCCTCCCTTGGCAGCCCCCTAAGAAAATGTCTACAGGCAGAATATCATAGGACTCACCTCACTTGTCCCACTCCCCTCAGAAGCTACAGGCCTGGACTGCTTCTTGTCCAATGTCTGAAAATGAGTGCTTCAGACATTTTGTCCAGTTTTCTGTATTTTATGATGGGAGCAAGGTCTTATCCCAGTTACCTTAGTGTAGTTGAAGCAGATATGCATTATAGACTATAAAACATACTCATCATGCCGTTAGACATGGTGGGCACCCTGCCTGATGTCATACCTGAAAGAGCTTTTAGAAACGAAGACTAGACCAGTAGGAGAGCCCTGGAAGGGATTTCGGGGATAGGGGGCTGTTCATATGTTGAAATACTGCAGAGAGGTCCAGTACACACTAACATGTCAACTACATTTGGGAGTCAGGAGATCTTAACTGGCTTGAGCATTTTCAGCAGTGATGGGCATGGCAATCAGATTGAGTGTGCAGGAGAGTGACTATAAACTGAGTAATTTGAGAGTTCGGCTGTAAAGGACCACAGTATAGTTGTTTGTGAAAGAGGAGAACTTAGGAGTAAAGATACAATATAAAAACCTTTTTTCTACCACTAAGTACCTTGGGTCTATCTTCCACTTTGTCTTTCTTCTGCACCAGGGATTGGTAAACCATGGCACCAAATCTGGCCCCCCAACCGCTTCTGTAAATGAAGTTCCCGTTGGAATGCAGACATGCTCTTGCTTACACCTATCTGTAGTTGGCTTCTCGCTGCAATGACACAGTTGTGGAGTTCAGCAGGCCACGTTCCCCATAAAGTCTAGAATATCCACTGTCTGACCCTTTACAGAAGTTTGCTGGCCACTGCTCTAAGCCACCCTGCTCTCCCTATCCAGGGTTCTTTCCTCCATTTGGTAAATACGATCATGTAAGATCAATTTACATGAATTGGTAGACTAATCAAAGTAATGAATACAGCCGGAACCGGTTTGGCTCAGTGGATAGAGTGTCGGTCTGTGGACTGAAAGGTCCCAGGTTCGATTCCGGTCAAGAGCATGTACCTTGGTTGCGGGCACATCCCCGGTGGGGGTGTGCAGGAGGCAGCTGGTCGATGTTTCTCTCTCATTGATGTTTCTAGCTATCTGTCCCTCTCCTTTCCTCTCTGTAAAAAAATCAATAAAATATATATTTTTAAAAAAGTAATGAATACACATGCTTCAAAGTATCAAATGGCTTTAAAAGCCCCACAGTGACCCGTAATGAGTGACCCATCCCCTCTTGCTCCAGCTCCTCTACTGAATCCTGTTCTCCACGGGGGACACTTCTTCTTTTTTTTTTTTTTTCATGGAGCTGTATGGCCATGGGGGACACTTCTGATCTGCAGGTCTTAGTGAATGAACTCTGTAGCCATACATTGAATGCTGGTGCTGCTGCTTTATCTGACTCAGATTCTGTGACTTTCTGCTATGAATGAAATGAATGCTAACTTAGCTTTTAAAATACACTCCTTGCCTTCTTCCCGCATCCCCGAATGCCTGTAGACATTTTTCCAGGGTGCTGCCAAGGGAGGGAGAAACTGCATTTAGTTAATAGACAGTGTTGGCTATGACTCCGTAAGTGTTCACTGAACATCTGAAGAGCATACCGGGACTTACTTTTGTTTTCATGGAGTTTTTACTAGAAGAAGAAAATGCATAAATTCATGATTCCCCATCAGCTTGTGTTGCCCTTAGTTTTTGCCAGCTATAGAAGCTAGATCAGAGCCGATTGTTTTGGCAGGTACCTGCTTTTCTGGGAAGAGTGTTCCAATCTAGGCCTTGTTCAGCCATCTTCCTTACGCTTTCCTTCATGGGGGCCATTGCTTTCTGGAGCCAGACCTTCCCTTTTCTTGGCACACACACTCATTTTGTTTCTTGTACCTTTAAGCAATTTCATTAGGTGGGTTATTTGGGAGCTGAATTTTGAGTCCTTGGATGCTGGAAGGTATTTTACTTTCACACTTGATTACTAGTTTACTTGGGTAAGAATTGTACCTTGTAAACTATTTTCCCATAGAATGAAAGTTTCCAACTCTGGCTGCTTAAATAAAGTTTGATGCCAGTAAAAAAAATATGGTTATTTATTGATTTCAGAGAGAGGAAGGGAAAAGGAGAGAGAGAGAGGAACATCAGCGATGAGAGAGAATCATCGATTGGCTGTCTCCTGCACACCCTTTACTGGGGATCAAGCATGTGATTGGCATGTGCCCCGATTGAATCAAACCGTGACCTCCTAGTTCACAGATGGACTTTCAACCACTGAACCACTCCAGTTCGGCAAGTCTGCTGCCATTTTGATAGTTGTTCCTTTATTTACTTATTTTTCTCTTAAGTAGCTTTAGACTTTCTTATTCCTCGTGCTCTGAGTTTTGTTGTCTTGATTGCTTGCTATTTCGTTATAATAACACTGGCCCTTTGTGATTATTTTTTTTGCCAATAGACTATAGGCTTTAAGTTGATTCTAAATTCTTACTATTATATGGTGTGACTGCTTTGAGGAGTCTTTCAGAAGTATAGGGATTAAAAAACTTTTCTAGAGATTCTCAAAGTTACCTGAGAGAATAAAAAGAGGAGTGAATGGGAACTTCAAAAGTCTTAGTCCTTTAAGATCATAAAATGTTCTTGGGAACTCATGTTTTACTTTTTTTTTCTTCTTTTTTTTTCTTTTGCATTTTTATATTGACTAATACTACAAGTGACTTTGCAATGTATACAAGTTTCAGAAGCATGAATTCATGAAATGTTAGAGTAGAAACTATGTTGATACATTTTAAATCCTTTCCTATATAATAAAGAGCTAATATGCAAATGCTCATCACACTCTCACATCATCATACTCAGACGCTCAACACTGGGGAGAGAGGAATCGGGACCAGCCAAGCACAAATGAGTTTGTGCAAGAGGAATGGAGTCTAGCCAGGCTGCAACCTGGGAGGGGGGACAGCTGTCCTCCTGCGGTCCCAAGTGCCAGCAGCTATGCCTGCACCTGTGGTCTGGGAGAGGGACAAGCCGCCCACCTCGTGGTTCCGGGTGCCAGCGGCTGCATCCCGGGAGAGGGACAAGCTGCCTGCCCCGAGGCCCTGGGTGCCTATAGTTGCACCTGCGGCCTGGGCGAATCCACCCACCCACAGTCCCCTGCAGCTGCAGCTGGCTCGGGAGAAGCTGGCCAGAGGGATGGAAGCCTGGGGTCCCAAGTGCCTGTGATCAGCCAGAGGACGGAATCGTAGGTTCTTGGTGAGGCAGAGATGGTTAGGGGCAATTAGGCTGGTAGGGGAGCAGTTAGGGGCAATCAGGCAGGCAGGCAGAGGTGGTTAGGAGCCAGCAGTTCCCGATTGCAAGAGGCAGTCCGACATCCCCTGAGGGGTCCCAGATTAGAGAGGATACAGGGCGGACTGAGGGCTCCCCCCTTCTACTCCCACATGAATTTCATGCACTGGGCCTCTAGTATTTTTAAAAATATATATTTTATTAATTTTTTTTCAGAGAGGAAGGGAGAGGGATAGAAAAATCGATGAGAGAGAAACATCAATCAGCTGCCTCCTGCACACCCCCTACTGGGGATATGCCTGCAACCTAGGTACATGCCCTTGACCGGAATCGAACCTGGGACCTTTCAGTCCGCAGGTCGATCCTCTATCCACTGAGCCAAACCGGTTTTGGCTTAGGGCCTCTTGTATTAACAATAAGGGGACCGTTTACTTGATTTCCATAATAACCAGTCACATCTGTAAAATGGACATAAAAGCCACTGCACAGGGTAGTTACATGGATGCAAAAAAGCAGTAAGATATTAAAATATTTACTGCTTTCCTTTATTCTGTCCAGTCGGGGAGCTCCTCAAAGTATTTCAAGGTGTCCACCTCCATGTCGGGCCACTGTTGGTACTCAGTAAATGTCAGTTTGCCTCTTTCTGCTTTTAAGTCCATAAGCACCATGTTCATTACATGGCGTATTCGGTCCTGTGCATTGTGTATGTTATGTATAAACCACGTGCCAACTATTTCTTTTCCAGATCACTAAAGTGGTTCTCAGCAAAGGTTGGCGGTGCCTTGAGTGCACCGTGTGTGAGGCCTGCGGGAAGGCCACGGACCCAGGGAGACTCCTGCTGTGCGATGACTGTGACATCAGTTACCACACCTACTGCCTGGACCCTCCCTTGCAGACGGTGCCCAAAGGCGGCTGGAAGTGTAAATGGTACTCTAGGTTTACACTACTTGAGCTTTAAAAATCAGCCATCTCTGCTTGGTTGCTTAATACATGTTTACCACGATAGCTGTCACTAATCAGATTTTTCAAATACACATGGAATAATTTCCATCTACTCTGTTCGTGTGTAGCTTCTTGAATCACAGTAACTGAATAAGTAAAATTGGACTTGTGGTGGAATTGGCTTTCAGGTGTGTTTGGTGCCGACACTGTGGAGCCACGTCTGCGGGTCTGAGATGTGAGTGGCAGAACAACTACACGCAGTGTGCCCCCTGTGCAAGCCTGTCTTCCTGCCCCATCTGCTACCGAAACTACCGGGAGGAAGACCTCATTCTGCAGTGCAGACAATGTGATAGGTATGGTGCTGGTGGTTTTCTCATAAATGTAGTAGAAGGAAATTAGAAAATAACTTTTTTAAATTTAAGAAACAACACCTTTGCTTTCCAGATTTTTAATAAGCTAGAAACCCATAGAAGTTTCCAGTTTTGTTTTCTCAGTTCCAGACTAAAGATCTTAAGTTACTAGTAGGGCTTTTTGAGGGTTGGTGAATCCCTTGAAAATAGATGCAGCCAAATTATTGCCTGCATACATGCATTTTTCTCGGAGAGTTTCTGAATGTTAGATTTTACAAAGGACCTCACACATTCTGTGTTCCTTAAGCCACTTTTTCTGAAGGCTCTAGACACTAAGCATCTATGTGCTCTCCCTATGTGGACTGTGTGCAGCTTCAAAATCAAGACTGTTGTCTTGGTTTTAATGGTACACTCTGTGCTCTGTGAGCAGTTAACTCTACATGTGATAGTAGTGTTTTATCAGCCCTGCAGGATTCTCAGGACTCTGCCCACAATTCCTTGTTACAAGGCAAGACAGCTCCTTTTATTTCCCCATTACTATCTGCTTCATTTGCATGAGCTCTGTATGTCCCACGGTATGTGCCCCACGTGAAACTCACTCACTCACTCACTCACTCACTCACTCACTCACTCTACGGTTTGCAGTCTCTGAATTCCCATGCACTTAACCTGCCCCATCGAACTTCCCAGATATTTAGGGTTTGACCATCAAACCGTTATCCCTTCCTAGAACTTGATTTCATTCCTTTTTCTGTCCTTTTTCTCAGCTTTGAAAATGTTTGTGGGTCAGTAGGCAAGGTTAGGAGGAAAGGGTAACTTTGGTTTAGACAGGGGGAGCATTTGAGGATTCGGGATTTGAAGTGTGGAGTCTATCAACTCCTATTTTTAAAAGAAAACCATTCTTAATATATATCCTTTTTTAAAGTGTACAAATATGGTCTTTTTAGATGGATGCATGCAATTTGTCAAAACTTAAATACTGAAGAGGAAGTGGAAAATGTGGCAGACACTGGTTTTGACTGTAGCATGTGCAGACCCTATATGCTGACATCAAATGGTAAGAGAATGGTTTAGACAGCAAGTCTGCTCGGCTACAACCCTGTGCTTTGCTGTTCAGAACCAGTGAGTGGTTGACACTAATTCTGTTTTCTTTTTGCGAAACTATATTTTAACAAATATTTTATGAAAATTAAGTTACTTTTATTGTAAGTAATTCTTATCATCCCAACTTAATATATTAAAACAATTTGCTTCCATAAAGTAAAATAAGTATATATTTTAGCTATAAATGTAATTTTGCTTTTAAAGCATATAACCCTGTTGTTGTTGGCAGTTTGTAGAAATCCCAGTACCTTGGTTCTTTTATCTTTACCAGTTTTTTCTTCCTATGTGTGCATTTTCTTCACCTGCTTATTTCATTAATTTTAATTTTAATTTTTTGTTAATCCTCACCAGAGGATATTTTTTACATTGTTTTTCAGAGACAGAGAAGTTGAAGGGAGGAACAGAGGGAGGAGAGGGAAAAACATTGATGTGAGGGAGACACATCAAGCTATTGCCTTCCAAACATGCCCAGTAGGGGCCGGGGAGTGAACCTGAGACCCAGGTACATGCCCTTGACAGAAATTGAACCAGTGACCCTTCAGTGTGTAGGCCGATGCTCTAACCACTGGACAATCCAGCCAGGACTCAACTGCTTATTTTAAAGACAACTTTTAAACACTACTTAGTTTTTATGCATTTATTTTAGTAAAATGGTTACAGAAATAGAAATTTTAGTATTTTTAATCTTTGAATATATTTCACCTTTTCCAAAAAGAAAATCTCATGACTTTTTTTCCTCTCACTTCAGTGCCTTCCTCAGACTGCTGTGACTCCTCACTTGTAGCACAGATCGTCACAAAAGTGAAGGAGCTAGGTAAGGTCTAAGTGCTTTATTTGGCTGTTGTTTACAAAAAGATGTAAATGCATAATTATTGATTTAACTGACTTTCCACATATACATGAATCATTTGGGTGCTAGTCTAAATTCCCTAATGTTGCTAATCATTTATTTATTTTATTTTTTAAAATATATTTTCATTGATTTCAGAGAAGAAGTTAGAGGGAAAGAGAGATAGAAACATCAATGATGAGAGAGAATCATTAATTAGCTGCCTCCTGCCTGCCCCCTATTGTGGATGGAGCTCACAACCTGGGCATGTGCCCTGACCGGAAATTGAACCATGAACTCATGGTTCATAAGTCAATGCTCAACCACTAAGTCACCACGGCCAGGCAATAATCATTTCTATAATTGATACATAGATGCTCATCTTATTAGCTTTAGTGGGACAGTATTCCTATAAATATTCGCAGTTGGCAATGAAATAATATTAAGTCCATATTTGTTGTTTTCATTGATATATTACCTGCTTAGTTATCAGCAGAAAATAAGACCTAGTTAACTTTCTTCAGCATTAACTCAATCTATTGCTATTTTTTTTTCTGTACTAGATTAGCCTAGATGGTGATTAATAACTTATGAAGTTCTCATTCTTTTGTGTACTTTCATTTGCTATCATCAGTACAAAAATATTTGGACAGTTCAGAAATTGTCGTAATGAACGGCAATTTAGTATGTTTAAAAAATATTGCAGGGTTTCTCCTTATTTCTATCTCTCCCTGTAAGTGATTATATTGATAATTTGCTTTCCAGATGGGCTTCTGCAGTGTTCTTGTTTCTCTTGTATAAATTGGTCCTCATCTTTTAGTCGGACGGATTTCCCAGGAAAAGACTCACATGTAGAGGCATTAGCCTGGGGACTAAATGGTCTCAGGTTCAATTCCGGTCAAAGTCACATGCTTGGGTTGTAGTTTTGGTGCCCAGTAGGAGGCATGCAGGAAGCAGCCAATCAATGATTCCTTCTCATCGATGTTCCTATCTCTCTCTCCCTCTCCCTTCCTCTCTGAAATCAATAAAGAAATATATATTTATGAAAAACTTTTCTGCTATAACTTGAAGTTTTTTATTTTTTATTAAACCTCAGGGAATGAGGATATTTTTTCCATTGATTTTTAGAGTGGAAGGGAGGTGAGGGGTGGGGGGAAATATTGAGTGAGAGAGACACGTCAATTGGTTGCCTCCTGTTCAAGCCCTGACGGGCTGGGGATTGACCTTCATGCCCATGACCCTTTGGTCTGGAGGCTGATGCTCTAACCTAGGGGTGTCGAACTCAATCAGAGAAGGGGCCAAAATCTAAAATCCAGCCTAAATCATGGGCCGAATGGTTTACTGAACAGTCATAAACTGCCATTGTGATGGAAACGCAGCGGAGTGCAGTGATGACAGCGCGGTGCGGGCCACATTGCAGGGCCTGGCGGGACGGATTTGGCCCGCGGGCCTTGTGTTTGACACATGTGCTCTAACCACTGAACAAACTGGCCACGGCAGTAACTCTCACTTTTAATTAAGTACTCTTAGCTAATTATAACTGCATTTAGAAAATAATTGCTCTGTAGAAGTAACATTGGGTACTTTGTATCCACCTTTTTTGTTGTTGTTGTTGTTGTTAATCCTCACCCGAGGATATTTTTTACATTGATTTTCAGGGACAGTGGGACAGAGGGGGAAAGAGAGAAACATCTATGTGAGAGAGACACATCGATTGGTTGCCTCCTGCACCAGCCCCAACCAGGGCCTGGGCCAGGGAGGAGCCTATAACCGAGGTATGTGCCCTTGACCAGAATCAAACCTAGGACCCTTCGGTCCGCAGGCCAAAACTGTCCACTAAGCCAAACCGGATAGGATCATATTTTGTATCTTGAATTAACTTATCAATCAGAATTAAAGACAGAGTTTTAATTTGTATCCTTGGATATTACAATTTTAGATCCACCCAAGACCTACACCCAGGATGGTGTGTGCTTGACTGAATCAGGGTTGACTCAGTTACAGAGTCTCATAGCTACAGCTCCAAGAAGAAAGCGTTCAAAACCAAAGTTGAAATTGAAGATTATAAATCAGAACAGCGTGGCCGTCCTGCAGACCCCCCCAGACATCCAGTCTGAGCATTCACGGGATGGAGAATTGGATGACAGTCGAGGTAATAATAATTTATTTTTTGTGCAGTATGTTTGCAAGAATTAAAGTAGATAAAATAGCCAAATACTTAAAGGTAAATCCCACTGAGTCAGAAAATCCTGGATATGACACCTGATCTTTTCAACTGGGTGGTCTGACTGGACCGGCCTATGCCAGGTTCCCGCCCTTTTCATGTGTCCTTAGCACAGAGCTTCAGGACTTCCCCAGCATCGTGTGTGGAGGATCCCGGGTGGGAAAATTCAGAGGGCAGCATAAACCTCCTTGAGGCTGTAAGCTTGGGCACCATGGTTACGTTAAAGCAAAATGTGATCATGCATCCTATTCTAGAAATGGAAACACCACATTCTTAATCTTTAAGTATACATTTATAAACATTTTCCAGATCTAATGTCAAGATTTTTCGCCCAGCTGGCATGGCTCGGTGGTTGAGCATCGGAACCAGTAGTTCACAGTTCAATTCCAGTTCAGGGCACATGCCCGGGTTTCTGGCTCAATTCCTAGTAGGGGGTGTGCAGGAGGCAAGGCAGCTGGTCAGTGATTTTCTCTCATCGTTGATGTTTCTCTCTCTCCCTCACCTGTTCTTTTCTGAAGTAAGTAAAAAAATATTTTAAAAAGATTTTCTCAGCTGAATTCTTGAGATGACAATATAATTTTAGTAGTAGTAAATTCAATATGAGTTATATTTTTGCTTATTTTTGAAGCAGATGACTACAGGCTGGCTTATTTTTAGGGTGGTAATGTCTTTTTCACTGAGAAATAAAGTAATTATTTTTGTTCTACAACATCTCGTCACTGAACATACTTAATTGAAAGCCCCCTGTGTGCCAGATGTCGGAAGTCATGCCAATGAACAGAACAGATAAAATTCTCCTCTTGTGGAACTTACACTTTAATGTTAGGAGGAAAGACTGTTGAAATATATAATAATAAATAAGTTAATTATACTGTGTTTGGCAACTGCTATGGAAAAAATAGAGTAAGTAGAAGTAGGGGTGCAGGATCAGGTGAACGGAGAGCAGTTTGAGCACAGAGTTTGGAGGGTTGAGTGAGTGAGCCACTGGATTATCTGAGGTAGAGCATGCAGACAAAGGCCACGTGCAGGAGTGCTCAGCATGTGTGAGGAGTGTGGTGGAGACTGTTTGTGTTTTCTGACATAGTGCCTTAAGTTGCATGAGTTCTATGGCCAGCTTGGGACTTCTTCACTCTCCTACAATTTTCATTTCCTGGGATGCATGGAGCAGGGCTTGGCAGCCACTTTGCTTTGTGTTTCCTGTTACATAGGAATCATGTATTTGGTAGGTTTCCCCAATTTTCATTGTATACTTACTTTTTTCCAGAAGGAGAACTTATGGACTGTGATGGAAAGTCAGAATCTAGTCCTGAACGGGAAGCCATGGATGGTGAAGCCAAGAGTGTGGAAGGAACAGAGGGTGTCAGAAAGAGGAAGCGAAAACCATACAGACCAGGTGTGAGCCATGCTGCATGCTCTGATCCAAAGCTCAGTTACGTTAAGAAAAATAGAATGGGGTGGTGGTGGGAGGGGGGGGGGGTTCTCTTACCCTAATAAAATCCTAACAATAAAATCCTAATATGCTAAGTGTCCCGTCATCCAATCAACAAATTGAAGTGTGATATGCTAATGATATGCTAAGGCCACTCAACTGCTTGTGCACTGACCACCAGAGGCAGACACTCCTACCTGTAAGTTAGCTTGCTTCTGGGGACTGCCTGATGGGGACTGAGCGAGACAGGCGGACATGCCCTGGAGCCCTCCTGCGCTTCTTTCTGGGCTGGCCAACCTCCCACATCCCCTGTCCCCGGCCTGCCATAGCTACCCTTGCCAGACGGACCCCATCCGTGCACTAATTCATGCACTGGGCCTTAGGTGAGGCTTATAAGTACACTTTTAAAAAGATGTAACTGTTTTTTCTCTCTCTGCCTCACATGGAAGTTATCCCTCCCTCTGAGTGGCCCATTAGGTCACAAAATATGCTTTAGACTTGTAGGTCACATGACAAAAGCATTGACTGTGTGTTGGGCACTATTCCAAGCACTTTATATCTGTTAATTTATTTCATCCTTATATGTATGAGGAGGCACTGCACATTATTACCATTTTACCAGGGAGCAGTCTGAAAAGTTTAAATAAGTGACTAGAATTTCAGAATCTGGCTCCAGATTCCATGCCTTTACCTTTAGAGCCGTGTGTGTCTTGGTGTCTAAGGGTCTTACTGAGGAGTGACTGGACACAGTACCCCTGAAATCATTTGGATTTTGTTTGCATCATCTAGTGTAGTATTGTCTCTTCTCCCTCAGCTAAGAGACTGTTTACTAGTAAGTGATAATATGTGAGTTTTACATAAAGAATATTTACTCTGGCATTGTGTAGAAGAGGAAAGGTGCAGTCTTGCTGTTCTCGAATGTCCTGGTTTGGTTTGTTAGTGATAAGGCTTTAACCTTTTTATTTGCTTATTTCCAAAATGTTTTAGTTCTGCATTAAAATGACATTAATTATTTAAATTAGCCCATGTTGAATCTGTACAATGCTTCATTATGTAAGACTAAGCAATTTCACCCTATTTACTCTGGATGTATAGGGGTAAATTAATTATTTATGAGGTTATACAATTTCTTTGGGGATAGGTATCGGTGGATTTATGGTACGGCAAAGAAGTCGCACCGGGCAAGGAAAAGCCAAAAGATCTGTGATCAGGAAAGATTCCTCGGGCTCTGTTTCTGAGCAGTTACCGAGCAGAGATGAAGGTATGGATTTTGTTTGTGTTGCCATTGCTCCTGGAAAGAGCTATCCTATGCTAAATAATGCTACAGTGTTATTGCTGCTTACAATCAAAGGGTTTGAGCGCCTGTCCAGTTCATACCAGTAATACAGAAATTAGGTTTGATAAGGAAATGATTTGAATCTAGTAGACTATTACTTTGAGATGTTAAAAATAAGTTTCTTTCTTGCATGTGTTAAGTATAGATAGTGTAGGGACTGAATCACTGAGTTATGTATCAAGTACTTTAAGGCCTTTGCACAAGAGACTTTCTCTGACTGCCTTAGCTACTTGGCATGAAAGTGGAAAGTTTTAGACTACGTATGCAGTTGAAAATAATAGTGTACCCAGCAATTTTTAACAAAATTATGTAATGTTTTAGAAATACATCTTTCAATTAATAATCTGTCATCTTCACTTAGAGTAAAAGAAAACTGAATCATTGCTTAAGTCATAGCATAAGAACTGATTCTGATAAAGACCTTGTAATCATGATGGTTATGATTTGTATGCTTACATATTTTAAATGCTTTACATAGGATAGGGGAAGAAAAATTACTGTGTTCACAATGTGCTCCACGCAGAATTCTTGATTTTAAAGAAGTTTCTAACATGACTCAGCATGACTGTAATTAGTCTTAATTAAGAAATGTGACATGATCAATGAAACTATTTTTTGTGTTTTTGATCTGTCTCTTTATTTTCTCTTCTAATTTCAATTTTTTTAGTTCAATATTCTATTCCTTCACCTGTATCACCTATTGAGTTTTAATTTATTTGCATTTTCATCCTTTTCTAAACTGCCTTTTTGACATTTCAGTAGCTGCTCATTTTAGTGTCAGCCAACATTCATTTCTGTGTGTACCTAAGTAGCTTAGAATATCAGCTGTCTGGTTCTACTCTGCATCTGCTGGCTCCTCTCTGTGCCTCATTCACTGTGTTTATCATTGAGATACATGGGCCCACATGCATGTATATTGATTTTACCGTATGTGAGTTCATCTTCTTTGGAATATTCTTTGAACTTTCTGAGAACGGACTTGAAGGTGGGTTCTTTCAGAGACTATGTTTATTTGTCAATTCAGGAGCATGAGGCAATACCACACCAGGACTTCTTTGACCTAAGTTCTTAGATCGAAGTGTTCGTTGGTTCACCTATGTTGTGTAAATTCAAGTTTCTTACACATTAGGACTATATTGATTTTATGAGTTCTCAGGGAAGGTATCTATTTTTTGCTTTTCTATCCAGCACCATGTTTTATGACAAGATGACAAGCAATTTTCTTTGCTGTTGGTGGAGGTGGGGAGGGATTTATTTTTGTTAAACCAACCTGAGCATGGAGTCCTTCAGGGTCCCACTGTCATACAAGACACCTCTGGTTAATCTCCACTTTGAGGAGAAGACTTAAACTTTGTCTTCTATTGTCCATTCCTACTAAGGCTCTGAAAATGATAGAGTTCAAGGTCAGTAGATTTTTACAAATTTTCGGAGAGTTTAATTTATTTCTTTGCTAATTTCTGTGATTCTTGTTTTACCTCAATATTTGGTCTTTGAGGATTCATTTTCTGGCTAGGTTACTAGTGCATTAAAATTTTTTAAAATAAGTGTCTATCCACTGTTTATAGTCTTTTTTTGGAAGAGTCACTCTACCTATGTAGTCTGTCAACAAAAGCGCCCACATTGATTTCAGAAGGGAGGTGCCACTTGCCCTAAGAAGCAGAGGTGCTGCCATAGTAGCTCACCTGCTCTAAGTAGCATACTTGTTCTTGGCTAATTTCATAGTACAGATTTGTTTAATTTCCATTTCTGAGTTAAGATTGACCATTCATCACATATTGATAAGTATATTTCACAGTCATATATTATCACTGTGTATGTTATGCAAATACCTAATTTGCAATAAACCCCTTGGAGTTGCTGGATTGAAGGACAGACATTTCTAAAAAGAATGGTTAGATATTCCCAGAAAACTATGCACAAAGGTTACACTTCTTAAATTAGTAGTGTACTAGTAGCCATTTCCCCATACTCATCAGCACCAGGCATTTTCATTTTAACTATTTTTTTTTAAAACAAAATGCTGAGATTCTAAGAACAAGCTGTGCTTTACTAGGAGGAAAATGCTCATTAAGAGTAGGAGCCGAAACCGGTTTGGCTCAGTGGATAGTGTCGGCCTGCGAACTGAAAGGTCGCAGGTTCAGTTCCAGCCAAGGTCATGTACCTTGGTTGCTGGCACATTCCCCAGTGGGATGTGTGCAAGAGACAGCTGATCATGATTCTCTCTCATCGACGTTTCTAACTCTCTATCCCTCTCTTTCTCTCTGTGAAAAATCAATAAAATATATAATAAAAAAAATAGATAGTAGGAAACATGCTGATACTAAATAGACATGAAATGAGATTTTATGATGCTTAAAATTTACTTACATTGGTACACTTGCTTTGAGATACACTTGTGAAAGGCTTGTCAGGTCATTATGTTGTACACCTTAAACTTACAGTGTTGCATGTAAATTATACCTCAAAAGAAAAAGTGTGTTTGTTAAATGGAGCTGTGTATATTGGTAAGCTATACAATTGCTTTGGGTGGATCTGTCTGGAAATTTTAAATACCACACATTCTTAAATGTGACTCCTGTTTTCAGGTTGGAGTGAGCAGTTACCAGATACACTTGTTGATGAATCTGTTTCTGTTACTGAGAACACTGAAAAAATAAAGAAGAGGTACCGGAAAAGGAAAAACAAGCTCGAGGAAACTTTCCCTGCCTATTTACAAGTAATATTTTGCTCCACATTATATTACATAGTTCGTTATTGAAAGAAATGTAATGTATTGAGTTTTGAAATATAGGTTGTTTGGTTTTGTTAAAATTTTTACTTGTCTAAGAAAAGCTCATTCTTGCAAAGCAGCCACACCCATGTGCTGCCCACACCCAGGTCTGTGGACATCTCCCTTTGCTAGTACAGGTTACAGCAGCGATTGTCCACCTTTTTCATCGCATGGCACACGTGAACAAATTACCAAGATTCTGCCACACACCAAAAAATACATCTTTTCCCAACTAACAAAGAAGTATAATTTAGATTCATTCACACTGGATGGCTATTATTATGTTTGCTGTTGTCATTTGACAGTCTATCTAAGGCAGTGTTTCCCAAAGTGTGGTACGCATACCCCCAGAGGTACTGGAAGAGGTTGGTGGGGATTTGCACTGCACCATGCTTAGCTTCGCCTAATTCTAAGTTCTCATGAGTACGAGGGGTACTCAGCGTTACGAAAATTATAGAAACATATGTCAAAAGTTTGGGAAACACTGGTCTAAGGGAAAAGAGGTCAGAGCCTCTGCCTAAATAATCAGGTGTGGCATATTTTAAAACTTCTTGCAGCACATGGCTGAACATCGCTGAGTGACAGTAATAATGTTGCCTGAATGAAGATGGGCATTCAGCAGCCAGTTACAGCTTTAAAAAAAAATCTTTATTGTTCAGATTATTACATTTGTTCCTCTTTCCCCCCCATAGCTCCTCTCCATGCAATTTCAATCCCACCCATGCCCTTACTCCCGCCCCTCAACTGTCTTTGTCCATAGGTGTAAGATTTTTGTTCAATCTCTTCCCGCACCCCAATAACCCCTTCCCCCAAGAATTATCACTCCACTCCCTTTCTATACCCCTGATTCTATTATATCCACCAGTTTATTCTATTCATCAGATTTTTTATTCACTTGATTTTTAGATTCACTTGTTGATAGATATGTATTTGTTGTCACTTTGCTGTTCATAATTTTTATTTTTACCTTTTTCTTCCTCTGAGAGAATACCCTTCAGGATTTCATATAATACTGGTTTGATGGTGATGAACTATCGATACTTTAGTTTTTTCTTATCTGTGAGGCTCTTTATCTGACCTTCAATTCTGAATGATAGCTCTGCTGGGTAGAATAATCTTCGTTATAGATTCTTGCTGTTCATCACTAGAGTAATCTTGGTTGTAGGTTCTTGCTATTCATCAATGTGTCTACACTGGAAGATCTGTTGCACAGGAGACACCCTTATGGAGCAGGACCTGCTACAATGGGGCTTTGGTGCTCACTGAGTCTGCCTCTTGAGTGTGTCTCTTATGGAGGTGAAGAGTTATAATCTGGTATGGTCTCACTGAGTACACTGGCTCTTGGATCTCCAAGGAGGTGCAAGTTCAGCCACTGTCTGGGGCAGCCCAGCAGGAACTATAGAGATATCTGCAGATTCCTCCTTTGTATGGGGTTTGGAAGTGCCCAGATGAGGCCTGGCTATGAAGCCAGGCTGCTGTTGCTGCCAGGCAGTGGGCCTTTTGGAATCCCTGGGGCTCTCTGACCCAGCTGTAGTTTGTTTTAGGCGAAAGGACAGGCCATTCATATGCCAAAGCAGATGCACATAGCTTGGGTGGGGTTGTAGATTGGGTGGGTGAGGGGTCTCTGGGATCACCAGGGCAGAGCAAACAGCAATGGCTGCCCTGAACCTGAGAAGTCCTCTGTTCTCCGTGTCCGTGCCTCCATGCAGGAACAATGAGCACTGTGAGCACCTCTAAGAGTAAACAGCCCTTGCATTCCTGTCCCGATGCCAGACAGTCCAGTTTCACCTCATATGTGCCTGGGTCCCCCAGAGTCTCACCTCAAACTGGAGTTCAGAGCAAGCAGGAGCTTGTATCTCCTTCCCAGTTTAAAGAGCAGCCCATCCAGGTGCCAGCACTTTCCGCACCTCTCACCCCTCTGTCTCGGTGCGCTTTCTTCATTCGCCTCTCTAGTTGTGGGACTTCCACTCAGCCAGCTTGCCTGAGGTTCTGGGTGGTAGTTGTTCTGCCGTTCAGTTGTGGTTTTGCTGTGGTTTTGATGTGGTTGTGAGAGGCAGCAAGTATAGGTGATTACCTATACCTTCATCTTGGTTTTCCCTAGTTATAGCTTTAATAACCATTGATTGCTTCTAGAGGCTTAGTGAACCAAAGATTTAAACAGAATTGTTATTATGTTTTAAAATATACATCAGAAAAATATCCAACAATGGAAAGAAGTGATGTTTGATAGATGTAGAGTCATGTGTCAAACACAAGGCCCGCGGGCCAAATCCGCCCCGCCAGGCCTTGCAATGTGGCCCGCACCGCGCTGTCATCACTGCACTCTGCTGCGTTTCCATCACAATGACAGTTTATGACTGTTCAGTAAACCATTCGGCCCACGATTTAGGCTGGATTTTAGATTTTGGCCCCTTCTCTGATTGAGTTCGACACCCCTAATGTAGACTATGGGAAAAGTACTGTTTTGTAAGCACGAAGCACCAGAGAGTCCAGGGCCATTTGCTGCGTGGGAAAGAGCTCTGGATTGGAGGAGTAGGACTCAGATTGACCATCTGGCTGGGCCACGAGCTGATTTCCCATTCCTAAGCCTGTTCATTCTTCCTCGTGTATAAGAAGCACAAAAATAAAATAATCATTTAAGTGAAAAGTCTCCTGTATTTGATAAATAAGACTTTTAAGCATAGTCACTTATGTATGTAGTAATATTTTCGAGTGTCAATTTTTGTTAAACAACTAACATCTTCAGGGCTGTGTCCATTTTAAATAGCTGAGCCTTTGGGAGTCTGGGATTTTAACACTACTGCTGCTGGTTCTAGGTGATCTTATTCTGTGTCACATCTGTGTGCCCAGTAGTCTCATCTGTAAAATTGTGGTGATACAACACAGAAATGAGAGATTAAATAAAAATTAAGCAAGTAAAGTCCTCTTCCTGCTACTGCTCCTCCTCCTCCTCCTTCCTCCCCCTCTTCTTCTGACTCCTACCCCTGCTCCATCTCCTCCTCTCCTCTTCTGCTCCTCCTCTGTGCAGTGTAATCTATATTTAGGAAGCTTTCTTGAGCCGTTTATGAAAGTATGGAAACTGACTATTTCATACATTAGCAAAGGGATCTGATTCCTACTGTGATCTTTATCTACTGAGCTAGGCTGTTTCCTCTGGTGACCAGTGTACTTATCTGGTGCACAGATTAGGTCTAGTAATAATTAATGTCGTTTTCTAATACTTTTTTAAAATTGAATTTATTTAAACAATACAACAAAATTTAATCAACAATATAGTTGCCATTGTTTTCTACTACTGTGCCCAACGCTCAGGAAGCATTTTAATCCCTCTGTTGTAAAATTCTTGTGATTTTGATGCAAAAAATTCGGTCAATGCATTTTTGAGGCATTCTTCATTATTAAATTTTTTTCCAAGAAGAAAGTTTTGCAAAGAACGAAACAAATGGTAATCGGAAGGGGCAATATCAGGAGAATATGCAGGTTGAGGGAGAACTTCCCATTCCAACTGGCGCAGTTTTTCAGCAGTGATTCTTGCAGTATACGGTCGTGCGTTATTGTGGTGAAGAATTACGCCCTTCCGATTAATCAGCGCGGGTTCTTTTTCTCTTAAAGCTTGGGCTAACCTTTCCAATTGGGCACTATACACTGCACTTGGAATGGTTTGGTTAGATGGTAAAAGTTCATAATGAAGAATTCCTTTAAAATTCCACCAAACACACATCACTTTTTTCGCATGCAAGTCAGGTTTTGGCGTGGGCTGCGGAGCCTCATTTTTGTCCATTGAGGCCGCCTTTTCAAATTAACATACAGCACCCATTCTTCATCTCCGGTAACAATTTGCTCTAAAAACGGCAAACGGTTTTGACGAGAGAGGAGCGAACTGCAAATTGTGACTCTTTGATTACAGTTGTTGTCGGTCAACTCATGAGGAACCCATTTTCCAAACTTTTGGACTTTGCCAAGTGCACACAATTGATTGGAAATTGTTTTTTGGGAACAATTTAAAGTTGTCGCAAGCTCTTGTTGGGTAATTTGAGGATTTTGCACCAAAAGAGCTTGAAGAGCTTCTTGATCAAAATTGGACACACGGCCTCGACCACTCTTGTCATCTAACGAAAAATTTCCCTCGTGAAATTTCTCAAACCAATGCTGGCATTTTCTGGCGCTAACTGCATCTTGACCAAGAGCACTACAGATGTTTTTTGCAGCCTCACTTGCTTTTCTTCCTAATTGGAACTCGTAAAGCATGCAGTGCCGATATGCTCTTCATCCGCCATCTTCTTAGCCCTAGTTTCGCAACAAAAACCAAACCAAACACAAACTTTTTCAAGCAAAACTTGTTAATTGCACTTCACACGTTCTGTAGATACTACGTGTTTCAAGGTTATGTCAATACAAGTCAACGCCAAGCAAGATTTTAAACGAATGTTTAAAAACGACATTAATTATTACTAGACCCGATAGTAATAGCTAATTGTTTTGTGGGTTTTTGTATGTGAAGGAGTGAAGGGAGCCTTTGTAATGGTGCTGTTTCTTGAACATCTGTGATAGCAGTTGTATTTCCCCCTTATCCAAGGTGGGTGGACAGAATACATAGTGACAAAAACCCACTAGGAATTCAGTAACAATTTTCCCCCCAATTTTAAATATTTTTTTAAATTTTTATAAAAAATTTTTTTTTTTTAATTATTATTAAAGGGAAAGGGAGAGAGAGAAACATCAGTGAGGAGAGAGAATCATTGATCGGCTGCCTCCTGCACACTCCACACTGGGGATTAAGCCTACAGCCTGGGCATGCTCCCTGACCGGGAATCAAACTGTGACCTTCTGGTTCATCAGTTGACACTCAACAACTGAGCCACATCGGCTGGGCCAATTTAATTTTATTTACAACTGTGCCACAATAAAATATACATGATTGTATAATCTATCCGATAGAAATATTTATGCAGGCTACTAAGTAGCTGTGGTGCCATGTGACCTGGAGAAGATCCATTTCATCTTGAGTCACTTAAAGAAAAAAATTTGCCAATTATGGTCTCAGATTCCTCAAATTTATAGTAGAGTTATTAAATAAATTAACTCTAAAACTCTAAGGTGCTTTCTGCCACTCAGCATACTGATAAAAACAATTTTGGTGTGAGAAACAAATCCAGTGACCTAGCTTTATGGGTTTTCAAATTTCTTTTTTCATAACGAAACATGTTCATTTAAAAAATGTGCAGAAATTTGAATCAAATATATTACCACCTCTACCATACTTCACCTATTTGTCCCCCCCCCCCCCCCCCCCCCAATTCCCCCTTTTCCTCAAATTTCCTTTTCCGTCCACTTAGCCTTGTTATACTCTGGTCTTTGTTCGGTCATAACTTCTTTTATAGTTTATTTTTACACAGTCCTAGTAGTCTTGGTTTGTATTTTATGGTTAGCTGGACATATCACTCAATGTGCTTTCTTTTAATACAATATTTTAGAGCTTTACTTTGACGGCATGGCTCTGTCCTTTTCAACAATTGTATTGTGTGGTGTCTGTAATTTATTTAGTCATGTGCCTTTTGACAGACATCAGGCAGCTTTCATTTTTTTGCTATTAAAATGCTGCAGTGAACCTTTTTGTGTGTGTGCATCTTTAGCAAGAATGTGTTACATGGTGACAGGTACTGCACAAGTGTCCTGTACAGAGAGGGTCCCTTTCCAGGTAGACCACATTGTAGAAAATAGGCAACTGCAGACTTGCTGGTTAGAGTAAGGAAAAGTGTGTGTGTGGAGGGGATGGTTGTGGACAGGGCTCCTAAGTGTTTCTTTTTGTCCTTTTGATTGGTCCTTCAGAAGTTTGTTTGTTTATTTAGTTATTTAGTTATTTTTAAATATGGTCCTTCAGAAGTTTTGTTGCTATACTGTGCTGTAAAGAACACAGTATGAAAGCTTGGCCTTTTAGAGTAGAGGGCGTATATCAAAATGGAGAAGTGTCAGAGGAGGAAAGAAAAAGCCAAAAGCCTTTTAAGAGAAATAAATTTTGTGCACATAGAAAGATTAGAATGGCCACAAAACCCCCTTTCAGATTTAGTCTTTAATGTGTTCATGAATCAGCGTGAGGTTATTAATCTGAAGTTTGCACGTTTTAACAGTGTAGATCAGACCCTGTGCTATCCTCTGCAAGTAACCTCTAAATAATAATAATATTCATGAAGCTTCAGTTTCTCTTATACTAAGTAGATGCCAGTAGTATTTTAAATTTATCAATCTTTAAATTTAGCTGAAACCGGTTTGGCTCAGTGGTAGAGCATCAGTCTGTGGACTGAAAGGTCCCAGGTTCAATTCCAGTCGAGGGCATGTACATTGGTTGTGGACACATCCCCAGTGGGGGATGTGCAAGAGGCAGCTGGTCGATGTTTCTCTGTCATCTACGTTTCTAGCTCTCTATCTCTCTCCCTTCCTCTCTGTAAAATATCAATAGAATATATTTTTAAAAAATCTTTAAGTTTAATTATAACCTAAATCTGGAATTATTGTATGATTAAACACGTTGGACAGAATTGTGTGCTGCTGTTTGCATAATTTCATTTGTTCCTAAGCTATAGAAAATTGTACTTTTAAAGGGGAAATCTATATAAAGGAATTAACAGAATATTTCTATGTCATTTATATATTTATGTATTCAATTTTATGTTGTTAAATACCAAGCTTGTCTGTTATTTCTGCCTTCTTGTCCAAAAGGGTAACGGAATTATCCATTGTCATGTTAGAATTTTATAACTATGTCAGTCATTTTCATATGCGCTTTATTTTATCTAGGAAGCTTTCTTTGGAAAAGATCTTCTAGATACAAGTAGACAAAACAAGCTAAATTTAGATAATCTAACAGAAGACACCGCTCAGCTTTCATGTAAAGCGAACGTGAACACACATTTCTTGGATCCTTCCTTAGACCCACTACTTAGTTCATCCTCAACTCCAGCAAAACCTGGAACTCATGGTACGTGGAAATTTTTTCATGCGACATTATCTTCCTTTTAATTAAACCTCTGAAATGCTTTGGTTTGGCCTTATATACAGTTTTTAAATCATCTTTATTGAGGTGTGACATATTTAGTAATTCTGTTTTTTAAGAGAGTAGATGTATAATATCTGGCAAATAAATTTATCTGTGTGACTACCACCAAAATCAAGAAATTGAAAAGGAAAAATGTTAGGTTTACACTTCTCTGTGGGTAAATGTAAGAGGGTATAATTTGGCCACAAGTTATAAATATAATAATCTATTTAAGTAAGATAGATTTTTGATACTTACACAGCCCAAAGAAATTCAGGAGAAGACAAGAATGCTGTGTTAGTGACCTGGCTTCCAGACTCTGTGAATCAGTGAAATCCATATCCTGAGATCAGTTTCTCCCTGCTGACAGCTTGGGCCAAATAAATGCTTTGGTGGAGAAGGGAGGTGGTTCTGTGAAGTGGGGATTACTTGCCAACATCTCTGTTCCATGGTGTCATGTTGCTCAGAAGTACACCCCCCCCCCCCCCGCAGATTTACTAGCAATTATAAATTATAAATCAATGACAAGCCATTGATTACATTTATTGCTCAGTTAGTGTTATAAACTCCATTTGGAAAATACTCTTTAGGCAGTTTTCCACTGAAAGACTACTTGATACATTAAATCATAACAGCTTTATTAACTTGGCATTATCCTGGATCAAAATGCAGGCTTTTGTATTTTGGTTGTAACTTTTCTTGACTGAATTATAGAAGCATCTTAGCCCCTCTGTATGCATGCACACGCCCCGTCTCTCCCACTGGTGTACCGAAGGCCATGCTTTTGTTCATTGATTTTAGCAGATTATTTTACCTTGACTTTCATTCTGTTGTCCATTTTTTCATTTACACACATTTGAACATGTGTGATCATGTCCTTTAAAAGGTCTTTACTGATCCGTTAATTTAATACAGCATCCCCATATCTGTGTCTTAATCCTGTCTCCTTATTTTTAAAGTGTGTATGACACTTATACTGATGTAATTTATTGTCTCCCTCCCTCAGGGAAAGTAAGCTCTGTGAGGGAATGCACTTGGTTTTAGACAATTCTATATTCCTGGCGGCTAGAACATGTGTGTTAGCACAGTCCACAACCTCAGTTCTGTGGTACTCAATGAATAAAGAAGGGAATGAATTATCAATGTTAGGTGAGGGCGGGGGATAGACTGGATCCAGATGGTTTCTGGCTTACATGGGGAATTTCTAAATAATGGGTTTGCCTTTCATATTTTATTTATCTTCTATGTTTTATTTTCCAAATGTCATTTTTAGAGATGTCACTTCTTAGTGATTTTTTTTGCTTTGTTTCTTGTAATATTTTATTTCACTTTTATTGCCTATAGATCTTTGTTTCATTGTTAATTTTAAGTTAGCCACAAAATAAAAATGGTCCTAATCTTTAATATTTTGTTATTCAAAACATTGGAGTACCTTTTCTAGGAAAAATATCTTTTATTTTAGAAGTAATGATCTTGCTGAAACCGGTTTGGCTTGGTGGATAGAGCATCGACCTGCGGACTGAAAGGTCCCAGGTTCGATTCTGGTCAAGGGCTTGTACCTTGGTTGCAGGCACATCCACAGTAAGGATTGTGCAGGAGGCAGCTGATTGATGCTTCTAACTTTCTAACCCTCTCTCTTCCTCTCTGTGAAAAATCAATAAAATATATGTTTTTAAAAAAGAAGTAACAGTCTTTGTTTTATGATCCTCCCACTTACTCAGCATCTGCTGTACTTGGGATATGTAGTAGATGGTTGGCAGGGTGTTTTATAATTTAATGTCTGGGAAAATGTCAAGACATTAAAAATACACTTCCTTTATTTAGGTACTGCTGATGACACCTTAGCTGATATATCCGAAGTCCTAAACACAGAGGATGACATTCTTGGAATAATTTCAGATGACCTTGCAAAATCAGTTGATCATTCAGGTATATTGACTGTTTGCCCAGTGTCTGTTTTAGAGCACGCGAGAGAGGCTGCATGTATGTGGGACAAGTTTAGTCTTTTCTCTAAAACTTAAAAAACTTTTTGTTGAGTCATTATCAAAGAACTCAATCTTATAATTTGATCTACCTTGGCTTTCCTGCTTTAGGATGGGAAACAGCAAGTTAGTTAATTTCTTTTGTCTTTCTAATGGCATCACATTGAAGGCTATGGCATTCAAAGCTCCTGTGTCTTGCTCTTTTGTTTGTGTTGTCCCTTGCCTCCGCTCCTATGATAATCATCCATTTTATTTGGTTTGGGTCTTGTAGGTCTTGATTTATGCACTTTCCAGGTTGACAACTCACCTTTTCCATTTGGTAAGAACCTGAGCAGTGGATGACGGCTGACTAGAGTAGTCTTTTTTATAGTGATTTCCGCTGCCATGGCCTGTAGGTGCATGCGAATTTGTGATAGTGCTAATCTGTCACTAATCCATCTTTGCTTTCCCCTTTATGTGTGCAGCTAAAGCATGGTACAGCTGTACTGTGCTTTGGGTGACTTTCTCAGTAATTTTTTTTAATGAATGGTTTTATTTTTGTTACTACATAATTTATAATTTTACCGAAATGTTAATAGAATTTTTAATATAAAATAAGAGTAGACTAAATTTTACTTTATGAAATAGTAATATTGAGAAAGCATGGTAAAGAAATTAGATGATAGACTACTTTTAAATGTGGATATTGCTTTAAAAACCAGTTTTTATGAGAAAAGAACATGTTGTAATAAACACAATCTATATTTTGTATTTTGACCCAATAATGTTTCAAAATTATGATCTACAGCTAAAATTCATGAGGGTAGTGTTTACTAAACACTGAATAAGAATTTTAGAGCTTCTCATTAATTTGTGTGAAACATATTCCTCCTGTTTCACATGCTGCTTCTGATAGTAAAACTATGCATTAGGAACTACCATTTCCAAGGTAAAGCTGTTATTTGTGTAGTGGATATTGTATATAGAATATTCTCTTAGACTTCTATCTTATTTCCTGTAGAAATTAGCACTTTATAACCAGAAGTAGAAGTGTTCCTTTATTAATCGGGAAATATATATTTTTTGATTAAACTTTAACTTAAAGTGAGCACCAGTTTACAAATACATTGTGCCTAATTTTATTAATTTTGACTATCCAGATTGATATAAGAATCTTGATTAATTCAGAATTTCAGGCTTTTCATTGCTTAGTTTTAATCATACTGTTGTGTATTCATGCAGGTAAATAGTGAGATGCATTTTGTGTATGTATTCAGAATTCACTTTTTAATTTCTTTGCCTTGTTCCTCCAGCCGGAATAGATATTGGCCCTGTCGCCGAGGACCCTTCCTCTGTGTCTCAGCCAAGTGTCAATCAGAGTTCACGACCTTTAAGTGAGGAGCAGCTGGATGGAATCCTTAGTCCTGAACTAGACAAAATGGTCACAGATGGTAAAATATTTGCCCTACAGCTAGGCTTTCTAAAAGACATGAGTAAATATGATTTTCAAAGATTTCTGCATGCTTATTTATAATTTTAACTTCTATTTTGAAGATTTCTATGAAATGCTATTTTGTATCAGTATATTAAAATGGTAATTATTAATATTTTTATTTAATCTATCCTAGGAGCAATTCTTGGAAAGTTATATAAAATTCCAGGTAATTGTGTTCATATTTTTTAGTTTCCAAAAGTAGCAATCCCTAATATGGCTTTCATAGACTTTTAATCATGTTATTATAATTGTATTTTCTAGAGCTAGGAGGAAAGGATGTTGAAGACTTGTTTACTGCTGTGCTCAGTCCTGTGACTCCTCAGCCAACTCCATTACCACAGCCTCCCCCTCCCCCTGCACCACAGCTGATACCCCTACACAATCAGGGTATGTCACCCCAAAAAGCGTGGTTCTCTGGGCGTGAGCGCGTGGGTTCACTAAAGCAGACCCTTAGTAACAACATCTACAAACTGTGACAATGGGAAAGACTAATCTCACACTCCACTTCACTGACACTCTGGAAATTCATGATCTGCTTTATGACCAAAGTTCCTTTGCTCACTCTGTTGGCATGAGGACAATGTGGCAGTGTCTCCCTCTCCCCTCCCCACGTCTCAGCCTACCTTCGCTCAGACCTTGCATCCATGTTGGGAGAACTATTTCCTCTCACCTGGCTGCCTCGTGTTCATTGGTCTGATCTAAGTTTCACTGTTATCTCTACCCCTGCCACCGTGCTTTCCGTTTTTAGTCGTGCTGCCCGCACACGGACCCGTGGGTATTATGGTTTTCTCTCTCAGTTGTGAGCTCCCGGAGGTCATAACTATCGTCATCACTGTGTACCCTGCCACAGTGTGCTCAGCACATGCGTTCAGAGGATACCATGAAATTCTAAATTCTGTGGACATTGGCCTATTTTGTTTGATCAGTTTTTGTATACTGCCTTATAACTGGCTGCCAGATACAGTAAGTTTAAGCTTTTATCTCTCCCTCTCTGGGAGCTGAAATTGGATAGCCTAGAAGGAGGGATGTAGGTGTGGATAGGAGAGAGGTGCAGATACAGAATCCCCTTCATAAAGGAGTTGGGAGCGCAGGTCATTTTTCTTCATCCCGTTTATTACCACTGCCTCGTCATTACATGCTGAGTTGAATAATATAATGATACTTCATAAAAAGATGTTACACTGTTTTATATTTGCCAAATGTACAAATGGTTGAATGTTATCTTTACTGTCAATTTTGTGTATGCACTAAAAATTCTATAATGCATATAATTAAAATATCTCAGTTTCTTCCAGTTTAGCTTCTATATAACTGGACCTTGATTTTTTTGCTGGGCTAAACTTGTGCACATATGTATAAAACACTCATAGAAAGTGCTTCTTACCTTAATTGCCCCCTATGCGTCCCTAGTGTTTACGGTAACAACTCTTCAGTATTTTTCTTCCCAACATATGAAAAAGATCTAGCTCTGTGTTCTGAAACTGAAAGTATGTACTTTAGAAATCAGATCAGTTAAAGATGTGTTTCTTATAAAAGGTTTTTAAATCATTTAAATCAGTTCACTCTGCAGCCTCATTTGGAAGGTTTTGAGGAGGTGACTTTTTTGCAGGGGTGTTTGTGTGGAATACAACGATGAGTAAGGCTGTCCTTCCCTCCCCAGACTTTACAACCCTAATGTCTAGACTTGAGGCAACAACTAATAGCACAGGGAGGAGAGGTCAGTGGGTGGTGTTTAAGGAGGCAGGGCTGGAAAAAACCTTGGAGGTAGACAGCTTGTAGGCAGCTGTGAGAAATGGTGAGGACAGGTAGTGGGCTCCTTCCCCATGTCTCTGAGCCACTGCAGACTGCACAGCTGTGAAATGACCTCACAAGCTTGGCAGTGTAGCGCTCATGAATATGGGAACTGAATTTGAGGTAAAGGAGAGTTGTGCTGATGAGTTTATTAGGGTTGGGGCTGAGTGAAAACTTGTGTTTCATGTAGATCAGTCTGCAATGCTAATTGAAAGGCAGAATTGAAGTTGTGGGAATAAAAGATAATTCTTTAACAGGACTTAGTACAGCATTGCCAGTAGAGTACAGAATCTTGAACTTTAAAAAAATTTAAATGTAGTGACATGCTTAACTCACCCAAATTTTATTAGATGTGCAGTTGTATGTTTCTCCTTTTTAAGGGTTAGGAGAAGGTGAAAAAACAAACCAGATTGAGACATCAAATGATGGAAAGAGATTTCATGGGATGGCAAAGGAAGGGCATTTCAAGATTTGAGAGTGTAGGTTGAAATCACTTTAGGTGAAAGTTAAGCAGTTCATCAGTTCTTACCATTCACATCTTAAGAAAAGATTACTTTTGTACACTAATGTGACCGGTTGGGTGGTATGGTAGACTTGAGGGTGGTGGAGGAGACCACTTCTTAATTAGAATAAAAATGCTTTGCATTGACTGTTGTGCCCTTGAACAAGTGAATGGAACTTCTCGGGGAGGGGTCTTCTTGCTTAAATGAGCTGTGTGTAATAGCCCTTTCATGGGGTGGTTGTGATTGTGAGGACCACTAGCGGCTGCACAAGAAGCTTGAAGGACAGTGCCAGTTATGAAGCAGTGCGCTTCCTGAGTAACTAGAGGCCCAGTGCGTGAATTCGTGCACAGGTGGGGTCTGGCCAAACCAGGCCCAATTGGGGCGGGTCAGGGCTGGGCCTGTTGGGAAGAGGAGACATCAGGAGGTTGGTTGGCCTGCCTGCCCCTACTTGGGCTCCAACAGGGCCAGGCCAGCTGGGGGAAGGAGCTGAGGGTGATTGGCTGGAGGGCCTGCCCCCAATTGGGGTGGAGGGGCTGATTGAGGGCAGGGCTAATTGTGGGGAAGGGCTTTGGGCAGTGGGCTGGACAGCTTTACCCAGATTGGTGTGTATGTGTGGGGGCAATAGGAATTGGAGCTGGCTGGGGGGAGGGGCCTCCGGACAATCAGGGTGGTGGGGGCTGACTGGGGGTGGGGCCGGCCCTGATGGGATGGGGGCCGACTGGGGGCCAGTGGCCTGGTGGATGGGCCATGGGTGGTTGGTCAGCTGGCCCTGCCCTTTATTGGAGTGGGGAGGCTGATTGGGGGCAGAGCTGACTGGGGGAAGGGGCTGCCAGCTGATTAGGGTGGTGGGGGCCCATCAGGGGTGAGGGACTACAGAAGGTTGGCCAGCTGGCCCCACTCCCTGTTGAGGTAGGTGGGGACAATTGGGTGGGGCCATCCTTGTGGGGGGGAGCTGTGGGCCAATTGGGAGTGGGGAAAGGGCCACGGGGGGATGATTGGCAGATCCCCCACCCTCAGTCCCTGTGGGAGAGGCCCATCCGGGCCTCTGGCTGGAGGCTAGCTGGCTGGCCCCAGCCCCTGATCTGGCCAGTTCACTGGCCGCAGTGGGTGTTATAGTGACCGGTCATTGCAGTTGTTAAGGCATCTGGTCACTAGCTTTATATATATATATGGCTGCTGTTATCGCAAAAGGTTTCCTGTGCTCGCTGTAGTTCCCCTTGTCCATGCTGACAGATAGCTAGGGGATGGATCACATTCTCATTTCTAATAACGCCTTTTTTTTTTAATCCTAATTACCTAATGGAGCTTACTTTTTGCTGAAGTTGAAAATAGAGTTGGCCCTAGCCAGTTTAGCTCAGTGAATAAGAGTCCCAGGTTCGATTCCATTGCAGGCCCTGGTCGGGGCACATGCAGGAGGCAACCAGTCGATGTGTCTCTCTCATGTCGATGTTTCTCTTCGTCTTTCCCTCTCTTTCTAAAAATTAGTGGAAAAATACCCTCGGATGAGGATTTTTTTAAAAAGTAAAAAAAAGAAAGCATTCTGCTTTGAATTAAATCTCACTCTTTAAACTAATCTTGGCCTGAACTTAAGTCTCTCCAGACCCTGTCATTGTGGGGGCCTGATCCGGTGGACCCTGCTGTGCAGTTCAGTGGGATAAGCCCTAACCTAGAAGTCCTTGAGACAAAATCCTAAACCTGCCAGCCATCAGCCTCAGAATCCTCAGGCAGGAACGGGACTCTTGCTTCAGACGTAGTTTAGGTGAAGCACGTCACACAACAAGACACCGCGCTGGGCCATTTTTTCTTTTAACCTGATGGCCAAGTCACCAGGGTGGGGTCTTTGCCATTACACCGAGTGTGCCAAGCTCACAGGGGACCATATTCTAGTTGCGGAACTGACTGTGACCTGAGTGAGGACCTCCCAGGGTGTTCTGAGTGCTGTGACAACAGAGGTCATGTAGTTGCTACTTCAGAGTGTGACTCTGAATTGGGAGGTTTTTTGTTTTTTTGTGTGTTTTTTTTTATTTTTTTTTTTGCTAGAAAACTGCTTAGCTAAGGACAGTGATCACAGTAAGGTTTGAGCAACATGCTGAGGAGAGTTATAGGGGAAACAAGGTTTGCCTACTGTCTATCAGCCCCTGATCGGCCTCTCCCACCCCGACTGAGGAATGCATTTGAGAGCTGAAACCACAAGTAATGAAAATTAGGCCAAAACCAGAATGAATATATGTTTAGCAGTAATGATCTAATCGATGATGGGAGATAAAATAAAAACTGCCTGTTTGAAACTGTTTCAGAGAAATTGCCAATTTAAGAATCATAGATGGTTTTTTTGTATTAATGGGAATAAATAAATTAGAAGAATCTCTATTTGTAAATTTTGAATAAAGAAGGGGAAGATTATCTGATAAAACTTCCTAAATTTGTTCTTTTTGTAGTGCTGATATGTACTGAGCAGTCACTGCGCATCAGTGCTAAGAACGGCCATTCATTGTGTCAATCACAGAATACCTACATTTACAGAAACAGCGATTAATTCTGCTTCTAACTCCAAAACATGTATTATTTCCAGTAAACTATAACCAAGTAAACAGAATTTTAGAGACCACATTTTAAAAAATTTATGACCAATTATTCTTCAAACAATATTTTGCAGGATAATACTGAAAAAATTACCCATATCCAACTTCATTATTAAATAGCAATATAAGTTTTTATCTAGAAATATTTCTGTTACTTTTATATTATTTATGAATAATATACAGACTGAATTATTATTTTTCTTTAAGATGTTTTTTCACGGATGCCACTCATGAATGGCCTTATCGGGCCCGGTCCTCATCTCCCACACAACTCTCTGCCTCCTAGAAGTGGACTGGGAGCGTTCTCTGCCATAGCACAGTCCCCGTACACCGAGGCCAGGTATTTACAAGCCTTCACTTCCTGTGGAAACTTCAATAATTTTTGTCTTATGAATGTTAGTCTGTTATTGTGCATGACATTAATCTTTGTTACGTGTATGTGATCTATCATTTAAGCTATTTTACAATAAGTTTTGATGAAATTATACTCGAAAGTTAGTTATGTTTATGAAGTAACATTGTGTATTATTTGCCAGGGATAAGAACCCAGCATTTAATCCAATGGCCAGTGACGCTCACAGCTCTTGGGCCTCCTCGGCTCCCCCTGTGGAAGGGGAGAGCGATACGATGTCCAATGCGCAGAGAAGCACACTCAAGTGGGAGAAGGAGGAGGCTCTGGGGGAGATGGCCACCGTTGCACCCGTTCTCTACACAAACATTAACTTCCCCAACCTGAAGGACGAGTTCCCTGGTATGTCTTGGGTGTATGATTGCTGTCTGTTACCAGCTTCCGCGTGTGTAAAACAATCTGTTTTGTCTGTGTGTTTTTTTTTTTAACTACAGTAGAGTGCCCATGTGTCATCACTAATTTTCATCTAGAATGACTATGTTCAACCTGATAGTCCTATTCCTAGATAGGTGGAAACATCTTGCATTTTCTTAGTCCTAGGCCCTATGCCATTTGCATGTTTCCCGTAAGCTAATTTTAATGAATGAAATCTGTTTTTCCTTTATTAAAGACTATAAATATATAAAGTCAGGGTTGTGCTGTATGTGTAACTATACAAAAATTTTTCTGGAGCAGAATATCATAATTTAATCAGAAGTGTTAAATGGTTGAGCATCCACCCATGAACCAGGAGGCTGTGGTTTGATTCCCGGTCAGGGCACATGCTCTGGTTTTGTACTTGATCACCAGTGGGAGGTGTGCAGAAGGTAGCTGATCAGTGATTTTCTCATCATTGATATTTCTACCTATATTTTACTTTCCCTTTCTCTCTCTCTCAAAAAAAAAAAAAAAAAGTAAGTGTTAAAGTTAGGCTGTATCAGACTCCATTCTAAGTATGGTTCCCATCAAATGAACTCAGCATTCAAACAGACAGGGCACCTTTCCCCAAGTGCCCTGTCTGTTTGAACAAAAATTGTAGACCATACAGTGGTACCTCTATTGGAAATTCTTACGGACTAGAGCAGTGGTTCTCAACCTTTCTAAAGCCGTGACCCTTTAATACAGTTCTTCATGTGATGACCCCCAACCATAAAATTATTTTCATTACTACTTCATAACTAATTTCTCTACTGTTATGAATCATAATGTAAATATCTGTTTTCCAGTGGTCTTAGGCTCTACCCACAGGTTGAGAACTGCTAGCAGTGTCACCTAAGACCATTGGAAAACACAGATATTTACATTACGACTCCTAACAGTAGCAAAACTACAGTTATGAAGTAGCAACGAAAGTAATTTTATGGTTGGGAGTCACCACAACATGAGGAACTGTATTAAAGGGTCGCGGCATTAGAAAGGTTGAGAACCACTGGACTAGAGGATGAGTCATTTGGATTAATGAAACCAACTTGTAGAATATTGTCTTGCGTTCATGTTGCCGGACAAACCAGAATTGGAAAGTCTTGCATACATTGTCTTGCAGTAGCTTCCCGGCTGTTAGCATACTGCTCTGTTAGATGACCGAGCGGCTGCCCACCTGCAAGTGCACTGCAGGTGCCCTTTCAGTCCATCCTCCGGGTGGTACTTGACTTATTATGTGTATAGAAATAAACACCCCCCCTGCCGGGACTGGTTTGGCTCAATGGATAGAGCGTCAGCTTGGGGACTGAAGGGTCCCGGGTTTGATTCTGGTCAAGGGCATGTACCTTGGTTACAGGCATATCCCCAGTGGGGGGTGTGCAAGAGGCAGCTGATTGATGACTCTCTCTCATTGATGTTTCTAGCTCTCTGTCTCTCTCCCTTCCTCTCTGTACAAAAATCAATAAAATATATTTAAAAAAAAAAAAAAAGAAATACCCCCTTCCCTAACAGTAATCCAATAATTCTAGAGTCACATAGTGAAATCATTAAAGAAAATTAAACAAACTATGGCTCTGCTCTCAGGACAGTTTACACTGACACAAAATGACTTGCTATAACCAGATGTGCTCACCTGTAGGCAGCAGATAAAGTGTGGTTAGATGCACACGAAGAATATATGCATTGCGTTAACAGACATCCCTCCACTGAAACTGTTGGATTACTTTTAGAGAAGGTGGCGTTTATTTATATACACATAATAAATCAGGTTAAAGCTGCTGATTTGTCAGCTGACTTCCATTTACTTTCAGTACCTTTTTTGAAACATTTTCCTTCCCTCTCTCCCTTACTCCCTTTTTCCCTCCCTCCCTCTTTTCATTATTTTTTTAAATAAATTGTTTCTACATTAACCATTAACTGTTCATCTTACCTAAACTTCATTTTATACTAGTATACTGTCCTGACAATGAATTTCATAGAAATAGCTTGAAATCATGACTTTGCATTTCTTTGTTGTGCACAAATGTTGATGAAATGCTCGTTTCTAATATATTCCTTTTAGTCAAATTGATAGCCTTCTCTTGAGTACAAGTATTTTACAAAACTTTTAGCTTTGGTTCTTAGAGCATCTTACAGGATTGAGAGAGTTTCTAATACTTGACTTAAATTTAACTTAGCTGCTTAGCCCTTTTGATTTAAATACTTCCCAACTCTACATGTGAGATTGTTAATAAGGCAACACTTTATTCAGAAAGTATGTTTTTAGCTTACTATGTGCTATGAACTTGTACTGTACAAAGAACTTAAATTATGAAAATCTGGCCAAAAAACATTTAACTATCAGAAGTTCTTAGCTTTTTTATTGTGACACGTCCTTATTGTGGGCTCCATAAACACACCTGCTGTCTTCTGTTGCAGACTGGACTACCAGAGTGAAGCAGATTGCTAAGCTGTGGAGAAAAGCAAGCTCCCAGGAAAGAGCACCATACGTGGTATTAAACTCCTCTGCATTACATCTTTGGACATAATCCTGAGCCTAATTTTCATTGTCTTAGGTTGTTAAAGTGATTTTCCATTGCAGAGAACATGTTTATACTTGTGCAACACATAAATATCTTTGTTTTCCATAGGGATTTTCTAACTCTTTAGTTTTGCGTGTGACTTATTTATTTTCCTTTTTTTAAAGTGTGACATTTTTAGAAGCAACCTAACAGCACCAGGATGTTGAAGATTGAACTCAGTTGTTTTAGGAGCGTATTCAATTCATTTTTAAATTAAACATGATTTATCTTTTCAAAAGAGTACTAAATTTTAAGGTTGCATTCTTCTATTGTTTCTTTTGTAATAAGCTCTTTTTTGTTAGGTTCAGTAGAAAATTGTCCTGGAACTTGAAGGGACATATCCAGACACCTTCTGGGAGCTTTTGAAACATGTGCTTTGCCAGAGCCATTAGGGTATTTATAAGATTCATAGTTCAGATGACGAATTATTTCCCAAGGAGCCAAATTGAGATTGTCAGCTGGATCCCTGCTTTCATTTTAAAACATATTAAGTCAACATTATTGCTTTGAAAAATATAAACAGTTAAATTACAACTTCATCTTTAGAACATACATTGTCAGTGATAATAATTATTTGGAAGGAACAGAAATTATTGTTTTTAAATATATATTTTTATTGATTCAGAGAGGAAGGTAGAGAGAGAGAAATATCAATAATGAGAGAGATTCATTGATTGGCTACCTCCTGCATGCCCCACACTGGGGATTGAGCCCACAACCTGGGCATGTGCCCTGATTGGGAATCTAACCATAACCTACTAGTTCATAGGTCAATGCTCAACCACTGAGCCACCCCGGCTGGGCAGAAATTATTTTTGATGTGTTGGTAATGCCTAAACCTGGACTATCAGAGGTAGTGATAACATTGAAATGTGTTTTCTTTCTTTCTTTTTTTTTTTAAATATATATTTTATTGATTTTTTTTACAGAGAGGAAAGGAGAGGGATAGAGAGTTAGAAATATAGATGAGAGAGAATCATTGATCAGCTGCCTCTTGTACATTTCCCACTGGGGATGTGCCTGCAACCCAGGTTCATGCCCTTGATGGGAATCGAACCCGGGACCTTTCAATCCACAGGCTGACGCTCTATCCATGAGCCAAACTGGTTTCGGCAAGATGGGTTTCTTTTGTTTTCAACTTCAAATTTCAGATTTTAAATTTGGAGATAGATTTGATATTATCCTTTTCTTTAAATTGAGCAAGATATAAATTCTTCCATTATTAAGTCAATACTAGATTACGCCTGGGTTCTCTAGCCTGACTCAGGGTAGGGATGGTGACACCCATTCTGGAAGGGAGAAGGTGGGTGGTGTCCAGTCCTTTCACCCAGAATGCTGTAAATTCTAAAGGGTTATGTTTCAACTACAATATTTAGTTAGTTAATTAGGTAGGTTATTTATTGTTAATTCTCACCCGAAGATATTTTTCCCATTGATTTTTAGAGAGTTGAAGGGAAGGGGGCAGAGAGAAACATCAATGTGAGAGAGACACATTGACTGGTTGCCTCCCGCAACCACCCCGACGGCTGGGATTGAGCCTGCAGCCGAGGGATATGCCCTTGGCCCTTGAAGCCTGTGGACCCATGTCCTAACCACTGAGAAAACTGGCGAGGCTGTTTCAGCTATTTAGCTAGACGTTTTCTTGTTTTTATATGATAAAGATCAACATAGTTTCATTTTATCTTTATGTTTTAAAATTTGTTCACATTAACTGACAGATGATTTTCTGATCCGTTTTTCAAAGCAAAAAGCTAGAGACAACCGAGCTGCATTGCGCATCAATAAAGTGCAGATGTCAAATGATTCCCTGAAGAGGCAGCAGCAGCCAGACTGCAGCGACCCCGGCTCTCGGCTTGACTCAGATCTCTTTAAAGATCCATTAAAGCAGAGAGAGTCGGAACATGAACAGGAATGGAAATTTAGACAGGTATGTGGATTTTTTCAAAATGCATTTAAAAACAAATCAACAAACAAAATTGCATATTTTCTTAAAGAGAGCTACTTATGTCATTACCTCAGAACATAGTTTTTATTAGAACACAAAAGTTTGGTTAAAAGTAGACTTTCCTTTCTCAATAAAATGTACGTAAGCTACTTTGGGAAGTTCATGAAATGTTGAGAATGCCATGCTGCCTGGGCATGAGTTAGGAGACTGGTGAGTAATGTGTCCTGTTCGGAGACTGAATGCAAGGTGGGCGCCACCTGGCACTGTAGATCTCAGATACTTTCCCTCTCAACAGAACTAAGAGTTAATTTCAGAAGGAAGGCAACAGCCTCTGCCCCTATGACAGCTATGTTCTTTCCTGTGCACATGATTGCTTTCTCTGTCCCCACCCAATAGCAAATGCGCCAGAAGAGTAAGCAGCAGGCGAAGATTGAGGCCACCCAGAAGCTGGAGCAGGTGAAGAGCGAGCAGCAGCAGCAGCAGCAGCAGCAGCAACAGCAGCAGTTTGGTTCCCAGCCTCTGCTGGCATTGTCGCGCTCGGACACGCCGAGCAGTGGGATACAGAGCCCCCTGACTACCCAGCCTGGCCCTGGAAACATGTCTCCTGCACAATCATTCCATAAAGACCTGTTTACAAAGCAGCTCCCCAGCACCCCAACTTCCTCATCTGCAGACGATGTGTTTGTAAAGCCACAGGCTCCTCCTCCTCCCCCCCACGCCCTCCCGGCTTCCCCTCCAGGAGAGCCCTTCCCATCCTCAGACTTCTCAGCCGCCTTCCCCGCAGGTGTTCTCACCTGGATCGTCTAACTCCCGACCACCGTCTCCAGTGGATCCTTATGCGAAAATGGTTGGTACCCCAAGACCGCCTCCTGGGGGCCACAGCTTTCCCAGAAGGAATTCTGCACTGGTGGAAAGCTGTGTATCTGTATCGGCACCGAGGCCCCCTCAACTGGGTGAGGGTGCAGCCAATAGGCCATCTCCCGTCCGAGATTTCTGCTCTTCCTCCGCGACAAGTAGTGACCCCTACGCGAAGCCTCCAGACACACCCAGGCCTGTGACAACAGACCAGTTTCTCAAACCCTTGGGCCTGCCCCGGGCTCCTGCAGGTCCAGAACAAACTGCAAAAGGTCCTCTAGCAGCTGGAACCAATGATCACTTCATGAAACCATCTCCTAGGGCAGATGCATTTCAAAGACAGCGGATCCCTGACTCATATGGACGACCCTTGTTGACGCCTGCACCCCTGGATAGTGGTCCCGGACCTTTTAAGGCTCCCTTGCAGCTGCCTCCGCCCTCCCAGGACCCTTATGGGCCAGTGCCACATCCACCAAGGCGGCTATCCGTTGACCCTTATGAAAGGCCTGTCTTGACACCAAGACCTGCAGATAATTTTTCTCATAACCAGTCGAGTGATCCATATAGCCAGCCTCCCCTCACCCCCCGTCCTGCAATGAACGAGTCTTTCACCCACCCCTCAAGGGCTTTTCCCCAGCCTGGAACCATATCAAGGCCAACATCTCAGGATCCATACTCCCAACCCTCAGGACCATCTCCCTCCAATCCAGACCCTTACTCGCAGCCTCCTGGAACTCCTCGGCCCCCAACGATTGATCCATATGGTCAGCAGCCACCAACCCCAAGGCCTCCTACACAAGCAGACTTGTTTGCTACATCTGCAGCTCCTCAGAGGCACTCTGACCCATATGCTCATGCTCCGGGAACACCAAGACCTGGTGTCTCTGTTTTTTACTCGCAGCCACCAGCAGCCCCAAGGCCAAGGGTTTCAGAGGGTTTTGCTCGGTCCTCAGTGACAAGACCTGTCCTCATGCCAAGTCAGGATTCGTTCCTGCAGGCAGCACAGAATCGAGGCAGCGCCTTACCTGGCCCTGTGGTGAGGACACCTGAAGCCTGTTCCCAAACCCCTGTGCCGCCGGGACCTGCCCTTGCAGACACATTCAGCCGGGTCTCCCCCTCTGCTGCTCGGGATCCCTACGACCAGCCCCCAATGACCCCAAGGCCCCAGGCTGATGCTTTTGGAGCAAGTCAAATGGCTCCTGATGCTGCTGATCAGCCCCGGCCTGGGTCCGAGGGGAACTTCAGTGCTCCTGCCAACACCCCTGTGAATTCTCAAGGCCAGCAGTTCTCCAGTGTCTCCCAACTTCCTGGCCCAGTACCCACCTCAGGAGTCACTGACACACACAACACCATCAACATGTCCCAAGCGGATACAGAGAAATTGAGACAGGTAAACACCTTGTATGTTCTGGGATGTTTTAAGTGTATTATTTGAAAGAGCTATTCATTCCCTCACACTGTAACAGATGTTTATCTTATATACTGCAAACAAGAAAAATGGAAGTGGTGAAATTAATGCCAATTGATCTGGATTTATTATCTTTTCAATATTTATGAAGTTTTAGTGGAATTGTTATATATGAAATCTTTTCAGTTGTGTGGTAGTTGCCAGGCAAGGAAAAGGCCCCAAATCTGTTTTATACTATTAAATAGTTAAATATAACTAGTGTTTCATAAAACTTTAAAATATTAAGACATTCAAATTATTGATTGGTTGATTTCAGAGAGAGAGAGAGAGAAACATGGATTTGTTGGTCTACTTATTTATGCATTCATGGGTTGATTTCTTGTACATGCCCTGGCATATTGGAATGATGCTTCAATCAACTGAGCTACCTACCTAGGGCAAAACATTAAGATGTTTTAAACACTATCTGACCGGCGTGGTTAATGGTTGAGCATTGACCTGTGAACCGGGAGGTCACCGTTGGATTTCCGGTCAGGTTACATGCCCAGGTTTCGGGCTCAATCCCCATGTGGCGCATGCAGGAGGTAGCCAATCAATGATCCTCATCATGGATGTTTCTATCTCTCTCCCCCTTCCCCTTCCTCGCTGAAATAAATTTTAGAAATGTGTACTTTTAAAATATTTTAAACATTTCCTTAGTCATGGTTTGGAAGCATTAGTTACCAGAAAGCCCTTAGTAACCGGAAATCCCAGTGATTTTTGTTTCTTTCCTTTAGCGGCAGAAGTTACGAGAAATCATTCTGCAGCAGCAACAGCAGAAGAAGATGGCAGGTCGGCAGGAGAAAGGTTCCCAGGATGCAGCCTCCATGCCTCATCCCAGTCCCCTGCAGCACTGGCAGCCTGAGGGTGCCAGCCAGGCTTTCTCCAGGCCCCCACCCCCCTATCCTGGGAGCATCAGGCCTCCTGCTGTCCCTCCGCTGGGACCCAGATACGCTGTCTTCCCAAAGGACCCACGTGGACCCTATCCTCCTGAAGTGACTGGCATGGGTATGAGACCTCATGGATTTAGGTAATGTGTTTAATTTCCTGCCAAATTTAAATCGCTTAGAACTTACTTGTAATTAAGAAGTTGTTAGTGCTTTTTACTGGTTATATTTCTTCGAGATATAACCAGTGTTATTTCCACTAATGAGATGTCATGGATTAAAAAAAACAACAAACTGCGTTTTTCTTTAGATTGGAAAATATTTAAAGATTAATAATAGGAAACATGGGTAATCTGGTAAAGTTCCATGGATGTATCAACCATGGACAGTTTGGCAATACAATACCATTTACTTATAGGAAGTGTCACTTAGGAAGTTATAGACACAGTGGTGCAGGTGTCCCAGGAAATCTATACAACGTTATTCTTTTAGCCGTTGATTATAAATGCAAAAAAGGTAGGATGTATCTAAATATCGCCCTGTAATAGCAGTAAATAAAGCAATGGCTAACTTTATTACTTTGTGTGAAGCACTATTCTCTGCACTTCAGGTGTTTTATAAAACGCTTACAAAGGTTCAGTTACACTCACTTTAGAGGTTGAGGAGCATAAGGCTCAGAAAAAAAAGGTTAAATATATTATGATATATCTGTGATACAGAATATAAGACAGCCATTAAAATGTTGTGCTTTAATAATTGAGAAGAAAGACCTTTATTACTTATTGAATGGAAAAAATAGACTACGCAACATAATTTCATTTGTATAAAACTACATAATTGCCTAGATAAATATCTTGAATGATACCCAACAAGTTGATAATGATTATTGGGAACATTTTAATTAAGTTGATATTTTATACCCTATATTTTTATATTGCTTGGGTTTTTAAAAATACAAAGTTTATATTGATTTTAGAGAAAGAGATGGAGGAAAAACAACAACACATCTATGTGAGAGGTAACATCCATCAGTTACCTCCCGTACACACCCTGACTGGGGATTGAACCCATGACCTTCTGATGCACAGGACGATGCTCAGCCAGCAGAGCCACACCTGTCAGGGCTTGCTTGGATTTTTTACATTGTATAATTTTTTATGATAGAAAAATATCCCCCAAAATGTCATTTTCATTTAAACTTTTTTTTTTTAATTACTTCCTCATTTCCTATTGTTACCTTTAGAAAGAAGGTTTTTATTCTAAAATAGTCCAGAATTCTAGAATCTTGAGGTCAGGAAGGACTAGAATGAATTAATTAATATATATAAAAAGCAAACCATAGCCCTATCCACTGTGATTCAGTGGTTAGAGCATTGGCCCACAGACTGAAGGGTCCCAGGTTTGCTTCCTGTCAAGGGCCAGTATCTTGGTTGCAGGTTCAATCCCCCTTGTGCAGGAGGCAACCAATCACTGTGTCTCTCTCATGTGGATGTTTCTCTGTCTTTCCCCCTCCCACACTCTAAAAATCAGTGGGAAAAAATATCCCAAGCTGAGGATTAACAAAGTAAATAAATAAATTTTTAAAAAGTAAACTTGAGAGAAGTCTTCCAACACAGAGTATTGTGTGCTTTCCTTAGAGGTTTTAGAACTAATCTAGACTTTGGGCACCCTGAGGAGATGGTTTTGTAAGGATAGTCGAATGTGTTTTTTCCCTGCCTCCACCCCAAACCTCACCAGTTTTGCAGTTGGACTTCCTTGCAAATAATTTATTCAAGTAACTTAAATGTATTGATCCCACTGGATTTTTTTAAAACTTTTAATGAAGACCCTAAATACCCCTTTGTTTTTAAGTATTGACTCTGTTAGCGTTTCATTACAGCAATGAAATCACACCTTTAAATCTCTAAAGTGTAACCACCTTTTCAGGCAGAGCCTCCTGTGACAGGATGAGTGAGGAAGCTTTTTATTTTAGTTTACATTGTGAATATTTGTGGAGTTTTACACATGAAACGGATGTTCTCCTGGAACTTTTCATGGTGAAATAGAGTTATGAAGTCAGTGAGATTTTTTGTTTGTTTTTGAAGTGGCTAGTGGCAAGATCAAAACCAAACATATGCCCAGGTATACTGAGGAGTGAGTTCTTTAAAATGACTCTTTTAGCCGACCGGTTTGGCTCAGTGGATAGAGTGTTGGTCTGCGGACTGAAGGGTCCTAGGTTTGATTCCGATCAAGGGCGGCATGTACATTGGTTACGGGCACATTCCAAGTGGAGGGTGTGCAGGAGGCAGCTGGTCGATGATTCTCTCTCATCGATGTTTGTAGCTCTTTATCCCTCTCCCTTTCTCTCCGTAAAAAGTCTATAAAATATATTTATATATTTTTTTTAAAAGATGACTTTTATTTTTATTAGACATATTTTTTAGTCCAATACTGACCCCCATGTTACAGTCTTACCCTTATTTTCCTTTTTTCTTTCTCACTTTAATGCATGCCTCTGCTATTTTATATATTTTTCTCTCTAGAATGAGATACAATATAGATATTATAATTTACTCATTTCTTAAGACTTTGGAGATGGTGCCTTTTATTCTCTGTCTCTCTCTGCCTCCTGTCTTCATTCCTTTCACACAGATAGGATAGTCCACCCAGTCCTTAGGCTTCTGCCTTTTCTTCTGTGTACAGAGGCCAGTAAGTCTCTCACGGACAATTCTTGAGATTTCCAACCTTCATTCAAGCAGCCACCCACCTCCCCAGTCACTTTCCCCCAGAGAGCTCCCTGAATGCAGAAAAAGGAAAGGGACTCAGATACAGTGTTCATTTTGGGTTCACTTAGCAAAAACTTATGTACGAATGGATGCTTTATGAGCACTATCTAATCATGATAATTTTGTCTTTCCTAAGTCACTGTATTTGGCAACATTTGTGTCTGAGTTTAATATAAAACATTTTCTTTCCTCAGCTTAACTCTAAATTTAATGTAATGCTTAGTGTTACTACTTGCTCTTTTTTCCTTTAGATTTGGATTTCCAGGAGGTAGTCATGGTACCCTGTCAAGTCAGGAACGCTTCCTAGTGCCTCCTCAGCAAATACAAGGACCTGGGATTCCTCCGCAGCTGAGAAGGTCGATGTCTGTAGATATGCCCCGGCCTTTAAATAACCCGCCAATGAGTAGTCCGGTTGGTCTTCCTCAGCATTTCCCACCGCCAGGCCTGCCCGCCCCACAGCATCACATACTCGGCCAGGCGTTCATCGAGCTTCGGCACAGGGCCCCGGATGGACGGCCACGGCTGCCCTTCAGTGCCCCTGGCAACAACGTTCTAGAGGCACCTTCTCATCCACGACACGGGAACTTTATTCCCCGGCCGGACTTCCCAGGCCCTAGACACACAGACCCCATGAAACAGCCTTCCCAAGGTCTGCCTAATCAGCTGCCCGTGCATCCGATTTTGGAGCAGGTGCCACCCTCTCAGCCGGGGCAAGGTCACCCTGTCCATTCTATGGTCATGAGGTCCCTGAGTCACCCCTTCGGGGGGGAGTTCTCAGAGTCCTCTTTGTCGACATCCACACCAGTTGAAACGCCGTCTGGTAGTTTACAGGTAACTGCCCAGTCTTCTGATGGTCTTGAAGAAAAACTTGATTCTGATGATCCATCTGTAAAAGAGCTAGATGTTAAAGATCTTGAGGGGGTTGAAGTCAAAGACTTGGATGATGAAGATCTTGAAAATTTAAATCTAGATACAGAAGATGGCAAGGGAGATGAATTGGATACTTTAGGTAATTTGGAAACTAATGATCCCAACTTGGATGACCTCTTAAGGTCAGGAGAATTTGACATCATTGCATATACAGATCCAGAACTTGACCTAGGAGATAAGAAAAGCGTGTTTAACGCAGAACTAGACCTTAATGTCCCAATTGATGACAAGTTAGATAATCAGTGTGTATCTATTGAACCAAAAAAAAAGGAGCAAGATAAAACTGTGGTTCCTTCCGATAAACATTCCCCTTGGAAAAAATCCACTGTAACCAGTGAGATAAAAACAGAAGTACTGTCTCCAAATGCTAAAGGGGAAACCAAATGTGAAAGTGAGAAAAGCGATGAGGGTAAAGGCTGCGCTGACGCTCCCTGCTCCCAGGCTGCCGCTCACACGGACTTGCCTGGTGGGGAGGAGGCCCCCCCGCAGCCCTGTGAGGCTGACCTGCCTGACGACAGGGCGCTTGGCGATACCGCCGCCTCCTGCACAGCCGCCGCTCCCGGGCCCACTCAGCTGCCTGCTGAAGACACAGCCAGCGCTTGTGGCGTAGCTGGGTCAACTCCGGTTCTTTCCAGTTTACTTGCTAATGATAAGTTGGACACTCCAGACATGGAGCCGTTGAGGTCTTCACCACCAACGTTGCCAGCCTCAGCATCCAGTCACATGCCAAGTTTGCCCCCTCCACTGATGACACCGCCAGGCCACGTTTTGGATAATACCATGAATTCTAATGTAACAGTAGTCTCTAGGGTAAACCACGCTTTTCCTCAGAGTGTGCAGGTAAATCCGGGATTCCTTCAGGGTCATTCGGCAGTTAATCATGGTTTTGGGGCAGGAAAACCTACAGATCAAACTGTGCCCCTATCCAGTCAGTCTGGACCCCCGCCACTGGTGGTTCCTCCAACCCTCACCCCGCAGAGCAGAGAGAGACCCCTCCTCCTGGACGAACAGCCTCTGCTGCTGCAGGACCTTCTGGACCAGGAGAGGCAGGAGCAGCAGCAGCAGAGACAGATGCAGGCCATGATCCGGCAGCGGTCGGAACCCTTCTTTCCCAACATCGGTAGGAACGGCTTTGGTTTCCGTGGCGGTCAGGGTGGTGTGTGGTGTGCTTGTTGTGGTGTGTGGTGTGGTGTGTTAACGAGACACGTGGACTAGAGCACTGAGGGTCACACAGTGATGAAGAGTTTAGATTCCTCCCAGGTCAATTAAGAGGTTCAGAACCTTCTTAGTCCTTAGGTTATTGTTTAACAGAAACAAGTCATCGTCTTAGTTCCTTTCTTCTAACCATTTATTTTCAGAGGTATTTAATTTAAAGAAATTATGATAGAAACAAACTCAATTTATGTACTATAAATGCTTGGCAGTTTGTTTTTTTATTACATAAAGCTCTTTAACTGTTTCCAATTGCTTACTAGTTTGAGGGGGGGACCCACTAAACATCAATGCAGTAAAAGTACCTGAGTGTCTCGAAGAGTAAAAATTAGCATATTGTCCCCTCTCTTTTTCACTTCTATGCAAAGAGATATTTTCTCAGTAGCCTATCTTTATTGCAAGGCTATGTCCTCAAGAATGGATACATTTTGCTCTCAAAGGGTGATAACTGATTTAGTGGAATACCTTAGTATTGGAAATAACTGTAAATTCTCATGACATTAATATTTTGAAGCAGTTTTGATTGCATGTGAATGTTTGGATGAAAAGAATCTTACTACTTTAGATTTTTGCTGTAATTCCCCTTAAATTTGATAAGCTTTCTTTCCATTTTCATTCCTGCAGGACTAAGGTATCCAAACTTGCTTCAATGATGGGTCACTGAGATGCCATTAAATTTGGTTAAGGTTCTTTGCATCTCATTATTCCTTACCTATTCTAGAAACCTGTGATGATGCTTATTAAATAATAAAGAATAAAAGCCTCTAAATTACATAATGTTTGTGACAGTTAAGTGTAACTTGAACCAAGTACTATGAAATTAGTAACGTTAAAATATATTTCTTCTTTAGATTTTGATGCAATTACGGATCCTATAATGAAAGCAAAGATGGTGGCCCTAAAAGGCATCAATAAAGTAATGGCACAAAACAACATGGGCATGCCACCGATGGTTATGAACAGGTAGGTGACGGTGTTCTCATTCTTACCTTACATCAAGAAGTGCCATATAATTTTGACAGTGGTCCATGATAAAAACTTAAGCTATAGCCCTGGCTGGCATGGCTCATGGGTTAGAACTAGCACCTAAAAACCCTATGTTCAGGCCCGGCCAGTGTGGTTCAGTGGTTGAGCATCACCCCAGGAACCAAGAGGACATGCTTTGATTCCTGGTTAAGGCATATGCTTGACTTGAGGGCTTGAACCCTGTGGGGATGGGGAATGGAGGGGTGGCAAAGGCAGCCAATCAGTGTTTCTTTCCCTTTCACTTCCTCTCCAAAACTCAAATATATAAAGAAAAAAACCACTGTGTTTTAGGAATGAGTAGTAGTAATATTTATTGTGATATTAGCTGGATATGATCAATTTCCTTTATTTTCAGGGTAAATGTAATAAAACATGATAGGCTTATAAGATTGACTTGAATAATCAGTATCTCTAAGTGTGTGTTTCTTTAAATACCTTTGGAATAGCTGACTAAGAGCTTCTTGGGACAGAGATCTTTCATCCTAAACAAAGATGAGAAGATAAGCAGGAAAATAGAAGTCAAACTGGAGAAAGGATGATGGTTTCTTTAGGCCTGTGAATATTTTCCATTCCATCAGAGGAACAATGCAGAGAAAAGCATGGGACATTTCAGTGAAGTGCCTGAGCGCCAAGCTCTGAAGTCCCCAAACAACTCAAATCAGAAAGAAATGGCAAGAGGAATAGAAAAGAGGGCACTGGAAAGTTAGAGTGGGATAATTTGTATATCTTTTCACCATTAGCAGAAAAATGGAAATTATGCATTAAAGAAGACTGTAAGAGTTGTTTGACCATGAGAATTTATGGAATTAAGAGTACTTGTGCCAGCTAAGGGATATTAACTTCAGGGCAGTAGCTTGTTTGTTTTTGTTAATCCTCACCTGAGGACATCTTTTTCCATTGCTTTTTCAGAGGGCGGGGGAGAGGGAGACAGAGAGAGAAACATCGATGTGAGAGAGACACATAGATGTTTGCCTCTTGCATGCGCCCCAATCAGGGATGGGGAGTGAACCCACAACTAAGGTATATGCCCTTGAACAGGACTCAAACCCCATATCCTTCTGTTTGCGGGCCAGTGCTCAACTCATGAGCCATGCCAGCCAGGGATATATCTTAAGTTTTTATCATGGACCACTGTCAGAGTTATATGGCAATTTAATTTGCATTAACCCAACACCGACTACTAAGTCAGGATATCTGCAGGTGGCACTGGTCCCTCTTATGGAGAGCTCTGGTTGATAGCTCTGGCAATAGTGAGGATAAAGCCTCAGGTTAATCTCATTATCTTGTTAAGCAACTTTTATGAAAAGAATGATTATGGAATTGAATGTAAAATCTATGTGAATTTGATAAGCGAGACTCTGATTAATTAGGATTCCTTAAAGGAGTAGTTCTTTTCATTTGTTGAGATACTGTAGTTTGGAAATGGGTAAGAAGTATTGTTGAGATCAAAGTAGGGATTTGCACTATCACACAGCATTTATTCACACAAATTCTTTGTCACGGTGTTCTTTTTTATGTCATAAACCTTTTGACTTGGAACATTTTATGTGCAAAACCAAAAACATACTACAAAGGAAATCAGTAATATTTGAAATGTAGTTATTTAAATTTAAAAACTATGGCATATGTGCTGCTTAATACTTTAACACATTTAGCAGTAGGTCTAATAATTACCATAATTTCAAAGTCACGATGAATTGGAATATTAGTATATGCAACAACTTTTGTTATGAAAGTAATGTGAGTTCTGTTGGTGACAAAGTCACACTACTGCTAATAATACTGGAATTTGCTGTTTATAGTCAAACTAGAAGGAAATGCTCAACTTTGTTAGCATTTAGTTTAAAAGATGGGCCTCAGAATTAGAATCCCTGCTGGTTTAGCACATACCTCATACATCTGTGAATTAGCCACGTGTTAGGCATAGTGTTTGCTATTCTTCGGAGTGCTTAGAAGAAGTGGAGGTGTTAGTCCTTCAACATCGTGTGAGATGCTGCTGAGGGTGACGGACAGTGAGTGCTATTTGGATTAAGAGATCATTCTTGCCCAGGCTGTAATGGGTGCAGAGGTGATGGTTGAATCAAAATATTGACCAGCCCTAGCCAGTTTTACTCAGAGGATAGAGTGTCAGCCCACAGATGAAAGGATCCTGGGTTCAGTTCCGGTCAAGGGCCTGTGCCGTGTTTGCAGGCTCAGTCCCCAGCCCTCTCACATCAATGGTGTGTCTCTCTGCCTCTCCTCCTCCTCCCTTCTGCTCTAAGAATCAATGGGAAAATATCCTCAGGTGATGATTAACAACAACAAAATATATTGGCCAGTTTAAAAATATATATTTTATTTATTTAGAGAGGAAGGGAGAGGGATAGAGAGTTAGAAACATCAATGAGAGAGAAACGTCAACCAGCTGCCTCCTGCATTAGGGATTGAACCCACGACCTAGGCATGTGCCATGACCCACAATTGAACCAGTGACCTTCTGGTTCATGGGTTGATGCTCAGCCACTGAACTACACTGGCTGGGCTGGCCAAATATGTTTAACCTTATCGACTCTTTCTTGGTCTGTGACCAATTTTTAATTTGCTTTAACATTAGGTATAGAAAATGAGTGAAACTTCTTGAGAGGTGTATCTTTAGTTTAGAATACAAAGTAGCTAAGTTACCTATTACCTTTACTTTTTTTAGTTCAGAAAAGGCATTTTTAAAAATAAAGATTGAAGAATAAAAATTTTTCTTAGAATGTATATAATAGAACTATACTTCGTTAGATTTTTTTTACCCAGAAGAGTTGAATTAATTTTATTTTCGGGCACAATGAAGCGTGTAGTAGGAAGTGAAACAACTCTGGCGTGGCCTGCGTACCTCCGCTCACTGGTGGTCGTGGGGAAAGCGACTGGGCCTCGGCCTCTTGCTTTCGTCCTGAGTCGGGAGCAGGAAGTGGCTGCACTGCAGAGGGTGGGGAGGTGACGTGGGGTCGGCACTCAGAAGACTGGGCCTTCGCAGATGTGCACGATGAGGAGGACATTGCTCTCTCTTCCCTGGAAGAGCACACTGTGAAGCACAGTGTAGGTGTCCATGCTTATCATCTGACGCCAGTGCTTCCCTTCACAGGTTCCCCTTTATGGGCCAGTCGGTGACTGGAGCGCAAACAGGTGACGGCCAGACTCTCCTGCCACAGGCCATTCCTCAGGTATTGTCACCAGAATCACACTGTCCTGTTCCCAACAGACCTCTTCTGCCCAGCGAGGCCACGTCTAGGAAGTCATAGGAGCTTAGAGATCTGCTCAGCAGGAGTAAAAACTTGCTTACTGAGACTGAAATTGGCCACAGCTTCTGAAAAGGACCATATATTTAAGGGTAGAAAGTCAATTTAGAGGGCAACCAAAAGAGGGTTTCTGATTCTACGTGTATTTGTTTTTATTGTTGACACTATTACAAATGTCCCCCCTCCCCCTCCTCTCCACTCAGCCCCTCCACTCTGGCCTTCCCCGCATAGCTGTTCGTGTCCATGTGCTATGCATTTATATGCTTTGGCTAATCTCTTCAGTTTTTATTTTGGACTCCACAAAGATATTTTCATAGTCTGCACTTTGGATTTAATTCATCATTTTAAAAAATGTAAATGTTATAAACAGTAGAAAATACTGATTATAATCACTCTATTTAGATACAGTCATGTTCTGCTATTTATTCCTTGGAATAATTTAGTCTACTAAATATTCACTACTCATGATAATCAGCTTGAAGTATAAATTTGAGTGTCAAACGATGTTAGGGAAAGTAGACTACCTGCTCATCTCATACAGTTTTCTTCCATTCCCCCCACCCCCCAAATATCTGCTTAGATTAAAACAAACAAACAAACAAAACAAAACAAAAAAACACTACCTGTTAAGTGACCTATTATATGTCTTTGTGGAATCTTTCCTGCCAAGCAATTTGTGCTTCAGCTTTATTATGCTGATAACTACCATATTTTCCGGTGTATAAGATGACCCCCTAATTTTACAGTTAAAACATAGGTTTAGGCCTATATTCACTGTATAAGACTACCCCCCACTTCAGAGAAAAGACTTACTTTGCCGTCAAGATCTGCAGGTAATTTTTGTGCAATTTTGGTCTTTTGCCCCCCAATTTTCGGTTGACTTTTTTTCGTTTTAAAAGTCGTCTTATATGCCGGAAAATACAGTATGCTCTTTTTATTATTAAAAGAAGAGAGAGCATCCCGCATCCCAGGCAATGGGAAAAGCATAGGCTTCAAAATGAGTTTTTATAAAAACTCAGTTTTACTCTAAGTTTACTGTGTAAAGTCTGTATACGTTCTGTGACCTGCATTTTTCCCACTGTCAAATGGTCCCCAGCCTCACAGTGTAAGGGTTACAGATAGCACATTCTGGCTGCTACTGTCTTTTAAAATTGTTACCTTGTGTATAGCTTATATCTAACAGAACTTGTAATGACTGGTAAATATGTTCTCAAAGTTACATGTATCAGATTGTTGCCAGGGAACTGTGAAATTAAAAGCTGTTTATTCAGTCACCCTGGAAGAAACAAGACATTTAATTTAAAAATTGAGACTAATATTTTCAATTACTTATACATGTTAGAGATGTCGGTTGCTGTGAAGTGGGAATTAGTCAATCCAGAACCCATGTTTATGTCATAATTGCTGAAGAAACCAGGTGGATTTCATTAAAAAATGGAGTTTTACATCATCTCTAGCTATGTGCTAACAGTATTTGATTTGCCCTACTATTGCATTTCCATCCCTTACCTCATACATGTTTTTCAACTGAAATCTATGAAATGAAACAGTTCAAAGATAATTAAAAATTTTTAGAAAATAGGTTTTCACCACTCAACTCATCTACTTTTTATTAAAAGGAGAGCTTTAAAGATGTCTTAGGAAATTAAAGGTTTTTCCCCCCCTTCCATTTCTTTCTCTTTCTTTTTTAAAAAAAGTTTCCCCCCTTTAACTGAAATGTGGAATAAACCTATTTGTAAATTTTACTTATTTTAGGATGGCAGTATAACACATCAGCTTTCTAGGCCTAATCCTCCAAATTTTGGTCCAGGCTTTGTCAGTAAGTATAAATCTAATAAGTCACCTGTTCTCTGGGGATTGCTTGTTTGCGCTCTGTGTTCTAAAAACGTGGAGTTAGTGTAGGTGTGTTTTTAAGTCTGAGTGCCCTCATCTTTTATGAAACCCTAATTGGTGTCTTTTCCTCAAGGCATGTATTTTCATTGCTTTTTTTCTCTATGCATGAAGAATTATAGTTAGGTTAATATTTAAATACAGAAAAATCACCTTCCCTATTCTCTTCAATATTGTTGCTGGGTTTTTGTTTTATACACAGATTGGGCACTTTACAACTAGAATTTAGCCTTTTCTTGCTCTAATGACTGTCTGCCTCTGTGACAAGGACACTAAATGGGAACCACATAGGAATGTGCTTAGGAACCATTTGGGTTAGCAGCATGCAGGATGCCACCGAGTCCTTTTGAGTTATCTCCAGGGGTCCCAAGGTGGTTCAGGATAGCATTTAAAGTTCTCCCCAAACTGAACCTTTCTGAAATCTTCAGACTGTTTAGCTAACTTTTTTTTTCACCATTATTTTTCATTTTGCTCACCTCTGCTCTCCTGGTTCCAGAAACCAGAAAGGCTTTCCTTGCGGTAGGTCTCATTCTACCAGAAGCAGAACTTCTGAAACCTTGTTGAAAAAGCCTGTTCTTAAAAAATGCCCTTCAAATTTAGACTAGATTTCAAGTTCATACATGTACTGGGACTTCTGGGTTTAGGAAAAAACCCAAAGTCTGACCCATTAAAATTCCCCTGCATTAATTATTATCATAATTTGAACACATTTTGCATTAAAAACAAACTGTTGTACCCAACTGGCTTTTTCTGGCTTTACTGTGCCCATTGATTAGCTTTGGTTGCATTCTCACTGTATGACAATATTGTTATCCTGATGTAATTTTTCAGTGAATTTCCTTCCTGGAATTGTACTTATTCATTTCTTTGTCTTACAATAAGTAAAAAAAAAAAAAAAAAAAAAAAAAAAAAAGGTGTATTCTGAATTTCACTATCATGAGATGACTTTTTTTTTAAACTTGGAATCAGTGACATGAAGTGCCCTTAAAGAATAAAGGACTGTTGGTACAAGATGAAGAGATATAACTATTTTGGGGCAATATCAATGACAGTCATAAAAGTAGTCAAGATTCTACTTGGTTAATTAAAGATTTTTTTTTTTTTGCTTATACAAGTACTAAATTATAAAATTCATAAGTTACCTATGTTTTTAACTTAGAGATTTCTTATATAAAACATAGACTTCAGATTCATCCTTTTCTAAGGTATTCTAGGCCCCTCCCTCTCAGTTTAGGACATGTTTTCACTGTTGAGAAATAGGGCCACCTTTATAAACGCAGGGAAATTAACTTGGGAAGGGTACCTAACCTAAGCTTTGGGCTTTAATAGGATACATGTGTCGTACTTTGTCTCTTCAAAGTCTGTAAATGTGACTTCATGAAATACACACATGGTTTAGAGAACATGGTAGTTCAGCAGATTGGAATTATAGTCTTGATAAGTATGAAGATAGCCTGTGAGCTAAAAACATGTATTCTTTGGTTTTCTCCAAAAAAAAAATACTTTCCTAAAATCTCCTACATTATAGTTACATTATGGTCAATGTTTAGTATCATGTTTTCAGAGTACCTATTACAAGGTCATGGCAAAGTGCATTTCCTTATAAAAGTGGGTTTGTGTAACTTTTACATTGGGCTCTAGAAAAGTAACAGAGCTGAATTTTATTATCCCCTCAGATGACTCTCAGCGGAAGCAGTACGAAGAGTGGCTTCAGGAGACCCAGCAGCTGCTCCAGATGCAGCAGAAGTACCTGGAAGAACAGATAGGAGCCCACAGGAAATCCAAGAAGGCCCTCTCGGCCAAGCAGCGCACCGCCAAGAAGGCCGGGCGGGAGTTCCCAGAAGAGGACGCGGAGCAGCTCAAGCATGTGACTGAGCAGCAGAGCATGGTTCAGAAGCAGCTGGAGCAGGTAATGGCCGGTCTGCACGGCGGGCAGGCGCTAGCGAGTGGGCGCAGGGCTTGATTAGTGCTGGGCAGACCTTCGTGGACCTCACTGACCTAGGAAATGACAGCCAGTTTTGTTCCTGAAGTAGTGGTCACACAGCACATATTTAGTAAGTGCCACTGAAGAGATTAATTCATAACCTGACCCAGAGGAGCCGCTTCCACACTCCGGTGTGAACTCTGGGACAGCCAGGGAAATCCAGGTACTTTCCCGCCTAAGAAATTCCTCAGGGTCCTCAGCTCCATTGAGCACAGAGCGCACGGGGAACCCTGGTTCAGGCAGAACAAGATTGGGCCCCAGAAGGATTTGTTCACTTGGAGTTGACCTTTGCTTCCCCATTGTCTTTAGTTCCCTGGTTTCCAGTGAAATTTCAGAGCATTTGAGTCATTCTGGTGATTCATTTTCATAGTATTTTTATTAATATTTCAAAGATATTGTACATTGGTATATTATGAAAAGTACTCATTCCTAAAAAATGAAACCATTCTGCTGTTATCTTTCATTACAAACCAGATATTCCTCAAAAAGATCACTGAAGTCAATTATACTTTTAACTTTTTATTTAAAATTAAACAGTAACTGTTCAAGTTGAACTAAGAGCCCACTCCTACGTATTAAAAACTGGATTCACACGAAAGCTTGTACACAAATATTTATAAGAGCTCTATTCATAGTCACCAAAACCTGGAAACAGCCCAGGTATCCTTCAGTGGGGAATTGTTGAACAGTGTTGTGTATCCACACAGTGGAGTACTACACAGAATTACTTAAATGGATCTTGAGAACACTACACTGAGTAAAAGAAGCTAATCCCCAAATGTTGCAGGCTACTCTATTTGTTTAATATTCTTGGAATAACAGAGTGATAAAAATTGGCTCTAGAGGTTTCCAGGGCTAAGGGATGAGGGAGGGAGGTGTGACTGCTCAGGGGTGGGTCACATGAAGGAGTTTTTTGTATCTTGATTGTGGCGATAGCTACACCAATGTCTCTGTGCGTTAACTACGTAACATTAATGCAATTGTACACCCAAAAGGTCACCTTGGCTTCTAACTGTGTATTTTAACTTTTAAAGTAAAATTGAAAAGCAATCTAAATGTAATTATAGAAGGGGAGGCACTCAAGCTGACACATTGGAGTGTTTTCTGTGTAATGAACACTGGTAGACAGCCTTCTCTTACCACCTTCCAAAGACGTACTAACCAGGGCGCACACGAGGGACCTGAGTCCGCGCAGAGGTAGGCGCGTGCTCACTCACCCAACACGGACTATTGAATTAGGGGTTTCGACGCCAATGACTTTTCTGCGAGCTATGCTGGTGCTAATCTAGAGCAAGAGGTTTCTTTTCTCTTGAAATTTACTCTCTGGGTTTGTGCTTATGCAAGTAAATGTTTTCGGGTATTTCTTATAAAGTAATTTTAGCATTTTCATTGCCTTCAGTGTATTGCTATCACTTCTCTATGCTAAGGGCCTAATTTTATATCCATGCATCAAATCCTGTTTAGAAGCTAATACTGAACTTGGAAAGTGGCATGTCTTCTGTTACTGTATAGTTGTCAACACCCATTGTATCTCAGTAAGGTAAGCATTTGCTGAAGTATTTTTAAATGTCCTGGGAAAGGCAGGGACCACCACCTTCTATTTTCCAAGTACGGAGGTATTCGATGACTATCATACTGCTTCCCCAATCCAATGCCAGTAAACTGGTCAGAAAAGATAAGAAAATAAGTTAGAAGTTACACAGCTACTGGAGAGCAGGTCAGAACCATCACGTGCAGAGAATGTGCCAGTTGGCCAGGGAAGCTGTTAGAACTGCTGGTGTAATGTGCACACATCCAAAACTGGAGTGGTTTTGAAGGATGCTAATGTCACGCAGAGCCTCCGCCTCCCACCCCCTCAGGGAGGCCATGCGCCCTCAGGACTCAGGCAGTGTCCTTGGGATGAGACTGGTATCTCGCACTGGGCACAGGTTGTGGAATGAAGTAACGGACACAGTCAGGGCTACTAGGAGCCATTCAGACGGTACCTTGGCCTGTACAGATTTCAGAATCATCACTGAGCACATGAGCTGTAAAGGCAGTTTTCCAGTCGTCTTTACCCTTTGGGGGAGGGTGTGGAACACATGCTACTAATTATCCTCACACATGGAGCTAATTTGTATATAGAGAAGGTGAAACTGTAACATGTTTCAGTGGTAAGTTTGAGTTAAATCTCACAGTTACTCTAAACTGTATACTAATGTCACTTCTACGGTGTCGCAGTGAACAAATTCCTGTGGCGTTTTTATTGTTTTGTGCAGTTTAAATAGTCTGACTTTCACAGTAAGGTTTCTTACTATTCATTTCAGAAAATTATTTGAATTTGTTTTTGGTATTTCATAAGTAAAGAAATTTTACAGATGATAGAAAAATTCTATTGTTAAAAAAGTTTGACACTCTTTAGTTAATGCATATCAATCCACTTTTTTGTGATTTTGCCCTTTGCCTAAGCCAAATATTTCTGCCTGTATTAAGGTGGAACTGCTTTCGGTATAACCCCGAGCCCTTGGGTACCTTAGCACCGTCATGAGCGGGATTTAACTCTTCTTTCAGATCCGGAAGCAGCAGAAGGAGCACGCGGAGCTGATGGAGGATTACCGGATCAAGCAGCAGCAGCAGCAGCAGCAGCAGCATGCACTGGCCCCGCCCGCTGTCATGCCCAGGGTGCCGCCCCTCATTCCCGGAGCTGCCCCACCCGCCATGGGCCAGCCCACCTTCCCCCTGGTGGCTCAGCCACTGCAGCACTCAGCTGTCATTCCTGGCCACACCAGCCCTGCGCGGATGCCCAGCTTACCCGGATGGCAGCCTCCCGGCACCCCTGCTCACCTCCCCCTGAACCCTCCCCGAGTCCAGCCTCCAGTTGCCCAATTACCGATGAAAACTTGCACATCGGCCCCGGGGACAGTGCCCAATGCAAATCCACAGAGCGGCCCGCCTCCACGGGTGGAGTTCGATGACAACAACCCCTTTAGTGAAAGTTTTCAAGAACGGGAACGGAAAGAGCGGCTCCGGGAGCAGCAGGAGAGGCAGCGAATCCAGCTCATGCAGGAGGTGGACCGCCAGAGGGCCCTGCAGCAGAGGATGGAGCTTGAGCAGCATGGCCTGCCGGGCCCGGAATTGAGCGCAAGGACAGCCATGCCACAGGCCCCGTTCTACGGCCCTGACCTGCCTTGTGACTTCCTGCAGCCCCCGCGGCCCCTTCAGCAGTCTCCGCAGCAGCAGCAGCAGGTGGGCCAGGTTTTGCAGCAGCAGAGCATGCCCCAAGGGTCTGTGAATTCACCCCCCACCCCAACTTTCATGCAGACCAACGAGCGAAGACAGATAGGACCCCCCTCGTTGGTCCCTGACTCGCTGTCAATTCCTGGCGGGAGCCCAACCTTCCACCCCGGTAAGCAGGCGCACAGCAGTCTCCCCAGGGCCGGCTTCCAGCAGTCCCCCGTGAGGGCTCCTTTCACACCTGCCCTGCCCACAGCATCGCCGGGAGCCAACAGCAGTCTCCCCTGTGGCCAAGACCCTGCCTTAACCCATGGACAAGGTTACCCCGGATCGGCCCAGTCTCTCATTCAGCTGTATTCTGATATCATCCCAGAGGAGAAGGGGAAGAAGAAAAGAACAAGGAAAAAGAAGAAAGATGATGACGTGGAATCCACCAAGGCACCGTCCACTCCACACTCAGACATAACTGCTCCGCCGACCCCGAGTGTCCCTGAATCTACCTTCACACCCACAGCCCCCACGCCCGGCGAGCTTCCTCTGAAAGGAGAGCCCGAGCCTGCGGAGGCAGCTGCCTCGTCGGCTCCGAGCGCGGCTGCAGGCCAGGCGTGTGCAGGCCCGGAAAGCGGCTCGCCCCCCGAGGAGTCCTCCCAGGGAGCCCCAGGTCCGCGGACGCCCACCCCTGCAGCGGCCGACACGCAGCCCGCGGGCGCGGCTGACGAGGCCACGCCGGAGCTGGCCGAGCCCCAGCAGCGCCCGGGCCCCGAGGGGCCTCCCGCAGAGGGACCGGCGGGGGGTCAGGCCGTAGAGACCGTGGCCTGTGCCACCTCCGCAGGGCAGAGCCCGCCCCCTGCTGCCAAAGGCGACGTGGGCAACGAGCTTCTGAAGCACCTGCTGAAAAACAAGAAGGCCGCCGCCCTCGGAGCCCCGAAACCTGAAGGCACCGGCTGCCCGCAAGATGACAGCGCGAAGGCCAGCAGGCCGGCCGAGAGGCCGAGGCCCGCCGCGGCACCGGTAAGTGAGGCCTGCGGCCGCCGTCTGCTTCCGCGGTGGGGGAGCCGGTGGGCCCCAGCGTTCATGCCGCCCTCCGCTGCCTTCCGGCTCGCCAGGACCGCTTATTTCCTGTCTTTGCCTTCACAGATCCCACGTTCTGACATAAAGTACACAAACCATCACTTAACATCTATGTGTCTGTTTTTCAAAACTCAGAGGCAGGGTGATGCTTTTCCGATGTAAGCTGGGCCTGTGCCCTGATTTCTTCCCACATCAGGCAGCTCTAACGAAAGCAAACAAGTAAAGGCCTGTGACTCTTACTGGGAAAGTGTGTGTTTTCCAGTGACCGCACCGTGGCTTCCTGGGCTCGGGCAGCCCCGTATCACATGTATTAACACGTGATGTTACACAAACGCAGTTCTAACACGGTGCTCCTTTACCTTTGTCCCCTTTCATGTGTCAGTAGTTGGCTCTTTGGTGCGCTTTTGGTTTTATTTTCCCCTTTTACGAAGGGCCGTATAAATACATCTTTACAAGACTCCAGCCCCTGCATTTTGATGAACTTCCCTGAAATGGTTCTCAAACTGGGGTTCCTGTGTCACAGGAGCAGTTTTGCTTCTTTGTCTTTCAGAAGCTGTAGTATGTTCCTGTGTATTCATAAGCTTTCCCACTGTGCGTTTCTGTCTTTCACAGTTGTGTCTAGTGTAGAGAGCCTAGCTTTAGGCAAGTGTTGTCTCTTTCCTCTTGTCTGACTGGTCAGTAGAGGGTGGCTGCTGAGTCGATAGATAGATGTAATTTTTGTCAATTTCTGTTAGCGATAATACTTTCGCAGCCTCTTTGTCACCAGCAGGGATGCCCAGGCTCCAGCTGCCTGCTGCCCCTGGGGACAGTGAACTCTTGCAGAGCCTGATTGCCCTTATGTCCGCACCCTCCCACGTGCTGTGTCGCCCGCAGCTCCCCTTGGTGTACATCCAGCCAATATCTTTCCTTTGAGAACTCCGTTCTGGAACCGTCTTCTCCAGGCGCCTTTCTCAAACACGTCTTGCTGCCCCTATGCCACGTCGCCTTGTCTGTGGTGTCCTCCCCACCGCACCCGCTTCCCAACGGGCACGCCTGCCTCTGCGCACTTGGTCCTCGGGGCCTGATACAGTGCTTAGCAAGGAGTCAGCACTCGGGTAGTGAAGTGAAGTCCTAACAATGGCGATTAGGCAGAGAAAGGGGTGAGATTAGTTATGTATGTGTGAATGTTTGGGTTCTGTTACATTCTCATGTCCACTGGGGGGGTCGCAGGAGCAGGCACACAGTTCCCGTGTGGAGCACTTGTCCTGACATATCATTATTTAGTCCCACTTGGCAGACGATGAAATTCGGTGATCTGTAGTCCCATGCACGGCAGAATCGCTGTGGAGTAGTTGGATAGGCCCAGTGCTTCTCCACTGTTTTCTCTGCGTCAGCTGGGATTAGGAGAGGGGCGCCCTCCTCGTCGGCATGTGGAGGGCCCCACCACTCCCACTGAGAAGTCCGTGCCTCGGCACCTCCCGGGGGTCCTGGGAAGCAGCCTTTTTGTACCTCGTCTGCATCCCCTGCTGTGTGGGTTTTCCGCAGGATTACAGAAGCTGAAGCACAAACGGTGCTTGTAACATTTTATAAAAGGTTCATACCTTTGACCCACAATTGCACATTTAGGAATCTGGTATCAGGAATATAAGATTCTAATATGTGCCAAGATGTAGTTACATGAATAGCTAAGGTCCTGTTTCTACTAACAGAGAAAAATGAGAGAAAGAAAACAACCTAGACTCCAGCAGCTATTGATTAAATCATTATTTAATGTCTCCAAGTCTGAATGACATACAGGGCTTTGTGCAGCCTGTTCAATGTCATGGGGAACCTGTCAAGTTTAAAAAGCAGCAACTAAACAATAGAAAGCAAAGTGCAATCTGGTGTCTGTGTGTGTGTGTGTGTGTGTTTTATTTTTTTTAATTTTTCAATCTGTTGTATTTTTAACAATACATATAGGGCACCCATAAAAGACCGCAAACATACATTAAAATGTTGGCTTTTGTTTTTGTTTTTTAATCCTTGTCGAGGACATTTTTCCATTGATTTTTAGGGAGGAAAGGAGAGGGAGAGAGAGAGCAACATCAATGTGAGAGAGACACATTGATAGGTTGCCTCCCACATGCACCCTGACTAGGGCTGGGGATCGAGTCTGCAACCTAGGTACGAGTCCTTGACTGGAATTGAACCCAGGATCCTTCAGTCTGCAAGCCATTGCTCCACTGAGACAAACCCTCTAGGACGAAATGTTGACTCTTTAATCTCAGGCACACTTTCCGATTATTTTTGTGTTCTTCTGTAGTTAAATGTATTCTGTGAAACTTTCTAAGGGGTGGTTGTGAAGGTTAGAGGTAATGTCTGTGCCTAGTCCACTACACTTACGTAAGTGGTTATGTGTTAGTCTCTTGGAAGCCAGGGAGCAATCTCAGGCACTAGCTCTGCGGACTGCAGTCCTTGGGATCAGCAGTGTGACCTCACCCAGAGCTTTTTCAGAAATGCAGAATCCCATGCCCAACACAGACCTCCAACATGTCCTCATAAGATCCCAGGTAATCCCTATACATATGCAGAGGACGGCTCTAGGACTGAGGCTCCCCGAACTAATGTGTCAGAATTGCCTGGAGCCCTCACTCACAGGTGTCTGTTTCAGTAGGTGTGGATGGGGCCAGAGGACATGCATTTCCAACCCAATCAGGTGGTGACCCTCTGCGGTAGTGATTGCCTTTGAGAACCTCGGTCCGGCCAAGTGGGTGGGCAGTCTGAGCCTGCTTCCACCTCTTCTTTGTATGAGCTCAGAATGGCTTATACATTTTAAATAGTTGGAAAAAAAATCTAATGAGTAATATTTCTCAACATGTGAAAATTACACCAGATTGAAGGTTCAATGTCCATGTATTTAAGTTTTATTGGGGCACAGCCAAGCTTGTCATTGGTGGGTTAACCATGGCTGCCTGGGCAGTATTGGGCTGCAAACGGAGTAGCTTGGACAGATGCTGTATGGCCCACAGAGGCTAAAATCTTTACTTCTTGGCGCTTTGCAGAAAAATTTGCTGTCCGTGCTCTAAGCCATTTAGATTATAACTGGAAACTAAATCTTCAAAATCCTCTAAGATTCATTAAAAAAAAGTTCAGCAGCTATAGTTACCTATAGCAAATTTATAAATAATGGCCCTTAAAAAAAATTCTGTATTTTTAGGTATCAATAGCATTACCTCTTCAAGGACCGATTTATTCTCACTTGTTAATTGTAAAGACAAAAGTAAATAAAGGTTTGCTTGCTATCACATGTGTTCTTTTTCATCGGTTCTAAGTAAACAGCAATAGGTAGTGAGTCAAATGCATGATTGGGAGCTGCTCTGAATGACCAGTGCTGGTTGTTTATTGATCTGAGGCCAGTTCTCAACGAGAGGTGTGCAAGGTAAGGCTTCTCTGGAGTCTGCCACGGTCCTGCTCACTGCAGGGAAGCCCAGGACAGCTCAGCCAGACCCTGTGTGCAGGCCACAGCAGAGACTGGAGCTCTGGTCTGTCTGCTCAGCTCAGGCATGGCACAGCTTGGCACGGCTCGGCTTGGCCGTGCTCCATGACAGGCTGTAGCAGTGCTTCCTCTGGGAGAGAAAGGAGCCAGCTTCGGAGTTGTGCTTTTGCCTTCATCTTTGTAGCTCAGACTTCACACTGGAGAATGTTTGCAGAAAGGGATGGTATTTTCAGAAAACAGTGAGAGCATTCTATGCCACTGTCTCCCCTTCTGAATTTTACTCCCCATGCTAGGAATGTGTGTCAGGGATTCGCATGAAGTGCAAATCCACGTGTGAACAGTCCACTTACTTCTTAACTTTTCCAACCACATTAGCAAACTCTGGGAGCTCACACGCAAGGTAGTTTTGGATGTGGCAACAACCAGCTGCCAAAAGTAGATGGAGGAGGTGAAACCAAGAAACCACGAGGCAAACGGACCCAGAGGACAGGGGAGAAGGCAGCTCCTCGCTCAAAGAAAAGGAGAAAGGATGAGGAGGAGAAGCAAGCTGTGTATTCTTCCAGAGACACCTGTACCCGCCTGAAACAGGTGAGCCTTTCCCAGCCCCGTAACCATGCCCGGATGTGAGAACATCAAATGCCTATGTAGCCCTAAAATAGAGAGTTACAGGGATAGGATAGCTCAGCAAGGACCCAGTGAGTTCCTGTTTGCAAAGCTGCAGCCTGTCCTATTGGCCCCAGAGAGCACATACAAGTGCATTGGCAGGTGATGGTCAGGGCAGCCGCTCAGCACCAGGCACTCTGACCACGTACTTGTGAGTCCAAACACCAAGACGTGCAGCTGCTCTCGGACCTTGTAATGGTCACCGAGGTGGGGCAAGGCCTCAGCGATGCCACTGGGCCCCCGGCCTGGTCCACACCATGGCTCTTGCTGAGCAAAGATATGGTCATAGTTTCCTTGTTAGATGCCTGGCAGCGTCTCCTTAAAACAGACCAGAGTGGAGCTTATTTTAAAGTAGATCTTAAAGATTCAGCAGTCTCACTTATTCCAGCATTTTGATACTTGAAAATTTTAAGCTTTATTTTTCTCAAGCCTGTTTGACTAAGTTGCCTCGGGTCTTAGAAAAGTTGAGAATCGCCCTGTTTTGTTTGCCGTGTACATTACTCTTAAATGTGTTTTTTAATAGCAGCTCTCTCTGCTCCCTCTAATGGAACCAATCATTGGAGTGAACTTTGCGCACTTTCTTCCTTATGGCAGTGGCCAATTTAATAGTGGGAATCGACTTCTAGGAACTTTTGGCAGTGCTACCCTTGACGGGGTTTCGGATTACTATTCTCAGTTGATCTACAAGGTATGTTTCTTTGCCAAGGTGTCACCTCGCTTCCTCGCTGGATACATAGCAGCATTGGCAGAGCTTGTCTCATTTTTTCCGTCTAGTTTACGTCTAATCTTCCAAGTTCCACTTAAAGTTCAGTTTAGCTAAAGGTTAACATTTTTCTGGTGAAGTGTTTCTGATGTGAACATTTGAGATTTTTGTATAGGAAAGATTAAAAATTGTGGAAAATATCCATTATGTATTTTCATGGCAGAGAAAATACAGGGTGGGGCAAAAGTAGGTTTACAGTTATGAGCATCAAAGTAGTTTATTATTGTATTATTACTTACTAATTATGGAATTATTTTCCACACGAGCAACTGTGAACCTACTTTTGTCTCATGTATTTCCCTATAACCTTATTAAGTCTTAAAACAAATCTAAATAATAAATAATGAGGATTAAAAATATAGTTAGGAATTTACCCTGAAAAATTAAATGAAAAATATTTTTAAATGTATTTTATTTAATTAGGTATTAACTGCAATTATGCATTAATGCTTAGACTACTAAAATATCAAACCTAATCAAGTTTATCTTTCAGTATTATTTTTTTAAACCAAGTTTCATAATAGCCTTATTATACACTCTTCATTTTACATCTAACTTCTGCAAAAACACATCTTTTTTGCAACAGTGTTGGAGAGCTGTCACCAGCTCTCCTGAGGACTTCTCTTCTCGCTGATTGTTCTGCCTGCTTCTGGTGCGCTCTTGTATGCTGGTGCTGGCTTTCTCTTCAGCGAGAGCTGCCTGCCTCTCGTAATGCCTTCTGTTCTGCTGCAGGCTGTTCTCCACACAACTTCGTCTTCATGAAACCCTGGCTCTCTGTCACATTAGCATTTCACCTTGCACTTGATTTGCATGTTGTTACTAGTAGATTCCCACAATCAAAAATAAATGACAACCCTCGCCGATTTGGCTCAGTGGATAGAGCGTTGGCCTGCGGATGGAAGGGTCCCAGGTTCGATTCCGGTCAAGGGCACATGGGGCTTGGTCCAATGTGCAGGAGGCAGCCAATCAATGATTCCCTCTCATCATTGTTTCTACCTCTCTCTTCCTCTCCCTTCCTCTCTGAAATCAATAAAAAGAAAAAGTAAATGACAAATTGGTGACAAAGGTGAAGCAAGGAGAAATGTTTGGAGAAGGAACTACATTTGTGAATGACTTAGTCATTTTAGTATTATTGCGCCTGCTTTTGCATAGAGGTTTTGGACAATCCAGATTCTAATATCTAGGATGTGAGTTGCAATAATAAAATTAGGGCCACAAATTCTCAATTTTTTGTAGAACTGGGGCATATCTTAATGAGAATTAAATAAAGGAATTTTTGAGAACTTTTTACAATTCATTGCTTGAATTTTAAAACTGTTGTTCACTGGCTTCAGCTTGAAAAGCGTTGTATAGGATTGAATCGGGCATAATGTAAATTTGCTTCTTACTGTCAAAGCTGAGCACTCAGGCCGGGCCAACTAAGTGGGTGACAGTGTGCTCTCTGTCATGGGTGTTTGTCCCACTGGAAAGCCTCTTGGCCATGGACATTTGTTTTTCTTCTTGGTGTGAGTTAGGGAGGAAGAGCACCTTGATGACATTCATGTGCTAAGAATTCACAGAACTATATTTTACGAGGTCTTGGCTTATTGCTCAGTAGCATGTAATTTAAAATTTTTTGGTCTCCTGCAGCAGAATAATTTAAGTAATCCTCCAACACCCCCTGCCTCTCTTCCTCCTACACCACCTCCTATGGCCTGTCAGAAGATGGCAAATGGCTTTGCGACAACTGAAGAGCTTGCTGGAAAAGCAGGAGTGTTAGTGAGCCACGAAGGTACGCCGGGGACCTCACTGGGACTCTGAGGAGTGTGCTTTGCCCGCGGAAGGGGAAGGGCTGCGATGTTCTTCCCATCAGCAGTCCTGACTAAATGTGTGTTTGTGTTTCCAGTTACCAAAACCCTCGGACCTAAACCGTTCCACCTGCCGTTCCGAGCCCAGGACGACTTGCTGGCCAGAGCCATTGCTCAGGGCCCCAAGACCGTGGATGTGCCAGCGTCCCTGCCCACTCCGCCTCACAATAACCAGGAGGACTTAAGGCAGGCGCTCTTTCTGTCACAGCATTGTATAGTTGTCCCATACTTGTGTAATGTATGGACGCATGTGTGATGATGTCGTGGGAATACCCTGTAAGAACAGTTAAGGGGCAAAATTTGGTGAATAGTTTTCTTTAGAACTCAAAGTTTAAAAAAGCATCCTTGCTATTAAACAAAATTGGTTTGTGAACTGTTGAAATCCCTTATAATAAGTTAAATAAAAATCAGATAGACATTAAGGCAAAGGGAATTACCATGTAAAATATTTCAAAAGATCATTGTCCTTTACAAACTGTGGAGGTGATTGGTTTGGCTCATTGATGCTCGCAGAGTCTGAAGTAGAAGCAGGCCACAGGCCTCAGAGGTGTTGTTTCAGGACTTTCCTGGACAGTCGTGGCTTCCTTGTGTCAGTTCTTCAGTCCTAGGAATCTGACTGGGGACGGCCAGGTCCCTCTCCCTGGAGGTTTGAGAACTGCCTTCTGCTTGATGCGGCATCACTTAGTCCACGGCTCTGAGTTTGTTCATGAGGCAGCTGTGGACCAGAGCGGAGAAGTGACTAGTTCAGACTGAGAAGCCAGGTCTCCTTTTCCTCCTGGGACCTCTGCCAGAAATGGAAGCCTGCGGCAGAGCAGCTGGGGGCAGTGGCCCCTGGTGTGCTGGGCACCGGCAGTGGGCACCCGTGCCGGCCTCCCCAGGACCCGGGCTGGAGGCTGTGCTCGGCTCCTCTGGCAGGCAGCATCTCCCGCGGGAGGAGCGGCCACACAGGTTCATGGGTGTCCCACACTGTTTAGCCTGAGACCACACTTGTCCTCCAACCCTGGTTTCCTTGGTAACCTTTAGCTTCTCATGCCACTGCCGTGTCCAGAGAACCTCACGGTCCCACTGGAGGAGGGGGCCCACGTTGATGTGTCGCATTAATTTTTCTTGTAGGATGCAGGACCACGGTGCTGATCGGGACACTCCCGACAGCTTTGTCCCCTCATCCTCTCCTGAGAGTGTGGTGGGGATGGAAGTGAGCAGATACCCTGATTTGTCCCTGGTCAAAGAGGAGCCCCCCGAGCCTGTGCCATCCCCCATCATTCCGATTCTCCCCAGCAGTGCTGGGAAAGGTAGGAGACCTAGCGGCATTTTCTGGCAGCGTGCTCATCTACTAAAGCTCACGTTTTGGTTTTGAAAAACATTAACATTTCGTCTTCCCTGTCTGTCTCCCTCCTTTCCTTTCTCCTTCCCCTTCCTCCCCCCTTTAGGTCCTGAGTCTAGACGGAATGACATTAAAACTGAGCCAGGCACGTTCTTCTTCTCGCCACCTTTCGGTTCTTCCCCAAACGGCCCCAGGTCGGGCCTGATCTCTGTGGCCATCACTCTGCATCCAGCAGCTGCTGAGGTGAGCTCACAGGGCCCCGGCGCCCGGCAGTGTCCCTTCGGCTTTGCATGAAGCGGTATCGCGGGTCCGGAGGAGACAGGAGGGAGGTCAGGTTGGGGTGTTGTCACTTAGACACCTGGCTGCGTGGGGTGCTGCAAACAAGCATCAGATTGGTCTGAGCCTAAGTCCAGGTTAAAAGGCATAAGTTAGAGGTCTCATTTTTTAATCAAAGGATGTGTATGTTAGAGCAGTGTTTTTCAACCTTTTTTGGGCAAAGGCACGCTTGTTTCATGAAAAAAATCACGAGGCACACCACCATTAGAAAATGTTAAAAAATTTAACTCTGTGCCTATATTGACTATATATAAAGTAATTCTCTTGAATAGGAATCAAATAAACACAAAGAAAGTATTTTATAATTACTTTATTATGAAATATTAAGTAAACAAAATAGCGAAAAATTATAAAATTCTTGTCTTGTCTGCACCTACGGCACACCAGGCAACATCGTGCCGCGGAACAGCGGTTGAAAAACGCTGTGTTAGAGAACTCTTTACAGAGAAACCTCTGGGTAACCGTTTACACATAGAAAATTAAGCCGTGACAAACAGCTATGAATAGTACAATTTTGTGGAAGCAAAATATAAACCTTGTTCAGGTGGCAGCTGCTTGTATCAAACAGGAGTGAATTGCTGAGCTGTTTCTTAACTCTTAGTTCGGTGAGGACATTCCATTGCTGCCCAAACTAGTTTTTTATGGTGTGAATTCTGGTGGCCAGAGAACACAGCTGTCACGAGGCCCTGTGTTCTCGGGACGCTTCAGCCTGGTGTCCCGAGCGGCACGGAGTCCACGCCCAACACGTGTGAGCAGCTGTGAAGCAGGTGCCGCCTGGCGCGTTCCCTGGTGTGTCCCGGACACCACACGGTCCAGCACTGGTTACCTGCAGTGTTCCGTGCTCTTCGCCATCGACAGGAGTTCCCGCAGGAGCACGTCTGTTGATGGAAACGTAACTTAGATTCTGGTCCATAAAACGGGTTTCCCTGAGGCCCTGAGTGGAAGTAGATGCTGTGGGGCTGGCTGCAGGGACTGTCATGCAGTCAGCACTTCTAGGTAGGAGCATCTCGGTGAGTCACCGGGTGGTGACACGTGCTCGCCTGCCTTTCTCTTTCAGAACATCAGCAGCGTTGTGGCTGCGTTTTCCAACCTTCTTCACGTCCGAATTCCTAACAGCTATGAGGTTAGTAACGCTCCAGACGGTCCCTCCATGGGTTTGATCAATAGCCACAGAGTAAACCCAGGTTTGGAGTATCGACAGCATTTATTTCTTCGTGGGCCTCCACCAGGATCTGCGCACCCTCCCAGATTAGCAAGCTCTTACCGGCTGAAGCCGCCCCACGTACCATTTCCACCAACGAGCAACGGTGAGCTGGTTTCCATGTTCACTTTAGATTCATTCTGCACTCAGAAGTTATGCTTATTCTCTTCAGAATTTCACTTTCATTTTAAGCAGTCCCACCCCTGCTGGCTTCACCATGCCCAGAGGACTGGCAGCTCTGCTTTTCCTTTCCTCCCATCACCACTCCCACTGGCTCCCCTGCGTCTTCCCTTCCCCAGGCCTCGCCCCTCCAGCCTCTGGACGAGTCTCCTCTTCACTCTGCGTCCGCCCCTCTGCAGTGGGTCCTTCCTTGCCTGTTTTTAGCCTGGAGCTGCCATGAGGGCTCAGCACTTCTAACCTCACCTCTGAGCCCTGACAGAGTGGCCTGGGTTGGGTTTTGAACTCCTATCCCTAGCTGTTCCTGACGCCCTCATTTTCCCTGCTCCTTGCTTCCTGCAGTCATGCCCTACATGAGTCCTGTGGTTTTTATCTTGCCCCAGAACTTTGCTCATCCCTCTTTGTCCATTTGTGTTTAAGACTCTCATACACGTATCTCTTCTTCTCTCACAAAACGTTTCTGTATCATCTTAACCCTTAAGCCAAGGTGACCTCTCTCCCCTACGAACTAAGTCCCACTGCGACGTGCTGCGGGTCCTTCCTGGCCCAGCCCCCACCGCTCTCTTCCCAGCTGCTTGAGAATGGCTGCGACCCTTAATTCGTACCCTGGTGCCATGCACATAATAGATGCCCGTATGCAGTGCTTAGAAGATAAGATTTTTATTCATTAGTAATGAATCATCTAGGTCAGTTAAATAGCACAGTTTGACACCACCACCTCTTTGTGTTACTGATGAAGCTCTTGCCCTCAGGTCTTTCTGGCTACAGGGATGCTGCTCACGGAGTCCCGGAGAACGAGGCACTCAGACCACGGTGGTGCTGTCACTGCAAAGTGGTGGTTCTCGGAGGCGGGGTGCGCAAGTCTCTCAGAGACCTGGCCTTCGTGAGCAAGGTACTTGGACACTCCATCTCCCGGCACGTCCTGCGCCGGGCTCGGCTCCTGGGTCCCAGAGCCCCCATGGCGGCTCCATGGAGCACGCACTTCTGGGGGCAGCCTTAGCGTGTATATGAGATTTAAGACCAAGCAGCTCAGCAGACTTAATGTCGGATATTACGAAAACACATTTAAAGTTTATTTTCATAAACTTATTTTCTCTCTGGTCAAATTACTATGCTAAATAGACATGCAGCCATCTTTTTTACTTGTAAAGGAAGCTGCTTCACTTTAACATAGGATAAAACCAGCAGCACATGATCTTGTTTTTATTAAATTACTAGGCACCCAGTGCATGCATTCATGCACCTTGAGAGGAATTGTGGGCCACGAGGCTGTGGTGGGCACAGGAGTGGGTCTAAGCCCATCTCCATACCCCCTCCCGTCGTGGCCCTCGTCCCCTGTGTTCCCATCTGCTGGCAGCCCCGCTCTTGCCACCATTCCCATGTGCTGCCAGTACGGAGCAATTGGGGCCGGCACCAGGAATGGGTATGAGCAGCAACTGCTGCCCCATCACCCTTTGGGGGGGGGGGGGGGGGGGGGCGGGGAGAAGCCCTTAGGGGCGACTGGGATTGGCAGCTGACGCTCACACCCATTGATGGCACTGAGCAATCAGGACTGGTGCCAGGGGCCGGCAGTGGGTGCGAGAGATGGCTGCCGGCCCTGGCCGCTCCTCAGGAGCAGGAGAGGTGGAGAAGCCCTGAGGGGTGATCAGGGCTGGCAGCCGCCTCTTGCACCCACTGACAGTGCCAAGCTACCAGGGCCAGAGCTGGGCACCAGCAGCAAGTGCGAGTGCCCGGTGGGACCAAGGTGTGCAGGAGCAAAGAATTTTCAGTAACCACCAGAGGCTCGCCCTGATGACAGTCACCTGCTCCACCATCCCACCACAATCGATGCCCACCATGTTCCGCAAACATCCCCTGGTGGTCAGCACATGTCATAGTGACCGGTTGTTCTGTTGTTCCACTGTTCAGTCTATTTGCATGTTAGGATTTTTTATATATAGATGACTTGTTGAGACTCCCACACACTTTTCTTTGCTTTTCAGGATTCCTGCGAAAGCTCCAGTAGAGTGGAGAAGGACATTGTCTTTTGTAGTAATAACTGCTTCATTCTTTACTCATCGACTGTACAAGCAAAACTCTCAGACAGCAAGGTAAAATTAGTAGTTTCAGTTAACCAACGCATGTGACTTCTGTGTGCCGGGGTGAAAAGTTCCCAGGGCTCCTGTGGGGGAATCTACGCTGGTGCTGCTCAGGCGGAGGGCGGTTCCAACAACCCCGATCCATGCTGCCATTCCAGATTCGATTAGTTATTTGACGAGTGGATAAGCTTGAATTATGTCTTAAAAGTTCAGAACTGAATAAAACATTAATATTAAAATGTTTAATTTTACTTAGTTACACATATCTTAATTATAACTAAAAAATGTTATTTTTATTGATCTTATCCCAATGGGAAAACTCACCATCTGGTGACCATCAATTTGGTCTCTGTTTTTCTTTTTGTTTGTTCATCTACTTGTTTCTTTAAAGATTCCATATGTAAGTGAGTCATACAGTATTTGTCTTTATCTGACCTATTTCACTTAGCATAATACCCTTAAGGCCCATCATGTTGTTGCAAGTGGCACGATTTCATTCTTACTGCTGAGTGATATACACCACATTTCTTGTCCATTTGTCTGTTGATGGGCATTTAGTTGGCTCTGTGTCCTGGCTGTTGTAAATAACGCTGCTATGAACAGGGGGCTTCATGGGGAAAAACTGTCCTCCACGCAATCTTTTTAAATTAGTGTTTGGATTTCTTTAGCTAAACACCCAGAATGGAACTGCCAGGTCATATAGTAGTCCTATTTTTTTTATTTTTTATTTTTGAGAAGCTTCCATACTGCTGTGTTTGTTTTTTTAATATAGGTGACTTGCATTTTTCTCAATATTAATTTTTAGATGTGGAAATTTTAGGTATTTTAAAAATATATACATTTTTATTTATTTCAGAGAAGAATAAAGAGAGAGAAACATCAAGGATGAGAGAGAATCACTGATCGGCTGCCCCCTGCACACCCCTACTGGGGATCAGGGCTGTAACCGGGCATGTGCCCTGCCTGGGAATCGAGCCTTGACCTCCTGGTTCATAGATTGATGCTCAGCCACTGAGGCCTGCTGGCCGGGTTCTATTCTGTTCTCCACAGTTGCTGCACAGTCTGCATTCTCACCAAATGCACGAGGGTTCCTTTTTCTCCACATCCTCACCAGCACTTGCTTGTTCATTTCTTTCTTTTTCTTTTTTCTTTTTACTTTTTACTTTTTAATCCTCATCCAAGGATATTTTCCCATTGATTTTTAGAGAGAGTAGGAGAGAGAAAGACAGAAAGAAATATTGATGTCACAGAAACACATTGATTGGTTGCCTCCTGCACGTACCCTTGACCAGGGCCCAGGCCGGGGAGGAGCCTGCAACCCAACCGAGGGACGTTCCCTTGACTGGAATCAAACCTGGGACCCTTCAGTCCACAGGCCAACGCTCTATCCACTGAGCCAAACCGGCTAGGGCATTTATTCATTTCTGTGTGTTTTGTTTGTTCATTTCTCAGTGACAGTCATTCTGACAGGTGTGAGGTGTTCATTTGGTTTCCCTGATGATCACTGATACTGAGCATCTTTTCCCGAGTCTGTCGGCCATCTGTGTGTGGACAATGTATTTCCAGTCATTTGCGTGGAGGAAAGTTTTCCCCCTGCACACCCCTGTAACACTGCCGGTCATTCATCGCTCTTATGTCTTTCTTGAGAGAAGGTCCTGGGGGCTCCTTTATCTTAAGAGGCAGCAGGCCATGCGACGTGATAAACACGTTTAGACTTGAACTGAGTTTGTTAGCCTCCCTGAGAGAAGGCATGTTTGTCTCCAGTTTCCTCAGTCCGTGCAGTGCAGCCTGCCTCTGGGTTCTACGTGAGGCACAGGACGGGGTGCTGAGAAGCGGGAACCTGGGGCATCATTGGCTTAGGACCAGGCGTCTTCAAACTACGGCCTGTGGGCCACATGCGGCCCGCAGAGGAGTCTGATCCGGCCCGCCAGGTTTTTTGGGCAGTGAGCGCAGCCGAGGTGTTACAGTAGGAATTAGTAGTTCATATAATCCGGCCCTCCAGCTCTCTGAGGGACCGTGATCTGGCCCCCACTTTAAAAAGTTTGAGGACCCCTGGCTTAGGAGATTGGACCTAAAGAGAAACTGTTGGACTCTTTCAGCAGCTGGATTCCAGCCTGGCACCTCAGAGAACCGTTATTGCTCACTGCAGGGGCTTCTCCCTTCCTTTCACATTTATGCCAATACTGCAGCCACGATGAGCAGACAGGAGGTTCAGAGCGGGGGACATGCTCATAAAAGATTCTCTCGAAGCTCTTACTCAATGTACCAGAAGGGCTGTTCATTGTGCAAATTAAATTCTCCAGCTTCTCTGGGTTTGTAATGGTTAGAAAGAGGCATGTCAGAGCAGGGATTGGAGCAGAGATGCTTGGAGTTAGGGCTTCGTGGAGGCCTCCCTCCCTCAGCCCTCGCTCTCCATGCTTACCCCCCGGGTGTCCGACACGGCTGCTGCCGGCCTCAATCCGCACCGCTCACTCACTGGCCCTCTCCCCCGCCTGCCGCCACACACTGTCACACTCTATTGCTTGGCTTCTCATTGCAACAAAAAAAAATTGCTTTTAGAACTTGTGAATTACTCTTCTCTCTTGGCCAGGAGTCCATTCCTTCATTGCCCCAGTCACCGATAAAAGAGCCGCCTTCCCGGGCGTCCCACCAGTACAGCAACCACATCTCCGCCCTGGACGTGCACTGCCTCCCGCAGCTCCAGGAGGACGCTTCTCCCCCAGCCTCGTCGCCCATCGCCTTCCCTCCCGCCTTTGAAGCAGCCAAAGTGGAGGCAAAGCCGGATGAGCTGAAGGTCACAGTCAAGTTAAAGCCTCGGCTGCGAGCTGCCCCTGGGGGGCTTGAAGACTGCAGGCCCGTGACTAAGAAGTGGCGGGGAATGAAGTGGAAGAAGTGGAGCATTCACATCGTCGTCCCCAAAGGCACGTTCCCCCCGCCCTGCGAGGACGAGATCGACGAGTTCCTCAAGAAGCTGGGCACGTCCCTGAAGCCCGAGCCGGTGCCCCGGGACCACCGCAAGTGCTGCTTCTGCCATGAGGAAGGGGACGGCGTGACGGACGGGCCGGCCAGGCTGCTCAACCTCGACTTGGACCTGTGGGTCCACCTGAATTGTGCTCTGTGGTCCACGGAGGTCTATGAGACCCAGGCGGGTGCCTTAATCAATGTGGAACTGGCCCTGCGGAGAGGCCTGCACATGAAATGTGTCTTCTGTCACAAAATGGGTGCCACCAGCGGGTGCCACAGGCTGCGGTGCACCAACGTTTATCACTTTACCTGCGCCATGAAAGCACAATGCATGTTCTTCAAGGATAAGACGATGCTTTGTCCCATGCACAAGCCAAAGGGAATTCATGAGCAGGAGTTAAGCTACTTCGCGGTCTTCCGGAGGGTGTACGTGCAGCGGGACGAGGTGCGACAGATCGCCAGCATCGTGCAGCGCGGCGAGCGTGACCACACCTTCCGTGTGGGCAGCCTCATCTTCCACACCATCGGCCAGCTGCTCCCGCAGCAGATGCAGGCCTTCCACTCCCCCAAGGCGCTCTTCCCCGTCGGCTACGAGGCCAGCCGGCTGTACTGGAGCACACGCTACGCCAACAGGCGCTGCCGCTACCTGTGCTCCATCGAGGAGAAAGATGGGCGCCCCGTGTTCGTCATCAGGATTGTGGAGCAGGGCCACGAAGACCTCGTCCTGAGCGACAGCTCCCCCAAAGGTGAGCCTGGCATGCTCGGCAGCACTGGGTGCTCGCTGTTCGCTTGTGAATGATTCGGACAGCACTTCCGTGCTTTTTTTTTATCACGTTTGTTTCTTACTTGATAGATGTGGATGTTTCCTTTACAAATGCAAATCTGAACTTCTCATGATTCTACCATTTTTTAAACACTTGCTAGACTTACTCTAAATCAGAATATATATTCAAACACAGATTTAATGAAATAAATAGAAAAATTTGTCGGTAAAGGTTGGGGAATTTAGATTGGGGACCCTCTTCTTAATGTCACTGAGAAGGCAGCATCCATCTGTGAGCACTGTTTTACTCAGCGGCACTGGATATTAAATGCAGATTTGCAACGAGCCAGCTAAGTCTCGGTTATCATGGTCACTTCTGACGTAGGAAGTCCTGGGGACTGCTGTTTTAAAGGCTGCAGGAGCTCTTTTTTCTTTTTTTCCCCTTTAGGTTAGCAAGTTTTAAAAAAATGTATGGAAATGCTCTAATGCTGATTAATAAAAATAGCAATGTTATGGTTTAATTTAGATCTGAAAGGAAAGTAACGTTTAATGAATTGGATATTTTAAAGTCTAATGTTTTATGGCCAATATGGAAATTAATTAGCTCCTTGCATAAATTTCAGTTTCTTAAAATTTCCCACTTTTACTCTTTACTCCCATTAACATATCTTCTTCTTCCCCCGGAATGTCCTAGGCCCCAAGCATGCTGCCGCCAGCCGCTGCTCCCACGCCAGGCTGTCGGCTCCCGCTGCCTCCCTCGACCCTGGGGTGTCTGGGGGGCTGGCTCCTCTGCACTGGGGTGTGGGCTGCATCCCGCTTGCCTTTCTGTTAGCTGAAAGCTCCTTTGTCATGCGAACTTCTTTTTGGTCCATGTGTACAGGTGTGTGGGATAAGATTTTGGAGCCCGTGGCGCGTGTGAGGAAGCAGTCGGAAATGCTGCAGCTTTTCCCAGCGTATCTGAAAGGGGAGGACCTGTTTGGCCTGACTGTATCTGCAGTGGCTCGGATCGCGGAATCAGTGAGTGTGAGGCGGCGGGCGGTGCCTCTCCAATGGATGTCTGTGTTCCCCTCGCTCATGCCGTTCGGGGCTCCTCTCCCCGCGCTGGGAGGCCCTGCGCTCCATGGGGGGCTGTGCCCATCCCCGATGGGACATTTGTGGCTGCTGTCAGGTTACAGACGCATGTCTTCTCTGACATCTCTCTGTTATCTTTTAATATTACAAGCGTGTTTGCCAATGAGTTCCTCACAGTTTTGGAAAGTTGCATGACTATAAGGCATTATTTTCAAGAATAAAAACTCATTAATGAGTTTTTTTTGGGAAAAGCAACCCCCAAAGCTACTGAGTAATATGCTCAGTTGCTTCCCTGCCTCCATGCTGTGTCTAAAGATAAATGTGCTCACAAGAAACATGTTCTAGAAAAGGCCTTAACATGTAAAGTATTTTGTAAGTAAATCTTAAGTTTTACCACTGAGAATGAATCCTCATCGTGTCATAGTCGAATTGGGGAAGTGACAAGTGATCATGAAAGTAAACCATGTAAATGATTTGAAACGGTTCTTGCTGGAAATTGTAAAGTTCCAGACAAAGACGCGAGTTGATATTGATGCTGTGAATTAGTATGCCCCCAGTTTGGGAAGCTGGCACTCTCAGCCCTAAAACCCCACAGGCCAGCACCTGGTTTTCTTCGGGGAGCGTTTGCCAGCATTCACTGTGGTCTGCTGTGACGCGGAACTTGGCTGCTCACACTTTAGCGCGGCTGAGTGTAGGCTGCTTGTTAACATACGTTATATTTTGAAGATGTTGACAAGTTATTTCCATACAACTTGGGCCAGCCTTTCACCAGCTCATCGTCCTAATCGAGTGAGTTAACTTTTGTCTGTTTTGCTTCCTTGCAGCTCCCTGGGGTTGAAGCATGTGAAAACTACACCTTTCGATATGGCCGAAATCCCCTCATGGAGCTTCCTCTTGCCGTTAACCCCACAGGTTGTGCCCGCTCTGAGCCTAAAATGAGTGCCCATGTCAAGAGGTTTGTGTTAAGGTATTTTGTTTTAACTTCACATAGTACAGCCCAGGGTTTCTAGGCGTCTTAGTGGTTTTGTGCTTGATTTGTCTGCTGCTTACAAACCCTGTGTCCCTGGCTGTGTCTGTGCCCGGCCACATCAGAGAATGCGCCCTGCGCTCCGCTAGGCGGCTTCTGTGCATGCTCCCGCCATGCTCACCGGAACCGGCCGGGCCGGGGGGGACCGGAGGTGTCTTCAGTTCTCTCCCTCTCTCTCCTGCTGCTGCGCCCTCCTGCAGGCCTCACACCTTGAACAGCACCAGCACCTCCAAGTCCTTCCAGAGCACAGTCACCGGGGAGCTGAACGCCCCGTACAGCAAGCAGTTCGTCCACTCCAAGTCGTCGCAGTACCGGAGGATGAAGACGGAGTGGAAGTCCAACGTGTACCTCGCCCGGTCTCGGATCCAGGTGGGAAGGACTTCTCAGGAAGGGAGAGCGGGTGGGACCGGCGTCCGGGAGAGCAGCGCCCGGTGTGGGAAAAGGGTTACAGGCTGTGGGAATGGCCATGTTTTCTAAGTCACCGCAGGCTAGCCAGCCCGCATGCAGTCGCTGGGCATGCACATTCACTTCCCGAGTGGACAGACGGTGTTGGACTCCACACTTTGCTCAAGCGAACAGGCAGCCCTGGCCTCTGCGTACACACGTGTCCCTCAGGCACTTGTGGACAGTCCAGTGGAAATAGTTGTGAAGTGTGCGGCTGTTCTGGACACTACCCTGGGGGATGTTGCACGGCTGAAGCCTCTGGGGCTCAGTGTGTAACTGCTTCCCAAGCAGCAGACCCCAAGGCCAGAGGCCGCTCAGCGCCTCCCCTTGGTGTCCCAGGCTGAGTTACCAGGTTCTCTGATCTACTCTCCAGCTCTGCCGCCCAGACTTCCTCCCATCTCCCTGTCTGCACCTCTGCAGACCGCCCGTCTCCTCCCAGCCAGCCCCCTCAGGAGTCATCAGGTCCCTTCAAACGGAGTCTCCTCTGCAGGCCACCGTCCGTGCTGTCAGGCTTGTTCCTTCCTGGGAGACTCTTCCCTCTCCGAAAGATCTTAGGATCTTGTCTTTATTCTTGACTAGAGGCCTGGGGCGCAGAATTCGTGCACGAGTATGGTCCCTAGGCCTGGCTGGCGATCAGGGCCAATTGGGGCCTTGCTTCTGGCCGCAGGCCAAGGCCTGCCTGCCTTCCGTGCTACCCCCTGGTGGTCAGTGCACATCATAGTGAGTGATTGAACCCGGTCTCCTGGTCAAACTGAGGGATATTAGCCTTTGATATCTTACTAGTAGCCCTGCGTGCAAATCCATGCACCAGTAGCTCCCCACTGCCCTCCAATAGCTCTCCGCCCGCTGCCCTGCCCTCCTGTAGCTCCCTGGCCCCCCAACCCCCATAGCACGCTGCCCTGCCCCCTCCAGTAGCTCTCCGCCCACTGCCCTGCCCTCCTGTGCTCCCTCCACCCCTCCTGTGCTCCCTCCGCCCCTCCCTCCCAATAGCCACAATTAGCTCTCCACCACCCACTGTAGCCCATTGTAGCCCATAATAGCTCTCTGCCCCACCCTCCTGCTGATCTGTAATCCCGTCATCATGTGGTCGGTTGTTATGCTTCATGGCATAATGACCATTTGCACATTACATCTTTTATTGTATGGGATACAATAGGAGAGGAATATGCTAATTTTCTGTTACCCCGTGAAGCCTAATGACCGGCCTTGTAATGACCAGATGACGGATCAGCAGGAGGGTGGGGCAGTGAGCTACAGGAGAGGGCAGGGCAGCAAGCTGTGGGGGTGGGATGGGGGAGTGGGCAGAGAGCTACAGGAGGGCGAGAACAACCTGCTGGCGCACAGATCCGTGCACAGGGCTGATCGTATATACATATTTGGGAATTTAACAAAAATGTGCTGTTAGGGTCTCACTGATTCCACACTGTGAGCAAGATGGAGCAAGATGGCCTTCAGGCTCGGGTTTGCCGCGGGCATTCTTTTCCGAGTCCCTACCTCCTGCACTCCTGTGTGCACTGGTGGGCACACACCTGACCCCGCAGCCTGGGGTCCGGCGTGGACCCAGACTGGCAGCAGCAGCAGCGTGTTCTGGGGCCTTCGGCACAGCCAGAGGGTCCGTCTTGTATCCGCCCTTCTCTCTCAGTTTCCCAGCACCGACTTGTGCTGAGCTGCTAACGCTTTACGTTAGCTCAGCGCCCTTGTGCTCTGCTCTTCCAGCTGGTAGCTCGGTTTCACCGTTTGGGTGCAGTGTGTCTGTCTTCAGCTGCTGCCACAGAACAGAGCCTTTGGAGAGCTCCCCCAGCTCCTGGCAGGGGCGCACGCCCTCCTCCTGACCAGCCACGTCCCGTTTAACGGGTTCCAGCGGCTCGGCTCCCCCGTTCCTCTCACCGTCATGTGATGGTTTGGAGCGGCCTGTGTGCAGCGTGTCCTCTCCAGCCCGAGCTCTTGCCCTTCTCCGTCTTCCTCCCTCGCAGCCCCACCTCCCTGTGACATCGGAACGTGCTGGGCGCTCCTCCCTCGCAGCCCCACCTCCTGTGACATCGGAACGTGCTGGGCCACACGCTTAGGCTTCTTCTCAAATCCTCAGGCTCTGGGCCGGCGGAGGTGGCTCTTCACGGCCGTGATGCTCTGTGGTGGTGATGAGCTGTAGTTATTAAACTGACCACCACTGACAAGCACTTTCCTTACCCTTTCCCAGTGCAACCATCAGTGTCTTCCTGCATCCACTGAGACTGTCTCCCCATTTGTAGTAAATGTTACAGCCCTGCTATTTACTTATTTTGCCAACCGGCTAAGTGTAGACTGATAGTTACTCTCTAAATGAGTGACTTTTTTTAAGCTTTATTGTTGAAAGTATTACATAGGTCTTCCTGTTACCCCCATTAATCTCTTCCACCCACTCCCTCCTCCCCATCCCCCGCCCCTCACCATGCCATTGTACGTGTCCCCGGGGTGTACACATATGCATACAAGTTCATTGGTTGGTCTCCTCCCACTCTTCCTCACCTTCCCTCTGAGGGTCAATAGTCTGTTCATGCTTCAGGTCTATATTTGATCGTCAGCTTATTTGGCTCATTAGATTCCACCTATGAGTGAGATCATGTGATATTTATCTTTTCTGGCTTATTTCTCTCAGCATAATAATTTCTCCAGGTCAATTATTGCTGTTGCAAATTTTATTGCCACATAGTATTCCATTGTGTGAATGTACCATAGTTTTTTTTATCCACTCATCTGCTGATGGACACTTAGGCTGTTTCCAAGTCTTAGCTGTTGTAAATTGCACTGCTATGAACATAGGGGTGCTTCTATTCTTTCTGATGAGTTTCAGGCTTCTTAGGGTATATTCCTAAAAGTGGGATCACTGGGTCAAATGGCAGTTCCTTTTTTAATAATTTGAGGGAAGTTCTCACTGTTCTCCACTCTGGCAGCCCGGGTCTGCATGCCCTCCAGCAGTCTCCGCATCTTCCTCAGCACTTGTCGTTGGTTGATGTGTTGAGGGCAGCCATTCTGACAGGTGTGAGGTGACACTTCATTGTCGTTTTAATTTGCATCTCCCTGATGATCAGTGACTTTTTTAATCAGATTGTTGTCTTCTGTTGTATGAGTCCCCCACATATTTTGGAGATTAGCCTTTTATCAGATGTATCATTGGCAGATATGTTCTCCATGCAGTGAGCTCTCTTGTTATTATTATTATTTAATATACATCTTTATTGATTTCAGAGAGGAAGGGAGGGCTAGAGAGATAGAAACATCAATGAGAGAGAATCATCAACTGGCTGCCTCCTGCACACCCATACTAGGGGTTGAGTCCGCGACCTGGGCATATGCCCTGACCGGGAATCGACCTGTGACCTCCTAGTTCATAGGTCATCGCTCAAACACAGAGCCACGCCAGCCAGGCTCTCTTATTTTGATGGCGGGTTTTTTTGCTGTGCAGAAGCTTTTTATTTTTGAATGAGTGATTTCGTGTTTGTCATAGGGATTTACTCTCCTGTGAATTGCATATCCATCTTTTGTCCATTGTTCGATTAGTAAGGACTCGCTCACCATTAACTATTTCCCTGCAGAACAAACTTTGCCTAACAGAAGGTATGCTGTCTTTTTTTTTTTTTTTTTTTTTTTTTTTTTTCTTACAAAAGTCTTAATTTTAAGTAGTCAAACACTTAATTTTCTATAGCTTCTAGTCTTGGTTAAGACTGTACTTTGCATATGTCGTCTCTTAGGTTGTTTTTCTTTCAGAAATTTGATTTTTTTATGTTTAAACAATTTGATTTTCTTCCAATGGGTAAACAGTTGTTGGAGCACCATGTAGGCCACAGTCCTGTTCATGCTGCTTTGTGCGCCTCCCGAGTCATGGCTGGAATTGAACAGATAAATTAGACCCTTTTCCCCAAGAAAGTGACTGACTTCATGGGAAAACCTCTAGCACGGGCCTCTGTCCCATGCTCCCGGCGGCCTTAGGAGGACGGGTGTGGCGAGTCCCCAGGCAGCATGGGGTCGGCCTGCCTTCTCTGCTGGAAACACAGGAACTCAGATCGCGGCAAGAAAATGCAGACCTCCCTGGGAATTACCCCTATCGTTCCCAGCACATTGTTTTTCCAGAACGCGTTCACTGAGGACTATAGGTGTGTGTGCTCCTGGCACAGGCAGCACAGCCGAGAAGAAGAAGGATGCTCGGCGCTGGGGCGGTTCAGATTCCTGGATGCTCCTTAGCAGCTCAGAACCTCACATTGGGGAACTCACCTTCCCAGGAACTTGCCAACTTTCCTGATAGTGGAAATTCACTTTGCCTGGTTAGCTTCCAGGAGCGCACTGCCAAATCTGGCGCCTGTTCGGTCTCCTCCATAATCCCTACAGTTAGCCCTGATTCTACATCATTAAATTAAGTGTCTAGCCCTTTAAAAATAGGGACAGCGTAACCCTCAGCAGCCATTAGCCTGTCTAGCTGGTAGGGTCTCAGCAGGTACAGGAAGGACGAGAAGTCTGACAGAAATTGCGGCTGCTTTGTAAGGCCCTAAGGATTTAGTGTAAACAAGACAGTGAGCAGGTGGTGAGGACGGAGCTTTAGAGGGTGCAGACAGCACATCCAGTAGACATTGAAGATGCTGGAGATTCACACACACACTTTCTGCAGGGGCTGGGCCTGTATGCTGCCAGAGACATCGAGAAGCACACCATGGTCATTGAGTACATCGGGACCATCATCCGAAACGAAGTAGCAAACAGGAAAGAGAAGCTGTATGAGTCCCAGGTGAGTGTCACAGCCCCCACCCGTGCTGCAAGCAGCCCCAGAGACAGGCTGCGCTGCCTGTCGGCTGGGTCCAGTTTAGAACAAAAGGCCCATCTTCCCATTCGTCTGCGCTCCATGTCGTTACTTGCAGAGATATGTGTGTGGACTAAGGAGCCTGGCTGGTTCTCCAGGCATCTCCCACTTCGTTCATTCCCACTCAGCCCGTGTGGCCGGCCGGCTGCCGTCACATCCAGGAGAGGGTGACGGCCTGTCACGTCCCCTCGGCCAGCTTCCCGGGTGGGCAGGACCGGAGGGAGGACTTAGAGCTGCTTCTCTTTCAGAACCGCGGCGTGTACATGTTCCGCATGGATAATGACCACGTGATCGATGCCACACTCACGGGAGGGCCTGCAAGGTGAGACGCGGTCTGTTCGGGGCCTCTCCCTTCAGTGGCCGCGGCCACAGCCTTCCCGGCTCAGGAATTTAGAGCAGAGAAGTTTCACAAGTTTTATTTAAAATTCTATTTGTTCTTGTTCTGTAGATGAGCAAATAGGAGTGTAGTTGGGGAAAGTTTTCTCGATGAGCTGCACGTTTTTAAAGCTTCTTCTAGTTGATGTATAGTTTTCTGAAATGGTGGTTTGCAGGTACATCAACCATTCGTGTGCACCTAACTGTGTGGCCGAGGTGGTGACTTTTGAGAGAGGACACAAAATCATCATCAGCTCCAGCCGGAGGATCCAGAAAGGAGAAGAGGTGAGCGTGTGGGGCTTCGCGGTGTGCGGGTCCGTGGGGGTGGTCATCGCCGAGGTTTCCCGTTCTCTGCTCAGACTGGGTGGGTCCCGTTTCACCACCCGTGTCTCTCACTGTCCGACTGCCACGCGCAGCACTGAGTGCTCCTGCCCCTCTCCGTGGTCCCTCCTCCTCCCCCGTCACTCACGTGGCGTCAGCTCCTGTGTTCGGGTGCTCCGGTCAGTGTGGTGGGGTTCCTCTAACGTTAGAAGCTGCCTCCTGCGGCTCAGACCACGGCTCAGGAGCCCTCGTCCCATCACGTATTCCCAGTATGAGGAGCACCGCTTTCGGTTTTGACAGCCACAGATTTCAAAACCGTTAGTTGCGTTACTATTTTTTCTTCAGAATGCTCGATGCTGACCTTGACATTTCTTTGGCCTCGCAGATGACTTAAGATTATTAGTCTTGGTTGCCTCCTTTGCATTTCCCCGACTTTGTCTTTCACTGATGCCATCGTGTGTGTGTGTGTGTGTGTGTGTGTGTGTGTGTGTGTGAGAGAGAGTGTGAGTGTGTGTGTATGTGTGTGTGTGAGTGTGTGAGAGTGTGAGTGTGTGTGTATGTGTGTGAGTGTGAGTGTGAGTGAGATGGTGTTCTGCTTGTGTGTGGGTCATCTTTTTGGAATTCCCTTGGTTAAATCAAGAGCTGACCACGGCCTTTTGCACGCCGGGAGGTACCTTAGGAGCTAAGAGGGTGCGGAGTCCAGCGTGGTGCCAGTGAGCAGGGGTCGTGAGAGTGCTCCCCAGGCTTGGGAGTGTTGGGGAGCAGGGGTTGCCCCACGGGAACTGGGCAGACCCCGGCTTCCTTGACAACAGGCTTGGTCTGAGATGTTAATAAGTGGGTGGCTCCTCTAGAAAGACATCTTTGAATGCTCAGTGAGGAGCAGGGGGAGAAGGATGGTCCTTGCGGTGCCCCTGGGCCATGAGGGGCGGAGGGCCCGCGGGGCTGCCTGCAGGCAGCGAGCGGAGAGGTCTGGGGATGCTCCTTCCACAGCCAGCTGCCGTTCTCGGTCTGGCTCGGCCTGAAAAGCCTGCCTGCGGATCTCCGGTCCCTTTGGGGTCCTGGGTAAACCAGCCGGGCTTGTTCCTGTTCTGGTTAATGCTCACCGGGGGTGTTTCCATTGAGAGGGAATCTCGATAGGAGAGTGAGACATCATTGGCTGCCTCCCAGGGTTGGGGATCGAGCCTGCAATCAAATGCCCTTGACGAGAATTGAACCCAAGACCCTAACAGTCCGAGGGCTCTACCACTGAGCAACCTGGCTAGGGCCTGAGGCTCCCATCACCCTCCCAGGCCCCAGAGCCTCAGCAGAGCAGTCTTCCTGTAGCTGCTTGCTTGCCGGTGTGGGCCCGGGCAGACGGAGGGGGGGCCGGGCAGACGGAGGGGGGGCCGGGCAGGCGGAGGGGGGGCCGGGCAGGCGGAGGGGGGGCCGGGCAGACGGAAGGGGGGGGCCCGGGCAGAGGCGGGGGGGGGGGGGCGGGCAGACGTGGAGGGGGGCCCCGGGCAGAGGCGAAGGGGGGCCCCCGGGCAGGCGGAGGGGGGGGCGGGGAGCCAGGCAGAGGCGGAGGGGGGGCCCGGGCAGAGGCGGAGGGGGGGGGGGCCCGGGCAGAGGCGGAGGGGGGGGCTGGGCAGACGTGGAGGGGGGCCCCCGGGCAGGCGGAGGGGGGGGGGAGCCGGGCAGAGGCGGAGGGGCCCGGGCAGGCGGAGGGGCCCTCCCCCCTCCCAGCCTGACTCTGTCTCTGCGCGCAGCTGTGCTATGACTACAAGTTTGACTTCGAGGACGACCAGCACAAGATCCCCTGCCACTGCGGGGCCGTGAACTGCCGCAAGTGGATGAACTGAACGCATTCCTTGCTGTCTGGCGGCGGCTTGTCCCTAGGAAGAAGCGATTCAACACACCGTTTGGATTGGCAGCAGAGAGAGGTTTTGTTTTCTGTTTATGACTGAACTCTAGCTTCTGGGAGTCTGATTTCCTCAGCCCCTTGGGCCACGCGCCCCCCGACCGCGGCCCCGAGCTGCCCCAGAGGCTGAGGTTACAGAACTACAGATGGTCCAGCACTTTTTCTTTTCTCTCCTCTTTTCTTTTGTGGGTGGGTTTTGTTTGTTTGTCTGTTTTGTTTTGTTGTTTTAGTCTCACTAAGGAGAAACTTACTGGGGCACAGAGCCGCGGGCTGCTGCCCCGGCAGGGCCCTCCTGTGAATGTAGACTGATCACCAGCGAAGGGACATGTCCGAAGTGCTGGCCACGCCTTATGGAAAGGGGCGGGCCCTCTGACGTAAAGTTTTTAATAAAGTAGACACCACTGAACAAGGAATGTACTGAAATGACTTCCTTAGGGATAGAGCTAAGGGATAATAACTTGCACTAAAATACATTTAAATACTTGATTCCATGAGTCAGTTTATTGTAGTTTTTGATTTCTGTAAAATAAGAGAAACTTTTTGTATTTATTATTGAATAAGTGAATGAAGCTATTTTTAAATAAAAGTTAGAAGAAAGCCAAGCTGCTGCTGTTACCTGCAGACTAACAGACCCTGTTACTTTGTACAAATATGTAAATATTTTGAGAAAAATACAGTATAAAAATAGTTATTGACCAAATGCTACCAGGCTCTGCAGCAGCTCGGGTGCTTATAAAATGTTCATAGGGATGTTACAATATAATTTTGTGTTATAAATATGCCATTATAATTATGTAATAACCAAAATTTCAACCTAGAGTGTTTGGAGTTTTTTGGAAACCACGGTCGGTTAGTACTTAATGTTTTATACACCTTCTGATAGAACAGAGTGTATGCCATGACTACAACTTTTATAGCTGTTTTGGTAATTTAAACTAATTTTTTCATATTATATTGTTGCATCCCTACTTCTTCAGTCAGGTTTTTTTGTGCTTACAATTTGTGATAACTGTGAATAACTGCTTAAAGACACCCACATAGAGGCTGACTTTTCTTCAGCAAAAGTAGTTTTGATTAGAACTGTTTCAAGCCACAGAGAATCATTTACACATACTAGGATCATGTAGCAGGAACTCTGATCTAACTCTAGCCTTCTATTTAACACAAAAATCTGAAAAAGGAAAAAAAAAAAAGGAGATGCGATCATGGGCTGCAGGACTCCGGCAAAGGGTTTTGGAAGATGTGATTTTAAAACGTGTTTGTATGATCTGTTTGTTTACATTTCTTTAATAAACACACTGTTTTGTGTTTGCTTGTAGAAACTTAATCAGCATTTCGAACCAGGTTAGCTTTTTATTTTGTACTTAAAATTCTGGTACTGACACTTCACAGGCTGAGTATAAAATGAAGTTTTGTGTGCACAATTCAAGTGGACTGTAAGCTGGTGGTATATTCAGTGATGCAGTTCTGAACTTGTAATGTATATGGCATGATGTATTTTTATCTTACAGAATAAATCAATTGTATATATTTTTCTCTTGATAAATAGCTGTATGAAATTTGTTTCTTGAATATTTTTCTTCTCTTGTACAATATTCTGACATCCTACCAGTATTTGTCCTACCGGTTTTTGTTTTGTTTTTGGTTCTGTATAATAGTATCTAATGTTGGCAAAATTGAATTTTTTGAAGTATACAGAGTGTTATGGGTTTTGGAATTTGTGGACACAGATTTAGAAGATCACCATTTACAAATAAAATATTTTACATCTCTAAAAGCCAGCTGAGTCTCTTTAACCCCTCTCATGTTCTGGTTTGAGCTCTGAAACTGATGATTGCTTGAAATTCACTGATGGTATGATCCACATGTCAGAATTACCGGCACATTGACATAATCGACTCGGTTCTCTTCTCGAGAGTTTAGACACAAGTTCATAACTCATTACAAATGGAGACTGTCTTCCTTGCAGTTGAATACAGGGAACTTGCATTTCACTTATCAAGGCCTAATTAAAAATATTTGTGGTGCCTTATTCCCTTGTGTGAAGTCCTTTCTTTAAAAAAGATTTTTAGTTGACTTGGGAGAGAGAGATACGTGGATGTGAGAAACATGGATCAGCTGCCTCCTGCACTATCCACACTGGGGACTGAGCCTGCACCCCAATCACGTGCCCTGACCAGGAATCAAATCACAACCCTGCGGTCTGCGGGCCAACACTCCAGCCACTGAGCTAAAGTGGCCAGAGCTAGTCTATTTTCCCTCCTAGATTTATTCTATGTGTACATGCTCTATTTCTATAATATTTAATGTATTTAACATTTAAAGGGGTTACTATGAATTAAAATTGCTCAGAATCCCCATCAGGATTTTTTTTTTTTTGGAGAGGTTTATGACAATTTGTGAAGAAACCTGGTCTTTTATGTGTGTGTTTTTTTTCTACCTCAAGTAAATTCTATGTGCAATGTGAAATGTTTTATTTTCTTTACATTTTCAAATAGTTGACATATGCAGTATTGGTTTCGCATGTGTAGCATAGTGATCACATACCACACAGCGATCATCCTGAGATGTGCTAATCTGAGACAGTTCATAGTTCCTGCAATATTAATGACCATTTTTCCTGTGCTGTAATCTCTTCCCGGGGCTGTGCCTTTTCATAGCTCGCCATGTGTACTTCATAATCCCTTCACCTTTTCGTCCATCCTCCAAGCCCCCTGCCATCTGGCACCATCAGTTTGTGTTGTGTCTAGGAGTTTGTTCACTGATTTTGCTTTTTAGATTCCAGGTATAAGTGACATTATATGGAATTTGTCTTTCTGTGTTTGACTTATCTCATTTAGCATATTACCTCTTAGGTCCATCCAGGTTGTCCAAAATGCTAAGATTTAAGTACTTTTTATGGCCGAGTGATATTCCATTGCACACAGGTACCACATCTTTTTTATCCAGTTGTCTATTGATACTGTGCCGTTTCCTTATCTTGGCTGTTGTAAATATCAATGCGATGAACAAAGGGATGCATGTATCTTTTTGAATTAGTGTTTTGCATTTCTTCAAAGAAATACCCACAAGTCAAATTGCTGGGTCATAGAGCAGTAATTCTTTTGAGAAACCTCCACACTGTTCTCCACAGTGGCTGCATCCACGTGCAGTCTCACCAGCCGTGCACAGGATTCCTTGTCTCCGCATCCTCGCGAGCACTAGTCGTTTGTTGATTTACCGATGACATCCTGACAGGTCTGGGGAGATATCTCAAGGTGGTTTTAATTTGCTTTTCCCTGATGCTTAGTGATACTGAGCATCTTTTCATTTCTGTTGTCCTTCTGGATGCCCTCCTGGGAGAAATGTCTATTAAATTCCTTTGTCCATTTGAAAAATGTTTTATTGATTTCAAAGAGGAAGGGGGAGAGAGAAATATCAATGATGAGAAAGAATCATTGATCCCCATGGGATCAAGCCTACAACACGGGTATGTGCCCCAACCAGGAATCGAATTATGACTGCCCAGTTCAGGTAGATTGTTCAACCACTGAGCCACACTGCCTGGGCTGCCCTTTTAATTTTTTTATTAAGGTATTACATACGTATCCTTATTCTCCTATTGCTCCCCACCCCACCCCCACTCATTCCCTCACCCCCCTGGTGTCTGTGTCATTGGTTAGGCTTATATGCATGGTAACGTCTCCCCCTACTCCCACCCTCCCCTGCTTTCCCTCTGAGGTTTGACAGTCAGATTGATGCTTCTCTTTCTCTGATCTATTTTTGTTCATCAGTTTGTTGTTCATTGTATTCCACAAATGAGTGAGATCATGTGATATTTATCTTTCTCTGACTGGCTTATTTCACTTAGTATAATGCTCTCCAGGCCCATCCGTGCAGTTGCAAATGGTAAAAGTTCCTTCCTTTTTACAGCAGTGGTGGATTGTGCTGCTATGAGCATATGGGTGCATATATCCTTTCTGATTGGTGTTTCTAATTTCTTGGGATATATTGTGGGTGGTTTTTTTGTTTTTAGTGTGTGTGTGGAGTTGTACGAGTTGGTAATTTTTATTCTAAAAACTTCTTAGTGGAATCTTTAGGGTTCTCTACAGTATGTCATCTGCAGATATTGACAGTTTTCTCTCCAATTTGGATGTGTTTCATTTGTCTAATTGCTGTGGCTAGAATTTCCAATACCATCTATCCTATATAATAAAAGGCTCATTTGCAAATTGCCCCCTTGGGAGTTCAACTGACTGGGAGTTCGACCACTTGCTATGACGTGCACTGCACACAAGGGGGGGAGGGGCAAGAGCCAGGGGAAAGAAGCCCAATCAGCCCTGCTTGCCGGCCAGGTCTATCTGTGCATGAATTTTGTGCACCGGACCTCTAGTATATTTATTTTATTTTTTTCATTTTTTTATTAAGGTGTTTTGCCCATTGAGTCTAATGTTTGCTGTGGGTTTATCATATATGGCTTTTATTATGTTGAGGTATGATCCTTCTATTCCCACCTTGTTGAGAGTTTTTATCAGGAAAGGGTGTTAGATTTTATCAAATGCTTTTTCTGCATCAATTGATATGACTGATTTTTATTTTTTATTATTTTTTTATTAAATTATTATCTGTGTATATAACTTACCATTGCCCTCCCCCCTCTCATTCATACCCTCTCCCCCCAGAGTTTTGTGTCCATTGGTTGTACTTATATGCATGTATACAAGTCCTTCGGTTGATCTATTATTATCTCTCCCAGATCTCCCTACCCTCCCCGCTGTAATTTGACAGTCTGCTTGTTGTTTACTGTCTCTATATCTATCTTTTAGTTCATCAGTTTATAATGTTATTATCCATAAATGAGTGAAGTCATGAGGTGTTTCTCTTTTCATTGACTGGCTTATTTCACTCAGCATGATGTTCTCCAGTTCCATCCAGGTTGCTGCAAATGATGAGAATTCCTTCTTTTTGATGGCAGCATAGTATTCCATTGTGTAGATGTACCATAGTTTTTTGATCCAATCATCTGCTGACAGGCACCTAGGCTGTTTCCAAATTCTAGCTATTGTAGATTGTGCTGCTATGAATGACTATATGATTTTTCTCTCTCAATTTGTTAATGTGATGTATCACGTTTTTTGATTTGCGGATATTGTACCATCCTTGCATTCCAGAATAAATCCTACTTGGTCATGGTGTATGATCTTTCTGATGTGCTGCTGGAGCTGATTTGCTAGAATTTTGTTGAGGATTTTGGCATCTATGTTCATGAGGCATATTGGCCTGTAATTCTCTTTCATGGTGTTGTCTTTATCTGGTTTTGGTATTAGGGTGATCTGGCTTCATAGAGTTTGGAAGTGTTCTTTCCGCTTGAATTTTTTGGAATAGTCTGAGGAGGACAGGTTTTAGTTCTTCCTTGAATGTTTGGTAAAACTCTCCTGTGAAGCCATCTGGCCCCAGGCTTTTGTTTGCTGGAAGCTTTTTTATGACTGCTTCAATTTCTTAATAGTTATTGGCCTACTGAACTGTGTAGATTCTTCCTGATTGAGTTTTGGAAGGTTGTATTTTTCTAGAAATATGTCCATTTCCTCCAGGTTATCCAATTTGTTAGAATAGAGTTGTTCATAGTATTTTGTAACAATCCTTTGTATTTCGGCAGGGTCTGTGGTTGGTTCACCTCTTTCATTTCTTTTCTTCTTTTTTTTTTTTTTTTTAATATATTTTATTGATTTTTTTTTTTTTTTAATAGGAAGAGAGAGGGATAGAGAGTTAGAAACATAGATGAGGGAGAATCATCAATCAGCTGCCTCTTGCACACCCCCTACTGGGGATGTGCCCGCAACCAAGGTACATGCCCTTGACCGGAATCGAACCCGGGATCTTTCAGTCCGCAGGCTGACGCTCTATCCACTGAGCCAAACCGGTGTCGGCATCTTTCATTTCTGATTTTGTTTATTTGGGTCCTCTCTCTTTGTTTCTTGGTTAGCCTGGCTAGAGGTTCATCTATCTTGTTTATCCTTTCAAAGAACCAGCTCTTGGTTTTGTTGATCTTTTGTATTGTTTCTTTGGTCTCTGTCGTTTATCTCCGCTCTGATTTTTATTATTTCCTTTCTTTTGCTTACCCTGGGCTTTTCTTGTTGCTTTTTTTCTAACTCTTTGAGTTATAGAGTTAGATAATTTGTTACCATTTTTTTCTTGTTTTTTTTGCAGTAGGCTTGTAAGGATATGAACTTCCCTCTCAAGACTGCTTTTGCTGTGTCCCATAGATTTTGGATTGTTGTGTTTTCATTGTCATTTGTTTTCAGGATGTTTTTAATTTTTCCCTTGATTTCTCTAGTAACCAGTCATTGTTTAATAGCATGCTGTTTAGTCTCCATGTGTTTGATTTCTTTGGATTATTTTTATTGTAGTTGATTTCCAGTTTTATGCCATTATGATCTGAGAAGATGCTTGATATGATTTCTATCTTCTTGAATTTGAAGAGATTTTGCCTATGTCCCAACATGTGGTCTAACTCTAGTATATTTAAAAGCCTAAGTCAGTGGTCGGCAAACTCATTAGTCAACAGAGCCAAATATCAACAGTGCAATGATTGGAATTTCTTTTGAGAGCCAAATTTTTTAAATTTAAACAATATATGTAGGTACAATACATTGTTATTAATTAGGGTTCTCCTAAGCTGGCCTTTGCTAAAAACTCAAAGGGCCAGAAAGCTACATGTGGCTCGCGAGCTGCAGTTTGCAGACCACTGGCCTAAGTGACCATTACTACCAGGTGACTGACTGGTAGCTGTGATGTGCA